ACGTCGCGAGTAGGTCTCGTTATTCAGTTCTGAACGAGCATGTACCATATGTCTATGTCTTGATGTCGAGAATGTTTTCACTGATGAGTCTTTGAGTGGGCATTGTAGATCAATTGTGTCCAAAGATGTTAAGTACAGCGATCACGTAATTTTTAGGATTGAAGTAGTGAGTATGAAGTTATAGTTTCAGTTCAGATAACATATGTTTTTTTAGACATCTTGGGCGTTCGAACATTTAAAAAAAAAAAAAAAGCCTTTTTGCACTGGACGCCCAACTCGGGCGCCCAAATGCAGCTTGCACGTCCAACTTGGGCGTGCACTGCATGAATGAGCGCCCAAGTTGGGTTTTTACGCGTTTTGGGGGGTTTTTGGATATTTTTTGGGAAGTTTTGAGGTTTTAGAGAAATAAAGTATTTTTTGTTATAAACCGCAAATAGCAATTTTTAAACCGCAAAAAGCAATTCTCAATATTATATCACTAGTGAAGAAATTGTTCCATCTAAAAATTGTATCACTACTTTTTTAATTATTAAGAAAATCACAAAATATTGTATGCTATGCACACGTTTTTTGGTAAAAATTGCTCAAATTTCAAAAAACAAAAATCATATTTTTTAGTACTCAAATATATACTATAGAAGATGTTTATTCAAATATAGTCAATAAATTGTTCATCGAAAATCATTTCACTACTTTTTGAATCGTCAAACAAAATCATAAAAAAAACCGGATATTACACGTTTTTTTTTTATTTAAGGTCGCTAAAATGTTGAAATAATAATTATTTGACACTCAAAAGTATATTACAGAAGACAGTTTGTTTAATCAGTAGTCAGAAAATTGTTCTTCTAAAAATTGTTTCACTACATTTTTAATGATCAAGAAAAATCACAAAAAGATCGTATGCTATAATAGCACACGTTTTTTGCTAAAAATCGTTGAAATTTTCAAATAAATTATAATATTTTTTAACACTCAAATATATAGTATAGAAGATGTTTATTCACATATAGTCAGTAAATTGTTCATCAACAATTTGTTTTCGGTGTAGTGTGTGTATTTTTTAAGTGTGTGTTTTCGGTGTCGCGTGTGTCTTTTTTTTAGCGTGTGTTTTTTGTGTAGTGTGTGTATTTTTTTAAGTGTGTGTTTTCGATGTAGTGTGTGCATATTTTTTAGTGTGTGTTTTCGGTGTAGTGTGTGTAATTCTTTTAAGTGTGTGTTTTTGGTATAGTGTGTGTATTTTCGGTGTAGTGTGTGTATTTTTTTCTAGTGTGTGTTTTCGGTATTGTGTGTGTATATTTTTTAGTGTGTGTTTTAGGTGTAGTGTATGTAATTCTTTTTAGTGTGAGTTTTAGGTGTAGTGTGTATAAAAAACTTTTTCACGACAAAATTACCAACAACTGTATACTATAGTACACAGATTTTAGTTAAAATTGGTGTAACATCCAAAAAATTATTTCACGATCAAAATCACCAAAAATTGTATGCTAACTACACAGATTTTACCCCAAATTTGTGTAGTTAGCATACAGTTTTTGGTGATTTCGATCGTGAAATAATTTTTTGGACGTTCCACCAATTTTACCCAAAATCTGTGTACTATAGCGTACAATATAGCGTACAGTTTTTGGTGATTTTGATCGTGAAATTTTTTTTGGACGTTCCACAAATTTTATCTAAAATATGTGTACTATAAGTATACAGTTTTTTGTGATTTTGATCGTGAATTTTTTTTTGGACGATCCACCAATTTTGTCAAAAATTTGGTACTATCAGTTTTTTTGTGATTTTGATCGTGAAAAAGTTCTTGGGCCAATGTACTATATACAATTTTTGGTGATTTTAATTGTGAAAACCAAAACCAGTGTACTATATAGCACATGTTTTTTGTTAAAAAAACTCAGAAATGTTCAAAAAAAAATTTAAAAATAATTTTGACCCAAACATATAGTATATAATAAATTTATCCATAATCAATCCAGAAATTGTTCATCTAACAATTGTTTTCACTAATTTTTTGAATTATCAAGAAAAAATCACAAAAGATGCACGACCTTATTCTATATTTTGTACAAAAAGAGACCCAAAAGCCTGTCCTAATACGAACACAAACAGGAGTCTTCACCGCCTGTGGTGTCTCTACCATCATCATCATCATACTCATCATCTTCTGATGAAGTGACAGTGAAATCATAATCATCATCCGATGATGAAGCATCATCGTCACTGTCAGATTCAAATGTGAGACAAACGTGTTGTGGCAGATCCCACCCGACATCTGAATTATTCACCATTGCTCTCAGAGCTTGTGGTGCGCCTCTGCAAAGCAAACAACTGCAACATCAAATCCTCCGGAGAAATCATCCGGTGCATCCCACCCCCTGCTACTACGAGTCTTCGCTGGAAACACAGAGTATTAAAGATCATCAAAAGTCAATATAACATATCCCAATTATCAACCATTTCTTTTTTCATAGGCAATACCATCATCCATCATGGGATCTAATTCATATCAGTCATCAAAAGTCACCACACCCAAAATCACTACAATCATCAACGAGCAAATCATCATCAGCAGCAGTTGGACTGTCGATATTGTCATCATTCTCTGATTCTATGGTACCTCCAACAACCTCTTCATCATCAAAGAAATTCTCGGCAAACTCATCATTTTCATCTAAATCTTCAATGGAAGTGAACTCAATACTATCATCTTCCTCACTGTCCTCTTCAATATTAATATTATCAGGAATACAGTCACCAGTGACACAATTATCACCGTCATCACTGTCACCATCATCATCATCATCATCATCATCACTGTCATCATCCTCGCTGTCATCATCATCATCGTCATCGTCATCATCGTCATCATCACCAGAACAGATGAAGTCGCCGTCATCATCGTCGTCATAAAAACCATCGAACGGGAAGAAAGCAATTCGATGAGGTATCAGATTCATGACCCTGTCCTAATAAATAGATGGGGATAAATTAGAACTTCATCTGCTTCCACATAATTTCAAAGAAAGACAATGTCAACTATAACATGATTTTTAAAATGCAGATTAAGATATTCACCAAATATGGTAGACCAAATTTAACAGGAATTTAAGCTCCACATCTCCAGAGATTTTGAGTCATGAATTCCCTTATATGTGTAGTCTTTGTCACTACTTTCCTAAATTTTCACCATCGAGGCAGTTTCAGTTCGAGAGACAAAAATACAGAAGATTGGAGAAAATATTGAACACGTACAGTTGCAAAAACAAAGTTACAAGCGCATATGTCTGCAGATCTTTGAAGTTAGTTTACTTCGATAGAAGCAAAGGGCAAATTGGAAGGGAAAAAAACGGATACTAGAGCCAAGATTTAAGACGTGTGACGTTAAGAATATCCCCAAATGAAGGCCATCACTAGAATTGTGGATAAATACTAACTATACTTACCTAAAATGGATCGATAGAATTGTTTGATATTTCAAAATTTCACAGGGGTGAGTTCTTGGTTTCATTCAGTCATTAACAACTTGATTATAATATTAGATTAGCACCACTTATTTGTAGGCGAACTTGAAAGAAGTAATGGCTTTTGAGAACTCCTCCCAAGTACTTTTTTTCCAGGGAGTACTTTTACAGAAAACCAAGACCATGCATATCTTATAACAACTAAACGGAGGTATCTCTGCAGTATAACATTCTAAGTAACTGGAATATTATAAATAAGTTTCTTCACTCACTCTGTTAGGTTCCATCACACAAAATTAACAATACGATGAAGGCTAGTTTATAACCAAAATGATCACATACCTTCTGAATATTAGTAGGCAGAGTGGCTCTATCAATGGCTTTTGGGATCCATATTTTTATGTCATGCTCTATTCCACTGCTGGCTAGCATCGTAGTATGAGGATGAGGCTCAATGCAATTCACCACATTTCTATCTGCTTCCATAACACGAACAAGATCTCCACCCCTTTTCCTCCAAATGAAAATCCGGCCACAATCTGACCCACTCACAACATACTCGCATTTAGGACCAAAGAAATTCACACCCTTCACAGTCTCACAGTTCCTATGCCCTTTGTAGGCCTGCGGAACATCTTTTACATTGGCCGCGTCACTTGAAATGGATGAGCCTGAACACTTATCCATGGTCATATCACCAGCATCACTGCCATCGAAGATATCAGTCGCAAAAGCTGGATCAGGTCCCAATCCACCATCCCTTGTAAATAGATAAATAAACTCATCATTGTAAGACACGAGTAGCTCGCTCTGATCGGAGAATGCCAACCCTGTTATTCCCACATTGTCATCATCAATTAAATGTGGGGGACAAAAGAAATCAACAGGCCGGTCATATTTGGATGATGAATCCCAATTATAACTACGAATGTCGAATAGTCGAGCAAACTGATCTGATCCACCAACAGCAAGTAAATTTGGATTTCTTGGGTCTATTGTAATTGAATTTAGATGAACAGTGGTAAAATAATTCTGGCTTGGCAAGGGTCTACAAGTAAAGAGGCAGGTAGGACTTCCAGTTCTCAGATCAATCTGTTCAATAGATAATGGTCACACCATCAGTCTCACAATAAAACCATAAAGATATAAAGTCACCCAGTTAAAGAATACACAACTATATGGCAGAGAAATATACAGATGTTATTTCTTTACAGGGGTGTTATATGCTGGTTATCTAAAACTTTCCTATTAATATATTTTTCAATACAAGTGATTCGTCATTCCTGTTTTAAAGAACAATAAACAAGGAAACATAGAAGAAATGGTTCTTGAAAATCATTCAAATAGGATGAAAGAATACAGCGATCCCACATCAATCGCAACTCAAAAAAATATTGAGAATGGGTTGTGCTTTTCCCCAGGAGACAGACAACTCTTGCTAATGACATTTTCAATAGTCATCTGCCCGACCATTTAAAACTTATGTAATGAAGAATCAACATAGAAGGCCATGAATTTAATTTAAACAAAATAAATAAATTAACTTACATGCTGAACTAATCCATCCTCGCCACATGTATAAACAATATGAGGGCTCCCAGGTTCAATGGCCAACTTGTGCACCCGTCCCTGATGTCTTGCCACTAGTTTACTCTCCACTTCACACTCAGCAATTTGAGTATGTCTCACCTGAATGTAAAAACACACTTATATAAGAAAACACCCTTTCAAATGCTCATGAAGCAACACAATACTATCCATAAAAATAACTTGACTGAGTTGCCTCCATCCATAACATAATTAGAGAAGCTCCCCTAAACAAACTTTCAAGTTATTTATCCACATGAAAAAATTTCTAGAATGCGATTTCACGATTGGAGAGAGCATTAAAAGTAGGCATTGACATGGTTTACTCACTCTCCACTTCACACTCAACACTCAACACTCAACACTCAACAATCAGAGAATGTATCACCTGAATGTAAAACATCACTTGTGAGAAAACACCCTTTCAATATCTCATGAAGCAACCCAATAATATCCATAAAAAATAACTTCTGAGTTGACTCAACTTTCAAGTCAATTATCCACATGAATATAACTAGATGTAAATAGATTAGTATATTTACCTTATACTGATTGATTCTGGGAGTGATTCTAGGAATATAATCTTAGTTTCCTTTTGTATGATGATTGTATATGTATAAATAGGTGCAATTGTTATTGCATAATACATCAGAAATTCATTCACCTTCTTTTCATTTACAAAAGTAAACATTTCCACGGAAGCAACTTGTTTCTAATCAGAGAGAGAGAGAGAGAGGAAATCACCTGCCCATCAGCAGCACATGTAACAATGCTTCGCTCATCAGTGTAAGGCATGATCTTTGCTTGGAAAACATTGTTATGATGTCCTGAATGGAAAGAGAATTTTGCTTGACCAGATTCCCAATCCCAGAATATGACCTTCCTATCATCAGAACCCGATACTAGAACATCACCCGCTGCATTAAAGCTAACAGTGTTCACGCAACCACGGTGCTTCTCAAGCTTTTGTAGGATATCAAGACGAAGCACGAGATCCTGATAACCATGAAATGGGAAAACATAAAAATCTGAACACTCACATATACAAAAACACCAAGTTCCTCCTAGATGGAAATTCAGTAGACAATCATCATCGATTGAACATGAAAAGGGTGGGAGATAAAAGTAAAATTTATGATATTGTTTCACCAATAAGACCCTAGCCGTGCTATAAAGCAACATGCAGATGTCAGACTATATTGCTTCAGTTTACAGTACGAATAATAATCCTGTGTCACAAATGTGCAAAAGAGATAACTCCAGCATTGTATAGTAGTATCTAACTAGTGATCTTCCAAACAGTGCTAGAGATATGGGCCACATGGTCCTCACAATTTGAGTTTGTGATACACACTCAAATTAAAACATGAATTGTATCTAATTGCACTCTCAAATCCCAAGTAGTCGAATTAACACACCAAACACTCTAAAAAACACATCAATTATGCACGAGAATATGTACCTGTGAGTAAGATATATAAAACAGAAACTGAATCCGATACAAATAAGATATCAGACAGTTAGGGTTATGGAAGTGAAACAAACCTCGGAAGCGGCAAGCCGGTGGGCGAAGCTTCTAGTGGAGAGGGAGCCCACTTCACGTTTCCAAACATCGACAATCGACGAATCGAGACCCGTTCTACCTCTCCTTCTCATCGTCATCCACTCCTTAACTAACAATAATTCTTACGAATTCCGTAAATACACCCGCTAATAAAATCAAACAAATGGGAATGCAAAAAAAAGCGATCGAGTTCAATCCATAAAAGCTTTTACCGAACAAATTACTCAAAAATATGTGCCGATCAATCTAGACGAACGACGTATTAAATATTCACGTACACATTTATATATATATATTAAAAAAAAAAAAAAACCACACAGAGAGAAGAACAATTTGTATTTCGGATTTTGCAAAATGATGAAGATGAAGTTGGGGTTGTCGCCTGACGGCAAAGGAGAGTATAGAGTTCGAGTTGGGCTTACCCATAATGCATCTAATTAGATCCATTGGGCCAAAGGCCTACTCAACACAATCACTACTCACTGCTAATTTTTATTTATAAATTGTAATATAAAATGTTTATTTTCATGGAAATTTATCTTTTTAATATATTAAATATTTATTTTCATGGAAATTCAGATAAATTGCATAATCATATTGATAGTTAAAAATAAAATAAATTAGTATTATCAGATAAAAATTGTCCCCTTTTAAAAAATGAATATCAAACTTGGAATTTCCCACTATTTGATTTCAAGGGACTAAAGTAAGAAAAGAAAATTACAGGGGGGGAAAATGTGATAGTAAACAAAAGTTTAAGGGGTAAAAGTGAAATTAACCCTGAAGGCTGCAACAGTTATCCACCCATTCTCAAAAACTTGGTTGATCAATGATCGGAGTTTGCAGCATTCAGCTGTCACTCTCAGCGCGGCCGGTTTCCGCCGGCTTCCGCCAACTTCCGCCGTTAGTATGTGTGCTAACCAAACAAGGCCAGCGGCTTCTCTCCTCCATCGCCACCAGCGAACAGCCATCAGCCGCCATTAGCTTGCTCCGCAAATTCGTGGCCTCATCTTCCAAACACGTGGCACTCTCCACCCTTTCCCATCTCCTCTCCCCCTCCACCTCTCACCCTCGTCTCTCCTCCCTCGCATTTCCAGTAAGTGTATCGATCTATATACGTTTTCTCTTTATAATTGTTACCCACATTGGCAGCTAAAAAAATGTTTTAATCGATTTATGCAATTTGCAGTTGTACGGAATAATCGAGCAGGAATCGTGGTTTACCTGGAACTCTAAGCTCGTCGCAGATTTGATTTCGTTGTTGTATAAGGCAGAAAGGTTTGACGAAGCGGATAATTTGTTTGGTGAAACAGTTTCGAAATTAGGGTTCAAAGAACGAGATTTGTGCACGTTCTACTGCAATTTAGTAGATTCTCATGCTAAGCACATGTCCGAAAGAGGGGTTTCGGATTCTTGCACACGATTAAAACAGCTGATTTTGGCTTCATCTTCCGTTTATGTGAAGCAGAAAGGGTATGAATCAATGATTGCTGGATTTTGCGAAATCGGATCGCCTGATAAGGCTGAGAATTTGATGGAAGAAATGAGACAGAATGGGCTGAAACCATCTGCATTCGAGTTGAGAACACTTGTCTACGGATATGGGCAGATGGGATTACTTGAAGATATGAAGAGAAGTGTTGGTCAAATGGAGAAGGAAGGGTTCGAATTGGATACAGTGTGTTATAATATGGTGCTTTCATCATTCGGTGCTCGAAATGAGTTTCTTGATATGCTCTTGTGGTTGAAGAAGATGAGGAATTCGGGCATACCCTTTTCGATTAGAACTTATAATTCGGTTCTAAATTCATGTCCGACGGTTATATTGTTGTTGGAAGATATGAAAAGTTTGCCTCTTTCGGTGAATGAGTTGGTGGATAATTTGAAAACTGGCGAGGCGGATTTGGTGTTGGAATTGATGAAATCGGATGTTCTTGATCAGGTAATGGAGTGGAAGTCAACGGAGTTGAAGCTGGATATGCATGGAATGCATTTGAGTACTGCTTATTTGATACTCCTTCAATGGTTCAAGGAGTTGAAAGTGAGGTTTGGTGATGGAAATCACGAAACTCCAACTGAGATTTTGGTGGTTTGTGGGAGTGGAAAGCATAGTTCTAAAAGAGGAGAATCGCCGGTGAAAGTTTTGGCGAAAGAAATGGTGACGAGGATGAAATGCCCGTTGAGGATTGATAGGAAGAATATTGGGTGCTTCATTGGCAAAGGAAAAACTTTCAAGGATTGGTTGTGTAATGAGGATTCCAACAAAAACCCTGCAGAAATTATCAAGGCACAAGTATAAATAATTTGATGCAATGTCACTTTGAATTTGTTTTGGAAAAGCATAAAAGTTGATCAATAGACCCAGCTAAAACATATTTTTGCATTTGTGAAGGTATTAAAAATCAAACAGAACCGGAAATAAAAAGGATAGGCATATATACATATTTATAGATGAGAAGATGTTCTGGAGTTGTTTGTTTATCAATTATACTAAGGATTCAAAAGAGAGGTACCTAAATACAAATTTGAAGATACAGTGGTAACCAAAGTACAGCAAAATATCCAGCTTCTCCAGTTTTCAGCATGATTTTTGGGGCAAGACACAGAGAAACCTGGCAAATAATTCAAATGCAATACCATGAGAAAATTAGTCAAGTATTAATTTTCTCCATGCTTTGATAGGTGATCAAACAACACGAATCAAAGTTGGTTCTTAGAAAATAAATAGTTAATGGTAATTTCTGAAGAATGCCAAAATATCAGGATTAAATATAATGATTTTGGATATATAATTCGATTGAGATGGTATGTACCTAGAAGGGGAACTCTTCAAAACCAAGGCATCCACCATATATACATCTTTCCAAGGTTTTTGAGGGAAACTGCTTCTGCAATTAGACGGCGAGCTTGTCCTTCTACAGCGAGAGGCAAAGATGGTGCTGCTCCTACACCAACCACAACTCCTTGCAGACGTGCTTCTATGTTATTGATGGCTCGCTAAAATTCCAGGCAAAAGAAAAGCAGGTGTTACCAAAATTTCGTCAAACTATGACGATTATGCGGAAATACCTAACTCAAACTGCATATCTTTAAGGAGAATTGCAACTCAGAATGTCAAAGAAGATCATAGACTCAAACCTGTGCATATGGATTTTGTACTTCAGTTCCACTAGACTTGTGAGATTTAGTCCATTCCACAAGAGGGTCATGAATAAAAGTCTCCAAAACATTCATGAGTGTCTCCTTATTCGCCCTTAGAATTGCAAGTGTAATCTCACAAACCTTCAGGTAGGTGCCCTCATATCCAGTGATGCCCAGCCCATCAATCATGTTCTAGATAGCCAACAAAAGTAAAGGAAAATGGTCAAAATAAAGCCCTTACGATGAATATTTTATTAAAAAATTCCAAAAAATAAAAAGTAAACCTGCAAAACTTATTTCCCGACTGAATAAGATCAAGAGTTAGAAAATAGGAACAAAAACATAAAATTACGAAATTTCCAGCATCTATATGTGCAAGAAAGTGGATCTTGCTATCGCGTATATAAAAAATTTCCATGCTTATGTAATTCTTACTCAGTTTCTACTTATTTGTGCCCGTCTCCCTTACCTGTGTCAGTCGGAAAGGCACCAATTCTGGCTTATCCAAATCGAGGCCTTTGTCAAACAAGCAACTAAAATCAACATGGACACAATCTCCTGTGGTAGAGTCAAAAAGAATGTTTTCACCATGACGATCCCCAAGGCCAACAATGTGCCCAACCATTGACCAAACTGCAGTAGTATGTGCATAGGCAATGCGAGCCCTAAACCACATTGCTGGTTCTGAAAATGTGTTCAAAAACCATTTGTGGAAAGCTGGAGGGAACATTGGCAGAATTTTGGTCTTTAGCATTTCATCTTCTGCCATTTTACCTTGTGATTGATCATAAATACGTTTAATTTGAGGATTTGTTTTCTGTCTATCAAACTTTCCACCACTTGTATAGATATCCTGGATAATATGTCGGAGACCACGAGTATGCGGCACCCACTCCACCATACCGCAATCTTCTGTCAATGGTACCACAGCAAATGTACGAATATAAAGCTTCCGACGACGACTTTCAGGGCTTTTGGATAGTAAACGGTTTATCATTGCATTGAATTCCATCATACGTGCATCTTTTCTAAGGTCATCCTTTGGTTTACAGAGAAATGGCCGTTCAGTTCCATCACTACCCATCAGAACGATCTGCAAAATTTAGAAGGCAGTTTCACATAAATAGCCGAAATCAGTCAAAAGAACAGTTCCATTCAGGCATCCCAACATCTAGATTATGGAACTAATCAAACTAATGGACTAAAATAAAATGCTAGCAGTCACTGTCTCACTTAGCATAAATTCAATCTCAAGAAATTAGTTCAATTATGGTAATCTAATCAAGAAAGCCTCTTCAATAGGGAAAGAATGAAAGTAAATGAAATATCAAAGTTCTGAAATCACGTTAAGAAATTTGATGTCGATTTTTTTTTTGTTTTTTTTTTTTTTTATGTGAGCGGCAATAAATTTGAAATAAAAGATGAACCAGAGAAATTAAAAGGACGAGAGAAAAGAAGAAAAAGAGAGCAGCCAAATGAGGTCCTACTTTCTTTGGACGCTGAAGTGATGATAGAATTTCAGCCTCATCTGCTATTCCGGATATTGTTGGCAAGTCTGAATATGAAAATATATCAGATGTACCAGACTCAGTCAGATTCACATCATATGAAGGTAGGTTAACAGTAAGAGATTCTCGGGTTGGCATTACAATTTCCACAGGCATCATCCTCTTCAGGGCACTAAACTCAGTTAAAATGTTGATTGTCCTCGACTTTGTTTGGCATGGATGGAAGCATAACTTGATCAGATGATCTACTAAGGTAGCGAATTGCACAAACATAGAGTTAGGACCTCCTTGACTGGATCCTTTTCTGGCAGCTTGTATAATCTCTGCAGCAGCCGCTCTTCTTGAAGGAACTGTAGATTTTGTAACAGCTACCATGGTCCAAAGGGCTTGCTGGGGATACTGCCGAAGAACTGAAGTAATGATGTGCTTCACCAAGCGGACAATTTCTTCATTTTGGTGGCAAATCCTCGACACCAGTTGAGGCAAGACAGTCAACCATTGGTAGGTCGGCAGGCCGGTCAAACACCCTCTCATGACTCTCATGACCTAAGCAAGATAAGGAAAATTAACAAAAAGTTGAAGAAAATAATTATTAATAAAGTTTTAACTGGTGAAATTATTACATGCGCCTGAACATTCTTCATATCTTTACTGGATTGGGGATTGCTTCTGTAATTAATGCTCCCAAAGTCAAACCATAATGTCAACAACCTCGGCAGGGCCTGGAATAGATTATTGTGACCCCTGTGAAGCCCTTTGGCATAACACAACAGCACTTCTGGAAGGTAAGTCCACCACTTCTCTTCAGAATTTACATTTTTAGATGCAACATCGCCTATTTTAGACGACATTGATCTCACAGATTGGTCGTTACTGTCTTCTTGGCGTTTCCGAGCATCAACAAGTACTTCGTCATAGTATTTCGCCATGTAGAAGTATCCCTTTTCCCACTTTGGCTGCAATTCCTTAACCCTAGAATATAGATTGGTCACATCTCCCTTCTGCTTTTGCCCAGTGTAATGGATCCACCTTGAGTAAAGGAGTAGTGTCTTTGCTACATTTAGATTCTCATTCGTACACCGAGTATCAGATAGCAGAGGTGGAGGATTCACAGGAACCACAGAAAGGCTGGTGATTGATGATATAACAGCAGGGCCAACAACCTCTACAGGCATATTGAGAAGGGATTGTTGCAGCTCTGCAATGGCGCCATCGGTCTGCCTGGTGCTCCACATAAGCTTAGCCTTCTCAATGTGAACATTAGGTGCTCCTGCGACCTCGGCTTCCAAAATTGCTCGCTTTGCAGTTTCATAGTGACCAGCTGAACGACAAAGCTTTGCATATTGTATCCAGCAATTCCCAACTTGAGCACCAAAACCACTGGCACTAAAAACAAGTCTTCGGAAGGCCAAGAGTGGCTCCCTTGCCCATAAAGATGGTTGGGTAAGTTTCAGTCGGCTTTCCCAGTTTTCCAGTGTCCTTGAGAATTCTGGTTCGTCTAGTCGGAATCTCCTCCCCAAAAAAGAATCACCATTAAGAAGAGAATTGAAATCCTCAAGCTCTCGGAGCAAGTGAAGCTTCACAACAAATGGATATGCCCGTGCATAAGAATCCATCCCAGCAGCAGCAAGAGGAGCGATCAGAGCTTGTTTAGATAACGCAATTTTCTCTGCAACAGAAAACTGATCCTTTTTCATCATTGCCTGAAGAATCTTTGCAACATCCTTGTCGAAAAAAGCATTACTCTCAGAGCTGCTACAAAGTAGACCTTCTTCGTCAGCCCCACTGAGGTACTCACCCATCAATTCCCACTTCCCAAGCCTCCAGGCAGCTTGAACCCCTTGGGTACACCATGTTTTCCTATACTGAGGAATCCTAGAAACTAAACCATCTACATGAGTTACCATTGCCCGTAAATGGGACATGTTGAGCAAGCAGTTAAGAACATCGGACTGCCTCTGAACAGAAAAGGATTCCATCTGCAGAGCTTGCTCACAAGAATTTAAAACTTCAGCCCAGTTTCCTGCCTTTTTGTTAATCAGGAGATGGTCTTGTAAGCTTGTTGACTTACGTAAAGATGCCAGACCAGATAAGCCATCTGGCTCATCTAATCCACTATGTACTTGCATTAAAAATGATATATCTTCATCCTCAAAAACACCGCTCTTTTCGGCAGCAGGGTTGAAAGCTCCCGATTTTTCCCGCACATAAGACTCAAAGTATAATAAAGATCTTGCATAAGCCTGACACCTGAATGAGGCCTTAGCAAGGGTAATCTTAGGAATTGCACCTAGGAGTTCTGAGACATGTTTGCATTGTGTAAGCACTTGGTTTGAATCCTTCAGAAGAGCCATACTCTGGTCCTTCAACTTGTTAGCTTCTTTCTTAGAGTTGGACGACTGAAGAGGCTGGGAAAGGGCAAGTTCTTGCTCAACATCGTCCACCCATTGGCCTAGATTATCGAGAAGAGTAAATACAGCTTGAATGCACACCTCACTTTGCCCAAAATTAGTACTATGAACAGCAGGAGTGCTACTATCTGAGGTGGCTGCATCAAGAACTGATAAAATTTCCTCTGTTATACCACTGCGTGCCTCCTCAGTACCATCACAAACAGCATTAAGAACCAAGTAGGGCAGAAGATAGATGGCTATTTGCATATCATGACGCACTATACCTCGACAAGCATTAAAAATTGTAGACCGAGAACCAGTGGCATGTGCAGTTAATTTTTTGATCCAAAAATATATCCATCTTCTGAATGACATCGAAGGCCGGTATATAGGACCAGAAGCAGCTGAATCTGAAACATTGGGGAGTTGGAATCTTGACGTTAAGCAAGGGGCTATTATCTCTTTGACATAATTAGAGAACCGGTCCCATAATATCTGGCCCCTACCTAACATCATTTCACTGCAGTCATCCATGCCCCTGCTGGAAAATTTGCCCACCTTCAGATGTTGTTTGCCTTTAGTCCGTTCTAAAACATTCTCATCAAGCGATGCCTCACATCCTGCAACTTTTAGCAGCTCCTGAATAGCCAATGCAGCTGAATCTTGAATGATGGTATCAGGTGCAGCTCTGAAAGACCTCGCCAGATGTTTATGGATCAACTCGAAAATCAAATCATCATCAGAACATGCAATCTTAAAGCGTGTGCTGGAAAATCCCTTGATTTTGGCAGGATCTATAGCACCAAGGGATCCAAGGCAATCTGCACATATCAGCTTCAACCGCTGTCCAACTGAAGTCCTAGACTCCTCTGCACATCCTTTTAGCAGTGATGTTATCAAAGAACTCATTACATCCATAACCAAATCCCCTTCCTTTGTTAACAAAGCCATGAACTCCTCCCTTTTCAGGTTCAACAACTTGCTTAGCTCAGATGCGACCATGTATCTCACATTCAAGTTTTCATGATTTAATCCCTCCACAACACCATGTAATTGATCTTTCAGGGTCATCAACCCACGTGCTTCTTGAATCACCTTGTTCACTTCTGACAGGGCAGGAACATTGGGTACAGTAGGGAATTCACGGATATGCTGCTTCAAAATATCCTTGTTCTGAACCACGAGTTCTTCCAATATCTCCACAATCTTACTATTCATATGGGAAGATGAACTTCCTGTCTCTCTCTCCAAGAAAGGCACGAGAGCAGCAAAAACTTGAGAAATGACATGTTCAGTGCTAGATGGAGACAAAATAGCTAACTGCTTTAAGAAGAAATGCAATACAGAAAGACCCTCACGCTGAAGCCATTCCTTATGGATAGCATGCATGAGAAGAACCATAATTTTTGGTACATATGTGCTAAGATGGGAGCCCATCAATTTAATCAGCATCTCTATCCGTCTGATGGCTTGTTTTTGCAATGATACATCCTCTGCATGAAGCATTTTTCTATCAATGCTATTCAGCAAACCAACAACATGGTTCCTCAAAAATCCTGGAAGATCTTCACTACCAGTAAGAATTTTCGCAACTTCTTTAATCATACGAGGTACCCGACCTAACCTGAAAAAAATAAGTGTACCGCGTGTGAAGAACAGAGCTTGTAATAACATAAATGAAATTCATAAAGGAAGTACAGAAGATACAGATTCCACAAAGAAAACAGTAAATCGGTAGCCTAGAATAAACAAACCTTAAGGTAGAGACCCTCAAAAGCATGATCCTTTAAATAGTACTCTCATCCTATATTTCAAATTAGTGATTACATGTCACTTGCAACATTTGTACCCCCCCCCCCCCCCCCAACAACAAAAAAAAAAAAAGAACTTTATACGCAGTTTTTTCGATCAAGTACCTTTTACTTATTTCTTCTGCATCGTCAACATCCGTAAAGCATATAAGTTCATCTAAGAGTGCAGGTAAAGCAGCTGCAAAAATTTCTTGACTATCAGATCCAGTATGATCATGGTAGAACTGCAAAGCGGATTTCAGTTCCAGCCCGTCAGATTGATGAAGAGCAAAAGCAAGTACTTTGGGCAGCCAATTAACAATAAGTTGAACCGTATCTGTCTTCAAACACTTAGCCAACATATCTAACGTTGCTAATGCTTGTTTACTATCATGCTGGAGGACCACAAGTCTGGGAAGAACAACAGGAATCATCCTCTTGACAAGTTCTTCAGTTTCAACACCAAGAACAGCTGCTGAAAATTCTTCGATCATTTTTGGCTGATTGGCAAGCCTCATACATAGATAATCATACAATTCGTTTTGGATATGAAGAACTTTAGCTAGGAGTCCTTCAAGTCCCCCTGTGTGATGTAAGCAGCAAGATCTGTTTATCAACTTTGAGGCGATTAGCCTCACTGTAACATAAGGATTGCCAAGCTGATCAATCAATAAAATAAGAGAGAACAAAAAGAGTTGACTATGACTATCAACAGCTTGCATGATTGTTGCTGCCGTTTCTATAAGGGTTTCAAAAACCAGAGGATCCTCAGCAGCTGCCAAAGCATGTTTTATTCTGTCCATGAATCTCTGCTCTTTAGATTTGTTTGGAGCTACATCCTTACATAAAAAAAAATATTCCAAAATAGGCTCCTGGAGGAAGAAAGTAATCTGCGAGCCAAATGCTTGTCTCACATTTTTGTTCCTGTGAAGGAGTAAAAAATCTACACATTTTACCCATTGAGATCTTGTCTTAAGCAAAACATCTTCAGTTCCATGCAAAAGAATTCGCTGAATCACTCTTACACATGCAACTTGAACTTCTTCTGATGATTCATCGTAGAGGAGCTCAAAAAAGAGAGACTGCAAATAGGTATAGTCACAACCCAAAATAAAATCTTTTTTGCGTATGCTAGGCAAAGGAACTGTTGAACATGACCCATATTTGACTGTGGCACTGCTGTCACACTTTGAACACCAAATCCCTTGCAGCAGATGATCTATAGGCAAGTCATTTTTCTCCTTGTCATTCTGCAAGTATATTTTGCATTCTACTTCCGGAAGTCCAGCTACACCATTGCAATATCCGTATAAGCATGCCAGATAACCAAGAGAAATGGGAATAATTTTCTTGACTTGCTCATTGTTCTCTTTCTTTAGGGTCCTGTGAGAGAATTGACAAAAAAAGGGACCTGTAAACACTTTATTTCGTTTTCAATAGCATGCAATGAGCTCAGATACTTGCGTGTTCTCAGTTAATTAAACAGACATTCTTCACTTACTCCAGCCTGGTAAACATATGTGTCAGAAAATCAAAACCAGAGAATACAACAATCACTGGCATAGAGATGACAGCTTCAATTCTAACTTCTTCTTCTTTATCATGAAGTGCCAAGTCCAGAACATCGAGATCCACTCCATGCAGTGTTATACTCCCAATCATGGACATAATGCGAGATGAGAGACATTTTGCCTTGCTGGGAGGATGAGATTCTATTACTGAAGGAGCATAGTTCCACGGAAGCTTTAGCACTTCTCGCAAGAAATCTCCAATATCATCAGCTTTTTCAAAGATCATGAGCATATCCTCTTTAGCTAGGGAATCATAGATGAAACGGAACAGGTTTAATAATTAGATTATATGAAATGATACATCCCAAAGTGATAGCAGCAAATAAACATAACCAGGCTTTTATTACGAAGCAGCATCCGGTGATTACTATAAAGTGTCACTATTATTAATCGTTCAGAACATCGTTTTAATATACCTTTCAACAGAGCACAAATTCTAATCTAAGAAAAAAAGGGGTGTTGAATGAAAGAAAGGGAAAAAGAACTCTTGACGCAAATATCATGCAGTGATCGATGAAAACTGAGTTCACATAACACTTACATTACCTTGCAAAAGCAGTAGGCTATGAACTGCTTCAAAGAAGATGCATAGATCAAGAGGAAAGGGAAGTTCTTGCTCCGTCTGCAAGATTTATTAAACATTAAACATCATAAAATGCCAAAGGTCAGATTATAAGGAAATTCAAACGAAAGAGGTGTGTGAGTGGGGAGCAACCTGCTGGGACATCCAACCAATCCACTTGCACATCAGCCTAAATATGCAAATGGAAAGGCTGGCATGAGGGTGTTCAGAAAAAACGATACATAGTGTGCTAATAGCTGTCAGTGCAATTTCTGTCCTCAATAAATTAGAGTTCTCCCCGGGAGGTTTTAGACTCTCAAGTAATAGATTCAATGAGGTACACATATAATCAGCATATTCTTTTTCTCCAACTCCAGTAAAACTACTAACAAACTTGCATATATCCCGACATGTAGCGCCAGTATCTATCTTTTGGCGCTTTGTTTCCAAAGTTTCTCTATCCTGAACAGGTCTTTTGCCCCCAGTATTTGAGCTTTCATATGCATTAACTCTTGTCTCTGACAGACCAGTGTGATTATCACCAGTCACTACCCCTCCAATAAGATTATGACCAAGCCTGGAGACAGCAACTTTGAAGCAGTCTATTAAGTGAAAAGTGGACGGGGAAGAATAAAGCATAGAAATAAGACATTCTGGCCTCCAGGAATGCGGCGGACATGTTTTTGCAATTCGAACATATGCACTGCACAGGCCAGCCTGAAATTTTCAGGAGTAGAATCGTAAATTGCAGCCAGATAATTAGTTTTAAAAAGTTCATTGATCGATATTTATACATACATACAACTCCAGATACATAAGTATGTACATACAGTTATTGCTACAAAGCATATAAAAGAATAAGCTTAGGCACTAAAAGTGGTTTATGCACATATATGGCAGGAGATGTACATGATCATTCATATGCCAGATGTTCATTCACAAGTACCTATGTTATATAAAGAGGTGACAATGACAATGATATGCATGCCAATGATATCATTATTAACCTTGAGCTCCGAGCTCCTTGTCTTCAGCATTGACTCCGGAAAAATGTGCACTATATCAGCTGCTGTCGACCTGACGACATCATCAGGACAACCAGAATGCAAGGACTGAAGACATCCTCCTAGTAAAGAGTCGTAATCCGCACTTCTGTAATCAAAAAATTGTGGCTGTTAGAAAATAACCTACGAGAGACAGCTTCAAGAGCCAATGTTGATAATGAAGTGGATAGCTAGACAGATCATCAAAGAATGTGCATAAGTCACAGGCAAAAACAATCTAAAAGTTCCGGACAGAATAGAAATTTTGAAAGGGTTCTGCAAATTGGGATTCACTAAATATTTTAAAGATGTGACAGAATCAGAGAGTCTGGAGTTGCTTGAATAAAATTACAAACAAAATTATACATCTCAGCTTATCATCAGGTAGACTCCACCAGCTCAAAATAAAGCAATCAAAAGAAACCCGTTAGATGCATAGTTCATCAAACCTGAAAGCCGCTCAACCATGAAGTCAGTAAGATGACAGACAGAAAAGAATAATGATTCGGCTATGTACGTGGATAGACTTGATAGATCAAAATGTAGTTATAAACAGAAAACTCTCACGTGATGACATCTCATGGTAAATCTTGTTGATAAAATTGATTTTCTCTTAAAATTTTATACAAGGAGTTTGACGGCCATCACCACATGATCAAGAGGAGATAGTGACACGGCACTCTGTTTGTTTAGATGTTGACCAAGGGTATCACTGAATCAACTAAAACCCAAAAGTTACTACAATGGTAACTACTAATTGTTCTTTGTAGGCATTTGAGTTATAACAAAAGAAAATTTTAGAAAATGAACAATCATAAATTTGAAAAGGGGAAAAGCTAATTCTAGAGTTACAATCAATTGACATACCTGAATACTGAAACTCCTACAACATCTCCGCTTAGTATGATTGTCATTGATTGTATTACTTTTTCAGTTGGAACAATCTCACAATTTTTCCCTGCTCCAATGAGCCGTGCAAAGTCAAAACAAGCCTTCGCACAACTTGAGAAGTTAGAAAGCCTATTGTAAACAGGCATAAAACATACAATACATAAAAGCAACTGAAGAAACTGGGAATTTGCAAATGTATCTACCTACCATGTGCAGATCATCATCTCCACAGCACAAAAGATTGCAGACAGACAAAACACAGGACGCATCCAAAAGCCCCTCAACATATAAAGTTCCTTCAGTTAAGCATTTATATAGAAGCTTGATGGCTGAAGTGGCAAAGCCTAAAAACCTTTCTTTTCCCGTAAGATCAACTAATATTCCTTCTCCATTGGTCGGCCTGTTAGATATTGGAAGATCTCGGAGAAGGGCAGGGGCAGGGTCATCGAGGATTCTGGCAAAAGACTCAGAGAAAGACTTCAACCACAATCTCTTTGGTCCTACTGACGTTCTCTCATCACAAATTGAGGCAACGTATGCGAGATCTACAACGGAAAATATGTTGATGGTTAAAGAAGAGAATTGAAAAGAGTCTGTCCTCAGATGAAATAAAGTATACTACCCACAAAAAAAGGTGAAACTAACTAGCGTACCATGGAAGGGAAACAACACACATTAATCAATCAAAATTATTAAGTTATCCTGATTCATAGGCATAGTAGAAGTTCTGACAGTCCATGTTGTGTACCTTCAGTTAATGACATAGTATCCATAAAGAATTGGCGGTATGCATCCCGATCACCTGTGCGGAGCAAGGATAGCAGGGATCCTATGGTCTCAAAAATTACTCCATGTCGTGAACTGCACAGATGCAAAACAACAATATTTAGTATTTAATCAAAGAGAATTTCTTCCAAAAGATATTAAATAACCAAAATTCTTGAAATCAACCACAAAATATATATATATATATATATATATATATATATATATATATATATATATATATATATCCTCCCAACTTTCAAGAACTTCACATCGGAGAAATATTATGACGGTACAGCTAGGTACAACGATTACCAAAAACTGTGGCAAGGAATTTAGTTACTCATTCCCTGATATAGGAGAAAAAAACATAATAAGTAATCAATTGACTAACCGAAATACAGGTTCAGCAAAGAAGCATAAAATGCGACCGATAACAGGAAGCACAGCATTCGCCTTCCCATGAAAGAAAACTCCCGGGAAATTCTTTGCTGTGTGTGACAATAATTTGAGCACTGCAATCACCTCCCTCTCTTTGGCTACAACATATTTGAATCTATTACTTTCAATAAATTAAAAAAAAATTAAAAAAAAAAAAAATAACTCCAAAAACTCCAGACTCTAACTAAACCTGGATAAAATATAGAGCAAGTTCACATACCGGAAGAAGAAGCGTCGATATAGGTCAGGATGAGATTGGGGAGAACAGTGCGGAATCGCGACTCCAAAACTTCGTCGTTTTCCTTGTTGAGAGGAGTTGACGACGATGCCGCTATGCGTTCTCGGAGCTCGTGCACCAGGCTCGACAGATTCGCCATTCGATCATTTACCCTAACCACAGCAGCAGACTCACTGTGTGTGTGTGTGTGTGTGTGTGTGTGTTTTCCTTTTGGTTTTCCCTCCTATTTCGAATCGGTAATTTAAGACGAACCGGTGTTCTGTATTTCGGCCCCGTTGCTAATTAACGGGCAACTTTTCATAATACGCTGTACTTCACTATTGAATCCGAATAACCTAAGCTAACCTATCAGGAATTCTACACGTGCCAAAATTGAAAGCCCTTTACTTACTTTTATTTGTTACTTTCCAAACAAATTTAAATAAAATATTCAATTGTTATTTAAACAGATAGTTCAATCAATTAAATTAAAACAAATAAAAAAAAATTGAACGAAACATATAAATATAGAATAAATGTCTCCAAGAGTGCAAGTAAGAAGAGAACTGCATCTACAAATTATTCAATTCAAATCCTCTAAAAAAGAATGTTAAAATATAATAACTACTCAGAAAAAACCAACTCTGCACAGCAGAGAAGAAGAGATGCAATCAAAAAACATCTACATTTCGCCGTTCTACGTTATTCTACTCGAAAAAATGAACTCAGTTATGAATTATGATCCAACTCTGTTCTATTAAGCAATGAATGAATAAATAAATAAATAAAAAAGAATGAATGAAAATGATTCAGTTAGGTAGAAGGAGGGGGAGCCCAAGTAGAAGGGGTTCGGGTAGAGTTCAAAGGCGGCATTGCTCTAATGTTAATATCAATGGGGTAGAGACGGTACTCGATATCGAGCTCTTTAAATATCTTGACCAACTCTTCAACCAACACTTCTCTCCTTTTCCACTTCTCTCCCATGTTCTGATGATTCATTCGGTGCCTCATCCACACCGACATTTTCAGCATGTGCAGATTCTCCAAATTCATTAGCACTACCGATGGTGCGGGGTACCAATGCTCGCTCTTGTTTTCGATGATACTGCAGTTTCGAACGTAAAAATATTTTAATTAATAAACAACAAAGGCGTAAAAAGCAGTTCTTGAAATTATATATTTAATTTACCTTATTATTCTTTGCTTCATCAAGGCAATCTTTTCAGCTGGTGTGGCAATGTGTACTGAGAAATCAATTGAATCGCCCATATCTGGACTGCGATAGTAGTTACTTATAGGCTTTGTGGCGAGAGTTACGTTCGGGTAGAGTATCTTCTGATTGTCGAATCTCAGAAAGACAGTTGTCAATATGTTCATTTCTTCCACAACCATCTGTGAATTTTCCAACATAAGATCATTTATTAGAGGAAGAAAAGAAAAAAATGGTATATTATATGGTGGGAGGTTTCTTGATTTTATTTTTTTATTTTTTTATTTTTTTTGTACCTGGACTCCATCAACTTCGCATCGATCCCCGACATCAAAAGGGTGCATCACGAATACGAATATGATGGCTTCGAATATTGTTTTGCAGGTGTTTCCGAATATAAATGCCACAACCACAATCTGGGAGCTGATGTAGAGCAGAAACTTGCTGGTTGCAATTTCAAGAATGACTAGGCAAATGACCAATATGATGATGCCAACTATGATGTTTACCATCTGATGAAGTTTGTCGACAGCTGTCTTTGTGTCGTTCAGCGTCAAGGCTAGAGCTCTTCGTTCTATGAAGGCGTTGACCTACAGAAAATCACCGAAAAAAAATCAGGTAAAAAATCAATAAATTATTAGAGTAGTGAAAGTGATATTGGTAGTATTTCATACCACCCAATTTTTTAGGGTTGCTTTGCTGATTTTGTCGCTTTCAGTAGACCCTTCAACGATGTTCAATGTTTTCTCAGCCTCATCTTGTTGCAAGAAGCGCATCAGATCCTCGAGGTAGATGAACCTGCCAGAACGGAGAATTATTTTGTGGAACTAAAATTGGATCGTCAAGAAAGTTTAAAAAAAATGAAGCTCGTTAATATATTTTATAAGTGCATTGCATTGGATGAACATTATTATAAAAAATCACGAGAAACGGTTACATAAACTCAATCATTTGCATTCCATGACATATCAAATCTTAAGGATCTGACACCATAAGTTCACTAATTAATTAATGTTATATCATTTTAAGAAGTTCACTAATGAAACACCAACATGGGCCTCAACCATTTTAGACAAGTCTTGATTACCTCGCCAAAAGCATAATTATTTTCATGACAGCATTCCTCGGTTTCCATTAAGAGAGACCGTTAACGGTTGATCAATATAAATACGTTCCACTAATCTTACTTAAAAATTAGTGCCGTAAGCACAATTAGTTAAATAGAAAGACTTACTTGGCCCTAGGCTTAGCCACATTTCTGAAAATTTTCCTAGCTGCACACAATGCCTCATGCTCACTCCTGATCTGTGTAGCAGTCTCATCACCTTCCGAGCTATCCAGCGCTCGTTCATCCAAAGTGGTCAAAACCCCTTTCTTGACAACTTTCATCAATCTCTTCATATTCCAAGCAGATACATTCTTATTATTTAATTTATGCAACTGATCAATCGATATCCCCTGATCATCTTCGCTTTTAGTAGCCTGATCAGGAAATTTGAAGCTCACCCCTTTTGGTGGTTTCGGGGGCAATCCCCCCCCACCCACAACATTGCCACCCACTCTCCCACTCTTTGTCGGTTGAAAATTTGGAGCCCTCAGATCAGGCGGCAAAGTGGCCCCCGCATTCTGAAGCCTCCAAATCTCAGCCATTGTCCTATCTTCTTCCTCTTGATGGTGCCTCATCTCAATCAATGGTGCCCCCGATAGTGTCTCGATCACGTACTGGTTGAATAAAGATTCTTGAATACGGTCGAAGAAAGTGCTGACGTGGAATGAAGAAGCAAGAACTTTCACCATAAGTGTTTTCACTAACCAAAGCAATGTTCCCACCAACATACACACCATTAACTTGTTCACATACCGTAGAAACTTGTTGTCACCTTCGACCTCCTTATCGAACATAGAGTGCCAAGCAATCAAAACAAGACCCAACCAAATACAGTTTTGAACCGCCTTTCGTACACCGTAAACAAAGTACAACACCCTTTTCCTCATAAAGAAGTTCCTCTCGATAAAGAACACAACTATCCTTATCGCCCAACCGGAAACCAATCTCCCACAGATCAAAACAAGAACCAGCACTTCCCACTTCCACAAACTCAGCCCCCTCATTTTTTTTCTCTTCCATTTCGAAATTGACAGAGTGGTCACCAAAGCTGTCACAATTAAGATAAGACTAATCCATTGTGCAATAGTCAGTGCATCAAATTTGGCCTTGGTGTACTCGTCGGGTAGATCCTCGGCGAACAAGGGGTCGTCCTCCTCTTCGTCTGGCGGCTTTGATAACATTCCGGAAGCTCTCCCTAACATTCCCGACTGCATTCGTGTGGACTTAATCATTCCCGATCTTCTATCCGGTACCTCCGGTGGGTCCATCAGCCTAGACCTGGTTTTCATCCTGCCTAAACCACTAAACCTTCTTTGAATTGAGGTACATCTCAATACCTGGCCGTCATTGCCAATACCGCTGTTGTTCGTTTCCAAATTAGCTCCCATATTCATGGATCGCCTCCTGTTGTGAACTCTTTGATTGTCGTCCTCGTCGGAGGAGGAGCCGTTGTTCTGCCAGCTCTTCCTCTGTTCGTCGGGGCCGATGTCGACCACATTGCTAACGCTGGAACTGGGGTTTTCTGATGAAAATTTCAGCTCCCTGGAGTTTGGGAAACTTTGATAGTTGTTGTTACGGTCGTCGTAAGGGGGGAAATTGTTGTCATCGGGGCGGAATTCGTCCATCTCCAAATCGACGTCGAGGCACAAATCTCCGCCGGAAGCCTTCTGTTTGTTCAGAAATTGCCCTATTAGCTTCGACGGGGGATCCTCCTGAAATTCGAACTGCGATTGTTGTTGCATGGACTTGTTCCCGTCGTCTCTCCAGAAATCGAGGCTCGATTCGCGGCAGACGTTCCTTTTGGTGGTGGCGGCGGCGGCGGCGGGGGCGGGTTTATCGTTGTCGCCGCCGTCGATTTTGACAATGAATTCGGACTGTCCTGCCATGGGGTGGGGGTGGTGGTGCGGGTCGGCGGGGGTATCGGACGTGGATTCGCGGCTGTGATCAAACAAAATGGGCTGGTTCTCGTCGTTAGCGTGTTGCTGCGCGGCGTTGGTTATGGAAATTTTTCTGCCATGTTTGAAGGAATTAAGGGATTTGAAAGTTTCCCTGCATGAAGAGGAAAATTCCATTAGAGTTCAAAGCCCAATAAGGAAATATTCAATCGACAATGGATTTGTAGTTTTAATTATTTTTTTTGGATTGCTACGTAAAACTAACTGAAGGAGAGAAAGCTGCAATATCTCCTATATTTAGAGAGATGGTTATGATTTGTTTATGGTGTTTATTTATTTATTTGGAAATGAAATGAAATGAAATACATCTTTGGTGATTATTTATTCATTTATTATCATTATTCTTATTATTTTTATTAGTTGAGAATTTGGTGAATTATGTTGAAGTTCATTTTTTTATTTTTCATTTTTTGTTGATAAAAAATCGAACTCTCGTACAATAGTAGATCCGATTTCTGTCCAATTTGTTTTTCTAACTACTATGTACTAACTTTTGCAATCTAAGGACCATCTAATTGAGCTTGAATGTGTTTAATTTGTAGGATTAATGATTTATAAGAGAAAGTTAATTTTTAAATTGGATTAATAAGGTTAAAACAGAAAAGAAAAAAAAATGTATTGAAAATCGCTTATACATTAATGAATAGTGATGATGAATATAAATTAATTTCTATTTTCTTTTAATTTATTTTTTTAAGATAAGGACCGTTGATTTCCCATCGATAATTTATTACTAGTATTAACAAGCGTATACGTAGTCGATATCCTCCTTTTCAATTGTATTTGTGTACTTTGAGATAATCAAATTTGCAGAATTGATTTCCTTGCACGTTCAATATATAATATAATAATTACATTCGTACACAGCATAGCAATTAAGATTTAAGACAACTTATAAGTTATAACTAGCAGAGATTCATTCATGCTTGTGCGAGGTCCTAATTCTTGTACCCATAGAAAATATTAGCAAGCTATTTTATTTAGTTAGAAAAATAAAACCTTAATTTGAAGGATGAAAAATATGTAGGTACGACGTTAATGAAAGGGATAGATACTGTACAGTACAAATTTGAATTAAGATTAAGGGTGCAAGTGCCCAAAAATTGGAGGTGAGTATAATAATTCTAATCAACATTTTTCTTTCTTTCAGTGATGCCCCCTTCTCAGTGAAGAAAAAAATCCTCCAGATTTATCCTTCCGTTTATCATCTCCATCGTCTCCAACCTGTCGCACATGCGTCACGTATTGTTTAGAAAATATGGTCGATTTAGACAATTATAAGTTTATTTTTTTTAATCATTGAACTGGAATGAAAAAAATTACCTCCTTAGAAATTTGCTTAAGTAATTCCGTTACTTCGCAAAAGTCGGGTCTCAGAGCTGGATCTTGCTGCCAGCATCTCTCAAGCAGCTCAGTAAGCTTTTGATGAGTTAGCTTCGGAATAGTTGGCCGAAGACCCTGAAATGTTAAGTGAACGTAATGTTGCAATTAGCATATTACGGCAGAAAAACAAAATATGGGAATGAGAGAACCAACTAAACAACATATTCGACGATCATTTACCTTTTGGACAACTCCAACTGCTGCTTGTAAAGGTGTCAAGTACTCGTATGGAATCTGACAAAACCAAAAATGAAAACCATTAACTAAAAGGGATCGAGAACAATGCTGACTTTTTCGATATTTTTGAGTAAATAAAAGCTATTATACCTTTCCTGTCAGCAGTTCCCATAAAACCACCCCAAAACTAAAGACGTCTGCCTTATGATCATAGGGTTTATGTTCAATAACCTTCAAAGAACAAATACTTGTCAGTCAATGCAGTTACGGTTGATTTACAAGTAGAATCGATAGAATAACAGCATTTAAGAGATAATGTAATGTAATTAGCCAATTAGACAATATTCCATTAAGTATATTCAACTTTAGAGGGCATTTTGATCAAATTATTTCTGAAGTGAAGTAAAAACTGCTAGTAAGCATCAGATTATCGACTAGAAAGCATCACAGTGAAATCAAAAAGCCTTTAACTGAAAGATGGCAGTCGTAAAATAGAGAGCAGAAGCCTTGTAACTTGTAATTTGGTACAGTAGAGTATACCTCAGGGGCCATCCACCTATACGTCCCAGTTTCAGCTGTCATTACACCTGTTTGTGTTTTCACTCTGGCGACGCCAAAATCAGCTACCTTAACAACCTGAAATATAGAACTTTCAGATATTCTACACATAGCAAAGGTAAAATAATTGATTTTTGAAGATGGAAATCCTAAATGTCTATAATGTGACAAATTAAATGGGCTGCTTTAATGCTGCTTACTTCATTTTCATCCATCAAAAGATTTGCAGCCTTCAAATCCCTATGAATTATGTTGTTCTGATGCAAATAGTTCATGCCCTTTGATATATCAATCGCTACTTTGAGTAAATTTGGAAGCTTAAAAGTACCCTTTTGCTTGTGTAAATAGTCATAAACACTCCCTCCCGACATGTATTCTGCAATTGAACAAACAGGAAATTTTGAAACCTAAGATTTGCTGAAACAATGAAAGGAAAACAAGTTTATGTTTCCACATTATAAGGTCTCAAATACCATACGTACCTGTCACTATACACAAATTTGGAGGTTTGGTGCATGCTCCTATGAACTGGACAACATTTTTGTGTCGAACTTTTCTGCAAGTATCATATATCAACCAAGAAAACCATGAGAACGTAATATAATTTATAATTTTCCTATAATCATCTCAATGTCCAAAGATTTCAGAGATTGACGCCAACAAACATTAATGGTTGACCACTTGAAAAAATAACACAGATAAAACCTACACGATGTATATAATCCCTCTACGTGTTGTGATAATTACAACCATAGATATATATCCTGACGAACCTCATTATATATACTTCTTGGGCGAACTCCTTCTGCAGTTCGGTATTCAAGCGCTCTGTCTTGAGAATTTTGATTGCTACTTCCTGACTGCGGTAAGTAGCTTTGTATCTGAAAATTATAAAATTTAATGAGTAAATAGAACAATCAACGACAAGCATAAATTTCAAGAGTAACAGCCAGAGTGCTTACAGATCACCATAAGATCCTGACGCTATTTTGGATTCAAATTTCAAGAGTTGAGGATCAATTTCCCACACATCAGTTCCATCATTGGGTATTGTCAGGTGATTCTGATTAGATTCAGATTTAATCTTTATTTGCTCATTTTCATGGAGAGTAGGCAACACATGTGGATTAGGCCAACGAGTTCTCTGCAACAACGAAAATGTATCCTTTGTAATCATTGATTTGACAAAAATGTCGAAAAGATATGTGCATTTGATATTCATGATTGTAAAGAACATGACAGTTTTCGGAAGTTTATGCTTCATCTAGTAGCATCGGCATTATATACAGTATAAGGGTGCATATGAAATATGAGCCTGTGTACTTAACAACAAAGCACTTCAACAAAATTAAAACCAACACTAGCAGACAGAGCCAACATGTATAATCATCAAGCAATAGTGACAGTGGCTTCATCCAGGCCTGACAACATAAAGGCTAAAGAATGTGCAGGAAACCTCATAATTCCAAGGTAGTTTCAATCACATAGTAATGCAGTACCTCAATTTTCAAAACTTCTTTTTCCACAGCAGTCCGGAGTTGCTCAACCTCCTGAAAAATAAAACTAACATGTCAGCAAAATCTCTCTTAATCCATGAGTACTAAACTAATAAAATAGCTATTTAATCTCTAGATTGTAAATAATGCAAGACTGGTGGCACTAAAAGTAAGTTTCAGGCCTTCAATCATATTTGTTGAAATGACAATGACCCAGCGAGTCTACATACACATACAAGAATAGGATTCAGAAAAAAAGGAAGCAAATTAATTTAAAAAAGAGAGGTGAACCAGAGCCAATACATTTCGCAAGCCAAAAACATTTGCTGCTCATTCATTCTTTATCATAAGAAGTGCTAAAAAACATTATTTACTAAGTCAAAAAACTTCACCAACCATCCAAAAAAAAAGGATAAACGGAACATTTAGCACAAATGGACCAAACATCACCAATTATAATACTTGTTGAAATAACAAAAGTATAATGTGTCAAAAGAGATAAAAACAGCCCATTCTGAAGTGAAACACATTTCACCAGAACAAGGTCCGATTAGCCAGAGAGAGTGAAATAATCTATATCGATATCTGAAAACAGTAAATGAAGATGAAGATACCTCAAATTGCCAGCCATCAACAACAAAGACATCTAGAGAGTAGCCATCCACAGTGGAAAAGGCATGTGCTTCCTGGATATTGAGCCCAACTTCTGATAGTAGAGAAGTCAACTGCAAGTTCCATCATTGAAGAGTTAGGTCCTAGAATATCCTTTTCTTAACATGCATAACAAAATAGAATTTGCTTAAGAAGAACACATTAAGAAGCAAACTCAGCAGCTGCAAATTTTCGGCTCATGCATGAACAAGTCTCAAAACGATGAGATTTAAAGGATCGCAAAAAGAACGTGTTGAAGGAGCTTCTCATCTTATAAACCTAAGATTTAGCACTATATTATTTATGCCTGCTAAATAATCCAGAAAAGTATGGGTTTAATTGCAAGCAGCTGATTCCAGTATATATAAATATATAATGGTGCATCAAAATAAGTACGTCAATTACCTGACTGAGGAGCTTTGGCTTGTCATCTGTTGAAAATGTAATCTCGTGCATAGGCCTGCATTTACGATTATGTGAAAAGTAAGCTCCACAATGACACTTCAATTATCATTGGTTTCTTTCATGAAACATTAAAATTTGCCTGACGAAACTTATTGACAGGCTAAGAATGCCAAAAAAAATCTCAAAACAGTATAATTCCATCTCAATTCTCATGTAAACATATAAGGTGGCAAGTATATATCAAAAGAATGAGGTTGGATCATACTGTGATTAGATCACATATACTGCTGCCACAAACTGAAATGAGTGGAAAATAATCGATCTGGGAGGTTATTCTGGTGAAATACTAAGTGCCCAGACCGTTTAAAGATTTATCATTTAAAGTTCCAATAGGAGCACCACTCATAATTATAAGACCAAGATTGTAAAATCTCAATTAAAGGTACCTTGGAAACTTGGCATCAGCATCCGCAGCGCTGTCCCCATCTTGTATATCAAATTTGCTTGCTTCGAGTGCAAGAGCTTCAAGATTAGGAGAAGAACCAAAGGCAGGTGGAGGATGGATGCTGAATTAAAAAATGCTGTAAACATCAAATAATCCAGTAAAGGCTAGAAAAAACTACAGATAGCTGAAACTTAGATACACGGGTAACCATAAAACACACGTTTAGTTTTTAAGAAGTGGGCAAATACCTTCCCCTAGTCGGTAAACGTGAATGCACCGTATCTCCTGAGCTCCCATCTAATACAGGACCAACCTGCACAGGATAAAAATATGCTCAACATACAGATGGCATCAATCAAGAAAGAAATATCATATGATGACTGATGAGTGGTACACAACCAGGGAAAAGGGTCGTTGGTTCACTGCAGATAAAGTCCACCGGGAGAACATTTAAATCAAGCATTATGAGAATATGCCTGCCCTGATGTATGCTAAGTCAAAACTTCGGTTCATGCAAGGTTAATGTATGCATATTCACAAAATATTGCTTTTCTATGAAAAATGAATATTGGACTTCAGGTTACTGATGGGAAAAGTATGTCGAATTATAGTGAACTTTAGCTGAAAGAAAAGCAAGCTGGAACTCCAGAAGTATGTAAGATTATGCCGAGTAACAATGATTGGCTCATGCCATCCTTTAAAAACTCACAGTGTGCAATAAGTCACATGATAACGCCACCAGCCTCAGCTTCTATGACTCGTGTCAAAATCCTTTTGAAATAACTGACGCAATTTAAGATCTCATAACAAGTAGCTGCCACTTCACTTAAAATCACAATATTACCATACTCATAACACATAAAGACCACACATAAATAAACTTGCATAAAACCTCATTTCGGGTTCATAATAGGCTGAGTAAATGTCAGAATATCCTACCTGCACAAGCCGGACTTCAAAAGCTGGCCTATTAGCAGGATCACGCGCCAGATGCAGTAATCGCCTGTGTGTAAGAACATCTTCTGCCCTCTCGACATTCACATCCATCGCATACCTTCAATGCGGAAACACAAAGGAAAAACAAAAATCAATCACAAAGTAATTAAAAATCAGATCGCAGTACAAAGCCACATATGTAGCGAAATAAGAAAAAATCCTGACATGCAGCACATCACGAAACCTAAGTCGTTGTTTTATGATTTACTCCATTATACTCAGATGGAATTGGAAACACGACAATTGACATTGTAACAATGATTTTATTGTTTTCAGAAAATACAGAAACCAAAATCACCGGACATCTAAATCCGTGAATGATAAATCCACAAAAGACGCCTAAATCTGCAATAACAAAAATCGGTACTCGAAACGGAGAAAAATCAACCAATAATAATATAAAATATAGCACGTTCGGAGCGTAAAAGTGAAGATTAAAGTATTTAGGATGGGTAAAGGAAACCTGGCTGGGAGGCGATTGAAATGAGCCCAAAGCTGATCATCGAAACCCGGCTCCTGCGCCTCCGGATGGTCAGATTCCTTGAGGCGGCGCAGAACCTCATTGAAGACCTCCACCTTCTTCTGCTGCTGCCGGCTCTTCGCCGACGAAGATTCCACCACCCTACTTCCACAACTCTCGTTATCTTCCATCACCATTTGAGAACCCCGAATTCACGACAATTCTCTTCCAAAAAATCACGACCAATAGCCTGCTTGATTTCCTCTACAAACTGGATCTAGTGGATTCTGCGGTTCACGTGGAGTGAATTTTCGCCGCGATATCGGATTTTTATACGTCGTAGATGCGGATTATAGACGCCTCGAACCGAATTTTATATACGTTCTACTGTTACAGCTCGCGAATAGGATAATGGAAAAGGAAATAAATATTCAAAGGAATTTCAATTAGCTTGGGTTTGGGTTTTGAATTTGATCCATTTGTTCATAGATATCCTCTCTCTCTCTCTCTCTCTCTCTCTCTCTCTCTCTCTCTCTCTCCTTGTAAAAGCTGTCTCTCTCTCTCTCTCTCTCTGCCGAGAATCTGAATGAGTGATTATATATAATTTGTGGACTATATGCAGTTTCTCGATTTGCTTTTTTGAGTTATATTTGTATTGGCTAATGGGGTCTTTTTTTTTTTTTGATGAATTGGCTAATGGGGTCTTAATTCTCTAGGTTTAGGGTGCTTATATAGCAGTTTTTAATTTGAATTTTTCAATTATTATAAAAAAAATGTTTTTTATTTTGAATTATTACTATTTTGGCCTACTACAAGTTGCAAAGAAGATACAAAGTACAAAACAGACCAATCCCAATGCATCAAATCTTGAAATTGAATTCTTTAACATAAAATATTATTAATGTTTTTAAATATATTATTAACATTTTTTAAATTAAATACATACAATTAGAATACTTAGAAAAATATCATGATAAATTCGATTTATGTATTCTTGTTTCATGGAGGTACCAATTTAACTAAAATTCATAATTTAAACATAATTCTATAATAATGGACTCCTGATCATATATTAACACAGTTCATATTCAGTTAATTAAATTAATTACTTGTAATATTTTCTTTTGAATCACTTTATCATCGAATTTAACATAAAATAGGCTTTTAGATTTTTTTTTAATGTGAATTATTAAATTAATAGAGTGATAAGACATAGTTTAATGGAATAATTGAGGTGGTGCGGCAATTGTTTAATTGTTTAACAAATAAATAAATAAAAGTTAATATTGTCAGAGTGTCGACAGTGGCAAATAGGGTGAAAATGAGGACGAACGACACCGTTTACTGGTTTGCCCTTCTTCCCGCTTGTATAGCTGTGGCGTGCACGTTGACAACACTCGCACCCACGTGGAGAGTAGTCCACCGTGGCACCTCTTTCTTTATTTCTACTTTACCTTCATGTGATTCAAGTTTTTTCACTTTTTTGATTTTTCTTTTTTATTTATTTTAGGTAAGTTTTTTACTTTACTTGGAAATCTGACAGTGATCGCACTACGTTCCTTCTATGTGGGCCTCTTTTTTTTTTAATTGGATTGGACTTTTTTTGACAGTAAGTAATTTTAACTGGGCCTATTAGATCAAGGTCCAATAGAATATATTAATTAATTTATTTATTATTTTATATTTTTAATGAAATAAACATAAATAGTGATGATTTTTTTTTTTATTATTTATTTAATTATATAGCGATGGAACATCTAAGGTGGAGAGTGAATAATAGAGATAAGAAGATGACATTTCCAACTTTGTTGGGTTGGAAAGAAAAGATGAAAGCAACATCAATTGGTGCTGCCTATACAGATATTTTCAATTTTGTCTTTCTCTTTATTATTACACCAAAAATAAAAATAAAATAAAATTATCAGCAATATGAAAATGGAGAATAAATATTTATGATGTTAATTAAAATTAAATGATTAAGAGGCAATGTTCATTTGTTTATTTTTTGTCATAATAATAATAATAATAATAATTGTCCGTTGTATTTCTTGAAGTGCAAGAGAAGGAGGGGATTTGGTCTAATGAGGTTGACATGCCTTTTGGTGATGATGGGTAATTAGAGGCTAAATCAATGGGTCAAACAAACTTAAGTACGTTTATTGAAAAGTTAATGACACGTGCTAATCATGTGTTCAACTGTTACCACTTACCACGTTGGTATAAGGATTTTGATTTTTTTTTTTTTTATTTTGGCCTTTGATTGGTGTATAACGCTTCAGATCCTAAATAACAAATAGTCAAATGAGATTCATGCCTTTAAACATTAAAGGCATGCTTCTTAATTTTTTTTTTTTTTTGAGTAAATTCAAGTCCATTACAAGGGGAAGTAGGGGAGGGGGGACTCGAACCCTAGACCATTACCCTATTGATAAAGGCTAGGTACCAACTCTCCTAATGAGGGTTGGTAAACGCATGCTTCTTAGTTAGTAAGTATTCGTTAATTAATTACTTCCCCTCTCCCATATTATATGTCTTTTTAGAGAGTTTTTTTTATCCCAAATTATTTTTTATTTTAGATTTTCAATGAAACATTAATTGCATTATTTTCAATTTTACCCTTAATTACTCATAATTAATTAATTGAGAATCAATTAATGTTAAGGATATTTTAGTAATTTTATTACTATAATCTATGAACATTTATTGATTTTCTTAATATGTACAAAACAACCCAAATTGATTTTCTTAAGCATGTAGTAATTGATAATAATCCGTTAAGAACTTGAATGTATACGACAACATTTCTTTGCAAAATTAAAGTTGACCAATTTTAATAATTCGAATATAATAATAATAATAATTAATAAATCATCAAAATCTTGCAAATAATCGAATTTTGAATGGTAATCTTGAAGTTGATAATCATAATCATAACATAAAATAATTATTTTGCCACGACGACCTTGGAGGGGAAAACCGACATTATTACAAAAATTCCCACGTGTGTATATATATATATATATATCAATAGTCCATTTTTATAAATAAAAAAAAAAAAACATATAGTAAATGAAATAATTAATAAAAACGGGTCGTTTAGACTTGGTAGCAAAACGAAAAGTCCTGCTACCTTGGAAAGTATTAATATTAATATTAATGTATTTGAGCTGATCCAGAAGGTAAGCTAAGTCGGATTATTAGCAGCCCACGTGGAAGGATTGGGAAAAGCTGACATGGCAAAACTGTCCTCTTGGGTTCGCCAAGAGCCAATTCAAATTAAGGTAGTAATTAAAATATGTGTAATAATGTGTTGACAAAGAAATAAAAATAAATAAAATATTATAGTATGTTTGGGGGATGAAGATGAACACTGAACATGGGAAGCACCGCTGGCATGGGAAGTGGCGACTTGATAACGCCTTAACTCAGAATAACTCACTCGAATATGCCATTCATTCATTCATCTACTAAATCTTATCTTCTCAATAAATAAATATATAATTAAATAATTGGGGTCAATTAGTAATTTATTTTTCAAGAAGCCCTTTCTTGGTAGTTTCGTTATGATAAATAAATCATGCATGAAGTTTATCATCTCATCTTGAATTAAAGATGAGATAATTTATTTAAAAAAAGAAAAGGAAAATTCAAATTGTTCTTTTTATTGATGTCATCATGTATGACATCACACAACCAAGGAGAAAAATATTCAAAGTATGGGCAACAAAGAATAATGTGAAGCAGAAGAAGTAGTAGGGGAGATGTTTTTCCAGTAGTCAAATATTATGGAATGAAAAAAATAATCATAGAAGACAATACTTACCGACTTTTGAAACATATATATAGTAGGACCCCCCCTACAAACATAATTGTAATAAATAAATAAAACAATTAATTACAGTAGTAGTAGTGGTGATATGGAGGGGGGACAAAATGAAATTGTCATTATCACCAAAACTCTTCATCATGTATGAACCTAAATCCATCTCAGTCCAACATGTCCGGATAAATGTTTTTCATTTTTTTCTCATTTTCCTCGTGGGAGAAAATTCATCATCTGTAAATTATTTGGCCATTTTTGACAGTTCATTGAGTCAAAATAATTAATAGTGAAAACGAAATATCCAAGGCGTTTTTTTCACATTCTTCGTGTAATTCATGAAAGAGAAAATAATGAGCGTCGGTGTTTTCGATTTCACCAATAATCTCTTTATTATTTGTAATGCCAAATTCATCGAACCTAGACATTGTTTAAGAGCAATCGACAACATTGAGTTAGAGAAAACGACGAGCCATAATTTTTTTTAATAATTTTTCAGTTCATGCTACTAATTATATATTGATCCTAATAAACCCTGAACTTAATCCAATATTCAGTCTACGTACAATCTAGGTTCTGAATGATGATTGGTTTTGTAGATCTAGTATTAATATATAAGTTAACACATGCTTTGCACTAATCAAGGTAGCAATTATTTTATGGTAATCAAATCAAAACCAATATATTTTAAAGAACATGTTTTCTACACTAGTTATATTTCCAAAAGGAGATCATCAACTTTTTTATTTTTATTTTTCTATAATATTGTTTTCAATTATCATTTTCAAGAACATTGTTTAAATTTTTAAATTATACTATTTGCAATTTTAAAAGCCCATTGGGCCTATTTAACTAATTTATGATCAAGTGGACTTCGAAGGCCCATTGGGCCTACAATTCTTCATATATTTTTTCACATATAACATAAACAAATTATGTATATTTCACGAAGAGGCTGAAAACACAGTACTGCTGCAGAGATACAAATTTACTAAAGTGAAAGGCCAAATATAAATTAACACTACATACCACAACAACTAATATGTACATTCATGATGCAACATAGTATCCTAGTAAATAGTTAACATTCAAAAGATTAAATTAACAACATAACACAAAACAAATGTGCACAAACACACGAAACATCATTTGATATTACATCACATAAACAACAAAAGACTTCAGCAAACTTACGACAATCATTCGAACAGATCCGCCACGTCATCAAGAACATCAACCATGTCATCATCACTCATATCCTCTCCTTCGAAGAGCCACTCCTCAAATTCATCCACTTCCTCGTAATCCTGCGAATAAATATCCTCCGAATTATCCCATTGGTCCATTCCTAGTTCCTCCCCACGTGTAGCAACGTGCATATACGGTCTACTTCTAGTCAAACCATCGACCACGTCTCTGTTCAAAGATCCCGTTATCCCCAACCACCTCATTCTCGGAAAATATGGCTTCTTTAACCATCGAAAAGCCAATTGAGTGATTCCCCCACAATTGTAAATATCCAAAACCTTCAAGCTACTACCACACCACACATTCTCATCGATCTGCATTGAAGCTAACGCCATGACAGAAGTATCTCCGATTAGAGGGCATTGCCTCAAACGAAGCTCGGATAATGGAATTCGACTCTTTGCGAGTAAAAATATAGCACCATCGGAGAGGTTAGGAAGATTCGAGAGGTTTAATTGTCTTAATTCTTGATTAGAATTGCCGTCAAAAAGGGACGAAATGCACCTGTCTGTAAGCTTCTTACATCCTTTGACAGACAACGAAACGAGGGTTTTCATCGAGCCTTTGCTTAAGTGCGACAATCCCGAGTCAGTTATATCACAACCGTCCAAAAGAAGAGACTTTAACTTAGGAAGTGAGTTGATTGCTCGGAGAGAATAGTCTCCGAGGTTTCTACAATCCCTCAAGTCGAGAGTGGAAAGATTCCCATTTGATGCCAAGTGTGCAACAGCCAAGTTCGTTAAGAGATTACACCACCGTAGACTAACATGTGTTAGTGAAAGGGATGTCGCATTAATGTCGTGAAAGACTAGGTTGGTTAGGTGGGTACCATGAAAAACCTTGAGCTTATATAACTTGGAGCAAGAATGAAGAATTGTTTTGTAACCTGTATCTGTGACCTGGCAAAAGCCACCGAGACAAATACTTTCCATATTCGAACATTTATCAGCCATGAGAAGGATTCCAAGATCGTTGACTCGCTTGAAGTACGTGGGAGCAATCTCCTGGCTTCTTACAAGACAGAGGTGTTTCAGTTTGCCATGTGCGTTGACTTGTTGAAGGCCGTTGTTGGTTAGGTCAAATGCCATCCTTGGTTCCATTATAGGTGAATCTCGAAGATCTAGGTGGGTCAAGGAGGTAAGATATTTTGATATTGTGCTTATCATGGTGTCGGTTATGTAGTCAACGGAAAGGCATAACTTCTGTAAATTAGGCAATATGGATGGTTGGGGGTGATTTGATGATTGATGGGGGCCCACAGCGGGGCTAAGAAGTTCAGTCAACATAAGCGACGAAATATACCCAATTTCAAGAGAAATGAGACTTGGTGAGGCTAGAGACCAGACGCGAGCGAATTTATGGCGCAGAAATACGGAGACATCGAACATCAGGATCAGTGTCTACAAAACAATACATCAGGATCAGCAAATGTACGTTATCGACGAATAATTTACTTTTAAATAAACAGTAAGAAGGATTATGCATATAACTCATCATACATTTTGTTGTAAACAAGCATAATTAATATCATTAATGTCTCTAATGAACCACGCTGCAAATACGGAAGGATAATTCAAAATCGAGAAGGGTATAACCGGTCAAGTTATTATCGTATCTGGCAGCTATATCTAGGAATAAATCTCAGAAACTTAGCCAAATCCTGGCTCGATCTCTTCTCATTTCATTACTACGTCGACAGTTCAAAAAGAGAAAATAACTAACACAAGAACCTAAATCACACCAAAAATCTACATAGGAATAACAATGAATTGAAGTGGTGTACATTTGATATGCCAACAAAAAAAAAGGTGTTTGTTATTGAGACATAGATAGATAGAGCATATATGGAAATGTGTGCTACGTGTAGTTAATACGAGAACCATATAACACGACATATTTATTGACCCAATATCGCTACAGACAGCACTCCAAATAAATGGGAAACGATAAACATAAGATACCTCGTTCTTTAATAAATATCCTGTCCAATTCCTCATTCCACACACACACACACACACACACACACACACACAATGAATGTAACAGAATTACGCCACAGTAAATCTAAAGTAATACTAGTCGATAACTAGATAAACCCTTACTTCCAACTGAGTACAACCAGTGAGCAATTCCTCTAGATGTAATACATCAACTGATCTCCCTCTTTTCTCTGCAACTGAACTCAAGTACACAAACCTGAAAGGGAATTATTTTAAACACACCATTGCTTATAACAAACAAACGAGAAAAAATGATAAAATAAAACAAACACACTTCACATTCAGTAAACATCAAACACCAATTAAGATGAAAACTCCCCCAAACATGCATACCAAGAAGCAGCCAAGTAGCACAAACATCACAAATCAAGTAGTAAACGCATATAGAAAGTGAATATTTGTCAGAGAAAAAAAAATGGTGGAGAAAAGAAAGACCTGAGATCTTTGCAACTCTGTCCAAGATGAGACAGAAGCTTGCCGCTAAAATCTGCGCAATTCCGAAGGCACAGCTCTTGCAAAGAGGGGCGAATGAGAAAATCCAGGGAAGAATCGTCGAGGCGCGTGCAATCCACCTTCAGACTCCTCAAGTAAGGGTTGTTCGGAGGCAGCAAAGGCCTCAATAAATTCATCGACGGCGCAACATCCTAAACAAAATCCAGCAAAATAAAAATTAGCAAAAGATATGTTGAAATTAATTATAAAAAAAAAAAAAAAAAAAAAACCAAATTCATCTAATAACTTACAGGAAGATGGAAGTTGGGGAGGAAAGACAGGATGTGAAGAGCGCAGGAGCGGAAGGCCGTACACGTGGAGGCAAGGGATAGGATGGAGGCGACGTCGAGCTTTATCATGATGGTGGCGATTAGAGCTGAGGGAAGGTGGTGTATGCCTGGATTATCCGGGTCCGGATCTCGGGGCGGGGCGATAGGGCTTGCCATTTCTCTCTCTGTAAACTTTGGAGGGCAAACCGAGGAAGACGATGGTTGTAATTACTAATTAGATAATCGTGGCACGAAATGTAAGGTGAAGTGTCCCCCCCTCTTGTTCTCCTCTATGCTTTGGGATTTTTTTGTACATAAGTCGTTGATTCGTAAACGCGACTCTAGCTTTGACACAACTTGAAATCCATACGGTCCAATTTTCAAAATATTCCTATCTAAATTAATAGTGAATAATCATCCTCCTACTAAACAATCACATTAGGAAAATGAATTAAGAGTTTAAAATTTATTAACTTTTAAATGTCTACTGAATAAATACTAGATCTATTAATTAGAATTCAATATAATCAAATAGAATTATTAATATTAGTTATTTAACGATTTTAAACAAAAATTGGAAAGCAACAATTAATGTTAAATTTTTGTAGTGTAAAGAATTACACTATTTTAAATATAGAACAGAAAAATGAAAATAATTTAAACTATAATTGTTGGGGTAATTTCCAAAAATGGAAAAAACCCTCCAAAAAGTGGCGTATGCTGCTTGTAGTGCGGCAAACACACGGTATTCTTTAGTAAAAGGCGAAAGAATAGTTCGCTATGTGTTTACCGCGCAGCTGCGTGAGTTTGATGCTGGAATCGGCCCTTCTATTTATTTATCTGCTCTAAACTCTTAGTTAGGTATTCTCACGATGTGGGACACTTGACAGGGCCATTTCTCCTCATCAGCACTTAGTATACATTTTATAGTGTTTGTCTATTGCTTATTTACCTGCAAAACATGATAGCCCTCATCATGTGATTATTTAGAAATCTTGTATGAATAAAATGCTTGCAGAATTGACGAGAGCCTCCACAAGAAAAGAAATACGATTTTCGACTCTTCTCAATCACGGGCTGTACTTAAAAAACTCTTGTACAATTCAATTATATGTTGCATAGAATTCCAATCTTTATTTTCGGTTTCTTTCGTAATCAATTCAAGTAAATGACAAGTTGATGCAGTAAGTTTCGTTTTTTTCTTTCGTAATCAATTCAAGTAAATGACGAGTTGATGCAGTAAGTTTCGTTTTTCTTATTACCATCATTTCTTCTTCCTAGTTCAGTTTCTTGCTTGTCTGTCTCCGTTTTTGCTTCCGAACATTGTATAGAAATTCACTAGGTCAAACAAATAGTCAGTGTTGACAAACATTTGGCTTCAAAAGTAAACTAAAGTTGCAAGCATCCAACCTCTGTAAATCAAATGAAATATTAAATATGTTTCTCATTTTTATTGTTTTATAACTTATTTTTTTATAAAACCAAAATAAAGTTCAAATGATTTTTTTAATTTAAATATTAAAAATAATTATGTAATGCATATCTTTTTTGTACTATTTGTCATAACTCACAATATTAACTGGGCCTTGAATTGGGCCAGAAAATTTAAAACTGGAAATGGGCAGGGGCCGCGCGAACGCAGGCCCCCACTATCACAAATTATGACGTAGACTCGACCACTTGGGTCGATCTTACACTTGTACCCTTCCAAAGTGCAATGGAAGTCACTAGCGTAGGCCATAGGCCTCGTTGATCACCCATTGACCCCGTCCAGGTAAGTGAGTATTCAGTTCACAATTCTTCTTTTTATATAAGTGCTTACCCCACCATCTACCCCTAATATTTCGATGTGGGATAAATAGCCTACCATACAGTTTTTTTCCATTTCTTACCCAATTTCTTTCTATGCTTAATAAATCAATTCATAACAGTTTAATGTCTTATTTCTTCTTCACAATATATAATGTATTTGCAATAGTTTACAATCTTGACATGATTCGTGTAACCGAACTTTTTTTTTTTCGGTTCCGATCGACAATCAACAAGATAATTACTTGGGATTTTTTGTCGAGACGGAACTCATAAACTTCTTAATTACTACTTTTTGTTATAGTTTTTAGAGTTTACTCCATGTTTAAATTGAGGAAACAAAAAAAATGTTAATCCTTGTTCTCATCCTTCTGGAATTGTGACACTGAAAAGGATAATTAACCACAAAAATACCGATTAATTAATTAAAAGTATAAATGCTCTCATAATATTTATTTACTTTCATAGTTTCATTACCTGACAACACCACTTCTTATAAATTCACAATTAAATAAAATGCAAAATTCCAAGCAAAAATGTGAATTTCACAAGAATTATCCAAAGTTTAGCTTAGCTCTCCATTAGATTAATCCACCAACAAAAAAAAAAAAAGATTAATCCACATAATTGAAATAAAAATAGAAGAAGAAAAAGCTTCAGAATATATTAAATGGCGGAAGCCCGTATGAGAAGAAAAGAAAAGACAAATAAATAAAAAAGGCCCAAGCCCATTTAGAAAATAATAAAGACGATGGGCTAAATCCACGATACGTCTCTCTCTCTCTCTCTCTTACTTTCTCTCTCCTCTTTCTTTCTTCTTGCCTTGCAATGCACTCGCAGGTTACTAGTGTTCTCTAGTCAAACTGTTTGCCATTGTTCCTTCACACTTTTCCTCTCTCCTCACAAACGCACAACACACAAGGTGCGTGTGTGTATTTCATTCATTTACTGTTCTGCGAAATAAAACGAATTAATATGAAGAAAGAGAATGGTGGAGGAAGCAAAAACTCAAAACCCACCCTCCAATTTGGTGGAGACGATGCTTCGCGGCTGGTCGGCGGGATAGTCGAGAAGGGCTTCTCAGATAACCCGCAAGGAGGTAGGCCTATCGCCCCCCCTCGGCCCTCCGTTCTGCCTTTTCCGGTGGCACGCCACCGCTCACACGGCCCAGTATGTATACTTCTCTCTCTTTTTCTTATATCTATTGTGTCCGGAAAAAAATCCTCCTGGTTTTTATTTTACCTCTGAATGGATTGTGGAATTAGCTATAACAACTTAACTTTCAAGTGTTAGATATTGTTATTTTTATTGGTTTTATTATTATTTCATGATCATTGTACTGAAGATAGTTGATGAATTGTTGTTACAGCATTGGGCTCCTAAAATTGGAGGCTCTAATGTTGTTAATGATAATGATTATGCGGGTAATGATAACCGAGAAGAGGAGGATTTTGATGGGATGGAAGTGGCTGCTAACATTGCTAATCCTGTACAAAGAAAAGAAAGGAAAGGCGTAGATTTTAGCCGGTGGAAGGAGATAGTGAAGAATAATGGTACTAAAAAGGAACCTGTCCGTGAAACGAAAGAGATTAATTCCGATAATTTAAGTAGGAGAGTCGCTGTTCCAGATGAAAATGTTATCGAAAAAAGGCAATGGCCACAGAATCACAGTCCTAAGTCGGAGGGAAGTAATGTTGTGGAGAAGCTGCCTACGTGGCGGGATGGTTCGAGTAAAGATGGACAAGTGGATTTAAAGATGAAAAGCATGCAAAAGTCCAAGGTGGCTTCTGGTTTTGCTGCACAAAAATTTGTAGGTGGGGAAGAAGTCGGTATTGAAAGTCAGATCGATGCCGAGAATCGAGCTCAGTTGTCGAAAATGTCTGCTGATGAAATTGCGGAAGCACAAGCTGAAATCATGAACAAGCTGAACCCGGAGCTGATAAATCTACTTAAAAAACGGGGACAAACCAAAGTCAAGAGGCAGAAGTTTTCTTTGTCAGATGTTACAGGCAGCGAAGCGGACAGTTTGCAGAGTGAGAAAAATCGGTCAAAATTAATTGAGAACACTATGTCTGACAAGCCTTTAAAAATAGTTACTACAGACACACTGCAAGATAAAGATGATAAAGCTTCTTCAAATATAAGTGAAGAAAACTGTAGCATGTGGGATGCTTGGAGTAAAAGAGTTGAGAGTGTTAGAGATATGAGATTTTCCGTGGAAGGAAAGATTATCCGCAGTGATTTTGCTCGTGTATCAGATGATGGTAAGGTTAAAAAAATTAGCTCATAACTCACTTTCAATTATTTGAAGATCTAATGCATTATTATTGTTATTATTTTTGATAAATCATACATCGATTTGCATACTGAAAAAGAAAAAAATAACTTGTATAGTAATATTCCGTCAAGCCCTATATTCGTGCCAAAAATAATGATATAGAACTGAAATGTCGTCTTTCTGTAGGTAAGCCATCATCAGAAAGTGGATACAGTGCAGATAATGTCTCCGAACGTGATTTTCTTCGAACTGAAGGTGATCCAGGTGCTTCTGGTTATACCATAAAAGAAGCAGTGGCCTTATCCAGAAGTGTGGTTAGTGAGAATTATTTATGAATCTTTTAGTGACTCATTCATATTTGACAACATCGATCGATGTGTTTAAAAAGTAATGATGGATTCTTTTGGGCACATGTTTCAGATTCCTGGGCAACGCACTATTGCTTTACATCTTATTGCAGCTGTTCTTGATAAAGCAATTTGCAGCATCTCGCAGAATCAAGTTGATTCGGAGGGGCCCGTTGACTGGGAGGCTGTTTGGGCTTTTGCTCTTGGCCCGGAACCCGAGCTTGCTTTATCATTGAGGTAAATGATAAACGCATCTTTGCTTTCTCTCATTATATTGACTTGCTTTTGTCTATCTAGTCATATGATCATTGAAGTATGAGGTTGTTAATATTTAATTTGTGATCTGACGATGTCTATCAAATCTGCGTGTTACAATGTCATCGTAACCTAAAACATACTTGCTGCTGTTACTGAAATCATTTTCTTTTTTTTCGTCATGTAATATCCTTGTTGGTATTAATAACATCTAAGCACACTTCAGGGTGTTTACTGGTGATTTGGTAATATTTTCGTTAGAATATGATGTTGATAGATTTTGTTAATTTGGAGGAGTTTGCTAAGGTTCGAATTACCCTCCGCTAATTTCCCTTTTGTAATTGGATTTGATTTTAATTAAAAATAATAATTCTAATTCTTGGAAAAAAATCTTGCATATATAACTTTCTTATTCCAGTTAGAACATATTAATAACGATGATTTAAAAAAAATATGATGTCTAGATGATGAAATGCACTGATTTCCGTGTTTTTTCCCGTTCTCCTTTTCCTCTTCCTTTTCCTTTTTCTTATTTATTACAAATAATTCTTGTATGTCCTCATTGTAGAATGTCCCTTGATGATAACCACAACTCTGTGGTGCTTGCTTGTGTCAAAGTCATTCAGTGTGTGCTAAGCTGCACCATGAACGAAATCGTATTTGATATGCTAGAGGTACATCTACATTTCCAAAGAATCTTCTTATCAGTCTTCGATTATCGAGTTCATCTTAGTAACTCGTGACTTCATTATTTCCTCAGAAGACACCAACTTACGTGGGGGGTGCTTGTACAGCTCCTGTATTCAGAACTAAACCAGATGTTAATGTCGGTTTTATTCGCGGTGGATTTTGGAAATATAATGTGAAACCTTCCAATATTCTTCATTTTCATGAGGAGGAATCGGAGGGTGACAAAGACGAAGGTGAACACACTATCAAGGATGATGTAGTTCTTGCTGGTCAGGATTTTGCTGCGGGTCTTGTTAGGATGGGGATTCTTCCTAGAATTTGCTTTCTCTTGGAGGTAAATATTCTGATTCATCAAATTGTCTAAATTAGAAAAAAATGATGAACTTATCGATTCCTGTGGTAACAGACAGATCCTTCTGCACCATTAGAAGAATGCTTAATATCTATATTGATTGCCATAGCAAGGCATTCCCCCACATGTGCTGCTGCAATTATTGACAGTGGAAAGATTGTTCAGACAGTTGCTAGCAGATTTGCCTCGAAAGAACAAATGGAGATAAACATTTGCAAGATAAAATCCGTTACTCTCTTAAAAGTAAGCAGCGCCTTCTATGTTTTAATTTCTTGCATCACTCTCTACATTTGATCTATTTAATCTAATTTTTCCGTTGGTGTTTTCGAAGGTATTGGCACAGTACGAGAAGAAGAATTGCTTATCGTTTATAAACAGTGGAATTCTCCATAAGGTGACCTGGCACTTGTACCGATATCCAAATTCTCTTGACCAATGGGTGAAATCCGGAGCAGAGGCTTGCAAACTCTCATCAGCTTTGTTGGTCGAACAATTACGTCTTTATAAGGTCTTCATTCGTTACGGATATTGCATTTCCGACTTTTCCAACATGTTCACTTCGTTATGCATGTGGTTGAGTGTCCCCACTATTGAGAAGCTAATGGAAAACGATGTGATGAATGAATATTGTGCCATCACAAAGGAAGTATACCTTATTCTAGAAGTTTTAGCCTGTAGACTTCCAAACTTCTATTCGGACGTACGAGAAAAAACCAAGGATGTTGCTGAAGAGAAAGAGACTTGGTCTTGGAGTCAATTTGGTTCCATTTTCGATTTAGCCCTCGAGTGGGTACAAGTAAAAAATATCGCACCTCTAACAAGACTCTTCAACTGCCAAAATAACGTCGGTGAAATTCGCAGTTTGCAAGATTCAGAAATAAATTCCTTGTTATGGGTTATTTCTTCTGTTCTGAATATGCTTTCCAGTGTGCTTAAAGCTGTGATCCCAGAGGATTTTACGAGTTTGCCCAATGGTCGTTTGTCATGGCTGCCAGAATTTGTTCCCAAGGTTGGACTCGAAATTATTAAAAATGGATACTTTAGGTTCTCTGAAAATGGTTCGATAGTTGATTATTTATGTCGTTTGAGGATTGAAAATGGAAGAGAATTGGCAATATCTTCTACATGTTGCATTCAAGGATTGGTCCGAGTAGTTGATTCTGTTGACAAGTTGATCCAGCATGCAAATCTCGAGATTCATCAGAAGCCATCTAAATTCGAGAGTGCACCAGAGGAAGATAAAATCCTTGCTAACGGGATACTTAAGTCATGCGCAGTAGAAGTACAATATTCGCTGACGAATTTAATGAAACAAATCATGAACAAATGGCAAAGCACAAAACCCGTTGAGATTTTCAGCAGGGGTGGTCCCGCTCCAGGGGTAGGTGTAGGGTGGGGTGCCTCAGATGGAGGGTATTGGTCCTTAAACACTTTGCTGACTCAGCAAGAAGCAAGATTGCTCGTTGACTTGCTTGAAATATCGGAAATTCCTCCTACGGCGCAAACGCTAAATTGTGCCCTTACAGCTTGTTTAACTGTGGGGCCAGGGAATAGTTCTGTCATTGATAAGTTACTGAACTTCATGTTTCGAGTTCCTGTTTTGAAGTATCTCAATCTTGGAATCGGAAAATTCCTTTCTGTCAAACAAGGATTCAGTCCTTTTAAGTGGGATTACGAAGAAAATGAATATCTTTTATTTGCTAATGCTTTGGCCACTCACTTCAGAAACAGGTGGCTGACTGTAAAGAAGAAACAAAAATCCACGGGCGAAAAAATTAACCACAAATCTAAAAAGAAAGACGCTCGTTTTCTGGAGACTATCGATGAGAATATGGATGAATCAAATCAAGAGTCGTTGTCTTCTTTGAAACTGGAGTGGGCTTATCAGAGATTGCCTCTTCCTACACATTGGTTTCTTAGTGCAATCTCCACAGTTAATTTTGTGAAGATCGATTCTACTGGAGAAACCTACATGGAGATGCCTGAGAACTTTCTAGAAGTTTCCAAGGCTGGGCTATTTTTGCTTCTAGGTATCGAAGCGATTCCTGCTTCGCTTACCTCTGAGTTCTTCTCTCCAGTTGAATGTGTTACAGTTGTTTGGAAACTGCATGCAATTTCTGTGGTATTACTTTCTGGAATGGGTGTTCTTGAAGATGAGAAGAGCAGAGATGTGTACGAAACTTTGCAGAATATTTACGGTAAAATAATCGATGAAAAAGAGTTGCATAAATCACTGCAATTTGAGTCGGAGATCCACAAGAATTACCCTACTTTTATTGAAACCCTAGTGGAGCAATTTGCTGCAGAATCTTACGGTGACGTGCTATTTGGGCGGCAAATAGCAATGTATTTACACAGATCGGTTGAGGCTTCTGTAAGGCTTGCTGCGTGGAATGGCTTATCTAATGCTCGTGCTCTTGAGCTTCTCCCTACTTTGGATAAGTGTTTTTCAAAAGCTGAAGGCTATCTCGAACCTATTGAGGTAATACGAAATAAAAAAAAATTGTTTATTATATAAAAATGAAAATTGTGATGATTATATAAGATAACGAGTGTTGGTGCAGGATGATGAGAAGATTCTGGAAGCGTATGTGAAATCATGGGTGGGTGGGGCCCTCGACAGAGCAGCGAAACGAAATTCAATGTCGTTCTCGTTGGTTCTGCACCATCTCTCCTGGTTCATTTTCGGGGATGTTGTAGGTGATATGCTCTCACTTCGTAATAAGCTCGTGAAATCCCTCTTACGAGACTACTCACGCAAACAACAACAACACGAGGTATGGTACCAAAAATTAAGCACGTGTAAAATGTGTGTGTGTGTGTGTGTGTGTGTGTGTGTGTTTCTTGGTGTAAAAAAATGTAATGAGAAGGAGAAATAATAATAAATATGTGTTTTGTTGACAGGGGATGTTGGTGAAACTGGTATGCTACTACAATAAATCCGACAGGGATTATGAGATTGAAAGGAGGTTGCAACTATTGAAACAAATTTGTGATGGGAATTTGGCTTCTGCGGAAAAACTCGAGTCTTGTATCAAATTAAATCATCTTATCTAAGTTGAGAATATTTTATCTTACAAAACAATGGAATTATTAAATTAAGTTGAATATATTTTATCTTATAATACTAAATATTAATACTGTAATATATGCATGAAATTTGTGTTGTACAAATCAAATAATTAGTTAATCAGTAATGTTTATTCCAAATCAATTAGACTCATAAACCTTAATACTTTGTTCGTCTAATGTTTACATTCTTGTTCAAATGTAAAATACATAACTTAGTTATTATATATATTTATTTAGGGTAAAATTACAAACAACTTTGAGGTATGATCAATTTATAAAAAAAAAAACCTCTTGTTTGGATAATTACATCTACCCTTCAACTATGATTTTTTTTCTTACGTCTCCACACTTATGGTGTCAAATGCAACATAATCATCTAGATTTTGTGGAATGTGGTCTAGTTTGTACTCGTTTTGTGTAAAAATACAGTTTCTGATGCACCACAATCTGATATATACAAGCCAAAAAATACATATTATGATCATCTTGCTTCAAAATATGGAGTTCAAATGGGATAAAACGGGTACATAAGTGATAATATTCCATATAATCTCGAAAATTCCACTAAATTTGAAACCGCAATGGTGGACGTGTAAGAAGATTTATAGTTGGGGTGGTTGTAATTACGCAAACAAGAGGGTTTTTTTTTGTAATTTAATCATACCTCAGGCGAGGTTGTAAATTACCCATTTATTTATTATTTAAAAAAAAATAAGAAAAAAATTAAGAAAAAAAACAAAATAAAAATTAACGAGGTGTTGTTTCATTTACGAAGCGCCTTCACAGCTGAGTGGTGTCATTTCTCTCAGCCCTAAACTGAATCCAAAACTGTTTGTTGCCTTTTCTTTGCTTCAATCTTCTTCAATGGCGGAATGGACTACACTTCCATCTGAACTCCTCCATCTCATCTCCCAACACCTCCCCACCTCAATCGATCTCCTCCGCTTCCGCTCTGTCTGCGCCACCTGGCGCGCCGCTGCTCCTCCACCACCCTCCGTGCCTATTCGATCCTCTATCCTGCCTAATTCCGGCATCTCCGACACTAGCTGGGGTTTTTACCTCTCCAAACGTACCGTCTATTATCTCGAATCACCTTCCACCGATCAATCATCGTGGATCATCAAACTCGAACGGGATAACCCCGCCCGGATGCATCTCCTGAACCCGCTCGATCGATCCCAATTCAAACCCTTGCCTGATAATTTTCCCAAGATCTTTAATTTCTTCGATTTAAGGGTTAAGGAATTGGGTGAAGAATATGCTCTTCAGTATATTAATTTTAGACCGATGGCGAGTTCGATTGGAGAGGCGGGGAATCTCTACATGGAAAAAGTTGCGGTTATGAACGATTCGTGTGGAGGGATTGTGCTTTTGACAATTCATGTATCTGGGAAACTGGTGGTCTACAAGCCTGGCGATGAGAAATGGAGTGTTATTGATGATCTACCTTCCCCTTATGATGATGTCATTCTTAGGGAAGGCAGATTCTGTGCGGTTGATAATACCGGTAGAATGGTTGTTGTGAATGTTGCAGATTTAACTGTGAGTGTTGTTGCGAATTCGGTTTTTGGCGGCGACAAGAAGTTTCTTGTGGAATTGAAGGGTGAGTTGTTGTTAGTCGATATGTATTTGAGCATTGGGCCAGCAGATGATTTAGGTTACAATGAGGGGTTCGAATTTTACGAGGAATTTGATGGTTTTATGAGTGAGAGGACTGTGAAGTTTGAGGTGTTTAGGTTAGACGAAAACGTGGGGAAGTGGGTAGAAGTGAGTGATTTGGGGGATACAATGTTGTTTTTGGGTGATAATTGTACATTTTCAGCATCGGCTTCGGAAATTTTTCGAGATAATAGCTGCAAGGGGAATTGTATATTTTTCACTGATCAGTACTGTAATAGGGAGGATGATGATGGGGTGTGGAAGATTGGTGTTGGGGTGTTCGATATGGAGAGTCGGAGTATTGGGCCAATTGATAATCACGTTGGTTACTCCAAGATGTTTTGGCCACCACCTGATTGGATTTATTCAACTGCATCTATCGAAGTAAGTTCTTGTTTATCCTAGTTTTTGCATTTGCTTTGCCAACTTGGTTCTTTATGCATTTCCATTAGTATTTGGGTTACCATGTCAATGCCATTGCTGATTAGCCTTGTGCACAGTGGCCAATTTATCTTGTTTTTAGTATTGAGTTCAATTCGGAAACACTTTTTCGATATCTTGAGATGAAAAGTTGAAGGAGTTCTAATCCTCTATTTGCACCAAACGTAAATGTTTGAATTCTAGTCCTGTATAGAAGTTTTCTTTAAGACTCCCTTTTGTTCTGAAAAGGACTGCTTTAACTACCTTGTAAGTAACATTTTTGCAATTTATGAGATGAAAAATATTGCCTCTAGCTGCCAATGGAAGATATTCAGGTGAAATGATTTCGAATGTTTGAGCTAACAAACTGAATTTGGCATCATATGCAGGCTGGGATGGATAGACTGAATATTTAACACTTGCAGAGTTTTGGAAAATCAGAGAGATTAATGGCCGACGAAGTCAATGAAATGTATTGATTAGTGACCAGAGTTTCTTTCGTTGCTGGCAGCTTGCGTTAATAAGGTAGTCATGGCTCCTATGGTGTGTGTCAGTGGTGCTGATCAACCTGTATGTTGCTGAACTATGAATTAAATTTGTGTTTCTTTTTCCTTGGTTTAGAACTTCTCTTCTTGTGTAATGTCCATGTCGTCATGATTGTTCTATTAAATCAAAGTTTAAGTACTACAACATTATCTTAGGAGATGATTTTGTGATATTTCTAAACTATTATGTCCTTTATTCGTTGTGAGCATCTTTTATTGACGCAATTTTCAATCTGAATTACATGCAGGTCTTCTTGTGAATTGTATTTTCTGGCTTTTATTTTCTGACAGTGTTTCTAATATTCTTCTGGGAAACTGATCGTTTGGTCTTGAGTTTGTATCTATCTGCTTGTGTTAGTACTCGACTTCAGTGATAAAGCAATTGATTAATTGTTGTGATAATATATTTGCTCCCCATTAGCTTAAAGATTGCAGCTAAGGAGATTGTTCTTTATTTAAATTTTACTACATCAAGAAGTGTATTATTCTTATTGTCTTCACGATAAATGCCCCATATTTTCAAGGATCGCGTTGCTATAGCTGCACGGTCTCGTTAATACTATACGTGTACAAGTGTGTATATATTTATACACGTGTATAACACAGTGAAATTCAACTAATATCACATAGAACAATGAAACTTATTAAGTGCAGGACTATCTGAGAAAGATTGCTAGGGAATGCGTATCAACAACCATGCCGAATACTAAACAAGATGTAGACAGTAATTAACAAGCTTACTCATCATCCCGTGCATACTTTAACTTGATAAAATGCAGAAGATAAATTAAGCCTAATGTATCTGAAAGAAACAATGGTCAAAACTTCAACTAGAGAACACCCTAAGCTAAAGCAAATATACAATATATATAGTAAATTGCCCTTTCCCTTTCCCTCTGTTTCACCCCCCCACAGTCAGATATATTAAACAATCAATCACGCTCCTGAGCTTCGCCTGGGACTCTTCTAGAACCAAGATTACCAGCATACGACCAGAGTTTATCCAAGTCAGCAGGCACAACTTTGTCGAACTTATTAACGTTCGGCATTCTTGTACTTTTGTTTAGTGGAGTAACAGTCCTTCTCGGGCTACTTGGCAAGGGCGGCGATGTACAGAATGTCGGTGTCGCAAATGGAGATGCGTAAGGTGTATGTTGAATTGAAAAGGGACTCGGTGACATCTTCTTTTGAACCGGCAGACCATTGAAACCCCCTCCCCTGTTAAAAATAGACATAGATTCTGCTGCTGCACAGCGCTTTGTGGCATCGTCTACATACAAAACATCATCAATCCTTGCAATTATGTTGAATGCTAAGCTCTCCATTACCCTCGAGTAGCATTCTAGAATTGAGTGCCCAACATCCTATAAGAGAAACCAGAAGACTTTTTTAAGACAGAGAAACTAGAACAGGTTTGAAGCAAAAAGAGAATATAAATTAATATAAAAAATAACCACCTTGTTATACTGAATTTTGCTCATGTCTAGTGCAGTTTGTGGGAGACCAGGGAAACGGTGCCTAAGGCTATGCAACAGTGTTTCAGCGCGTTGTGCCAGAGATTGATTCTTTTCTCCATCAGCACCAAAGCCTTTCATTTTACCACCCCATGTCTTACGTTTCGGTTTCTGAACATTGGGATGTTTCTTTTTTTCTTTCGTCTTCCACACATGCACTGCCGCCTCGATTCTATTTGCCACATCCACTGTGTGATGCTCTGACGACAAGTCCATGCAATCGAGAAGACATTCTGGTGCGAACTGATCAGCTGTTATGTAGCGGTAGATTATATCACCAAGGCAATCTTTTCCATTCTGCAAAAAACACATCTATTAGCCAACACAAAGATTATCGTGTGTATTAAATAAGCAGCCACAAAATATGAGATTACCTTGGGTAAGGTTTCCATGTATGCAGATGGAATGTCCATCTCAGCAAGAACATTGCCATTTATGGCCAGGGCAGCCTTGAGTATCTGATTTGTGCAGTCCCTGCACTGCTGCAACCTCTTCCTCGCATCTTCAGACAACCCCTTTCCAGGAACTTTAGGACAAGGAAGCCACCACTTCTCTTCTTGTCTAACTGAAGGCCTCCCACACATTACATCGGATGAATACTTGTCACAATCATCCACAACTATACCGCGATCAACATACCAAAACTCCGTATCTCTGAAGCCATCAAGAATGCTTATCAGCATTGCATCTAACTTCTTGAGCGCCGGCAAATTCATGTATAAATCAGAACGTGGTCTTGTTGCCATGATTTCATACGTGCCTCCGCCAGGTAAATGTTGCGTCGACGGAACGAGTTCCACAATTGAATCGCTCACAGATAAGAGCCACTCCATCTCTCTGCACCACATTGCCTTCTTCTGTGGAGCCATTGGCTCCAGCCTCCACAGTTCCCCGAATACAGTTGCTACAATTTCAATACAGGTTCACACAAAAATAATTAGACCATGTTTGCAAGCGGAAATCACGCGGACACGTAGATATAAAGGAAAATACCTGAAAGATTGGTAATAGCATTTGAAATAGCTAGTGCAGTACAAACTCCTTTACCCCCTCCAGACATGTCTTCACCAAGAAGAAGCTTCGCAAATCTTTCCTTCATCATGTCGATTTCTGCGAGTGTGCAAAGATAAAACCAATATTTCACAGAATTATTACGATATTCGGAAAAGCCTAAAAACAATGATAAATCTGTAACGCTAAGCCTACTGTCTGACTGTAGCATACACTATATCATCCGCGGGGCAAATTTACGTATAAAACAAAATGACGAAAAATTGCATAAAATCAGTGTAGGGAATTAGCAGATGTCCAACAGATCGATCGCTATTTCTGAGCTACACCTTAATTTCAATTAATTAAAACTGTATAGAACACAAATAATAGGTGACATTTTATACAGCATAGAACTATTTTGAGTATTTGCAGTAAATTTAGCATTACAAATATCCAAAAAAAAAATTGGGGGAGAGAAGTACAAACCAGATAAATCGGAACTACGTTTATGCGGCTTCTCATCCCAAACCACCACATCCTTGCCTCCGATCAAAGGGAAACTAAATGTCGGCGTCAACGGCGCCGAACTCCCGGCGGCGAAAGGAGAAAAACCGGAGGAAGTCGACGCGCCGCCCCTCTCGTCCTCATCTATGTCGCCATTCGAGCTCTCCGACTCGCTGATGTCAGCGCTCAGGCTGTAGCTACCACACCTCTCCTCACTGCCCTCCTCGGAAGACACACTCCCCATTGTTTGTCGATTAATTAAGATGAAAGCTAAAAAAATCAGAGGGAAAAATACAGAGATCGATCTCAGATGTACATTTCCGTCATTTCACACACAGAGAAGCAAGCGTGGTTGTACCGTTACCTGAAATTTTTGGGGCTTCAGATAAGAATGGTGGTGAAGAAGATGTAGAAGGTAGAGAGAGAGTGGGGAAAAAAGTAAAAGCAGACAATAATAAAAGCAAAGCGACAGGTTTTCTCTCACTCTACTCAACTCTTCCACCTTCCCCTTTCTCTCACTATATATGTATAGGTGTGTCATGTGTGTAATTATGAGGTAACGGCGTTAGCAGGGAAGGGGTAATTTTCTTCAGAACTTGACGACAAAGACGCTGCAAGACGGCGTTAACAGTAGTGGCTGTGTGTCTTTGCAGTGACTTAACGACGAAATAGGTCATTTTTTCCGTTACATGTCCCATTGCCACGTCGGCAGGCGCATTTGGACTTGTATTATGACCTACCAGGATTATGTAAATTGCGGCAATTAATATAAAAAGTCCATTTATTTACCGGGTAAAAAGTAGAATCAATAATTAATAAATAAATAAAAGTGACGAAAATACTGAAAATATGATCCAAGTCCCAACAAAATAATGAGAGGAGCAAAACTTATTTTATATTTTATATTCTTATAATTTTTTGTACTATAAAATTGAATTTGGCAAAAGATCTATCGAACCGATTGAACATGGTAAAATTCTATTTTATATTCATATAAATTTTTGTATTATAAAATAATATTTTATATTCTCAATAATATAGAATTTAATTCAGCAGAAATCATATACAAATTATACAGTCTGCAAGTATAGCTAAATTTAATTTTTGGGGTGTAAAAAAGAAAGAAAGAAAAAGGTTGAAGACTGCTGTGCATTTCACAGGAATCTGAGGGCCTTGCGTGTTAGAATAGATGAAACGGCGTGTTTAATATATTTATTTGTTTTTTAATTCGAAAAAAGTGAGAGATAATAACAAGCGGGAGTTCCCATGATAAGAAAGGTGAGGCTCCATTTCCGGGGCGTTGGATCGGAGGTGGGATTGACTCCCCTTTCTCCTTTTCTTTTTATTTGGGACTCATTATTTTGAAACTCGAAAAGATTCTATTAAAATAATGTAAAATAAAAAAATAAAAAACATTAATTTTAATGTAAATGAGCAAATTAAATGACTAGATTTTTGAAAATTTGAAAAAATGTGAAGGACAAACAAGAAAATGATAGTAGGGTGTACTTGAAGGTTATAATTTGGGCAAAGATGATGAAATGTGTCTGAACCCAGCCCCAGTTATGAGAGCCCTTTGATTCAAAATCAAGAATCAAATCATGTTGCTTTGATTTCTTGTTTGGGCATCAGATTTTGGCCACGTCACAAAATCAATTCAAAAGGTTTGACCCATTGACTTTTGATGGCTCATTATTTGGTATGGATTGGGAGTCACATGATTGGATTAGGGTTGCGTGTCTAGGCCCTAGCCATTAGGGTCCGAACCCCCTTAGGTCGGCTGGTCGGATGCACCTACTTCTTCGCCCCCTAGTTGGTTTGGTATTACTAGCAAAATTATTGGTTATTTTCAAATATTTTTTGTCAATTTTTTTTTCTTATTAAATACAAATTATTTTAAATGTTAATTCTCACGCATTTAAAAATAATAATTGAGAGGCAATTGGTGGGACTATTAATGACTATTGTATAGTTTGGTTTGATATTTTTAAATTATCATGTTGCTTGCACTCATGGAAAAATGTCTTTTTAAATCATACATTTATTTATTTTGGTTTGATTGTCAAATTCAATATATTATAAATGTAGATATGACAGCAACGTACTTTGTTTAATTTTTTTCCAAATGTTTATCAATTTTGGGAATATAATATCTAAAGTAATAAAATTTGTGATTTAATATGAAATTCAAAGACCCGCATTTGATGACCTAACAATTGGAACAAGCGAGACTATGTCAATTAAACTAGGTTGGATTAATTGAAAATATTTTTATCTATTGCAAAATACAAAAAAAATAAAAAAAAATAGTCACATACAAATTACTCATATTTAATACTCAATAATACAGTTACTTATGCAATTATACTGCGTTGATTCACATGCATAATGAAGCCTATGACCTCATTGTCGTTCAACATTCTAATTAAATTTGCCTTAATTTCCGTGACTGGGCCGGGCCGGGCCTACATGTGATGCAAGCCTCTTTAATATTTTAATGGCGTCTCTACTCTATATTTCATTGTTCACATTTCATCACCAAGCCCGAGATTAAAATAAAGTGGACTTTTCTCTCCATTAATTAAAAATCTAGTGACAAATTTTCGTTGCTTTTGCACGTTTTTGCATGTGATTCACTTGACCAATGATCAGGGCTCGACCCTTGTCAATAGATAAGTTAGAAAAACTTAAAATATATTTTTTTATATTAAATTAAAAAAAAATGTAAAATAAAAAGGCAAATATGGGTCTGACAATAGTGTGGGCCCAGCTTGATAGATAAAACAGTGTAACGTGTAAACAGTAAAAGTAGAATTGTACTATGTGGGCTTAAGCCCATAATGTAGGCCCAGTTTTTAACTGTTTAACTTTTGGTTTTCATACATAGAATTAGAGTGAACAGTAAAAGTAGAACCGTAAATATTTGGGGTTCGGCCCAGAATGTAGGCCCACTTTCGAGCCCTTCCCCTCTTTTTAGTCGGTGAACGATTTAACTACAGAGATAGCTTCTATTCAATCCCTTGCTCCGTTGAATAACCTAATTCCCAATTTTTTCAAGACAATTTTTTTTTCGTGATTCATTGTGAAATTGCAGAAGCAAAGGAAACAGTCGTTCAATATGCCGAAAAAAATGGGAACGAACAGCAAAGCCGAAGCAGCTAGGGTTAGGAAAAACGTCTCCGAAGCCGATCGCAAAGAGCGCGAAACCAGGGAGAAAGAAGACAAGTACTGGCGCGAGGCCGAGGGAGACAAACCGAAAGCTGCCAAGAAACGAGAAGAGGACGCCGAGAAACGGGCTGAGGCGGCGGCCAAAAAGGCGGAGGCGCGCCGATTAGCCGAGCTAGAAGAACAGGAACTGGAGAAGAGTTTGAAGAAGACGGATAAGAAGGCAATTAGGGTGGCGGCTCCCGTGCCGAAGGTGACTGAGGTGGAGCTGCGGCGTCGGAAGGAGGAGGAGCAGGCGGCGTTGCAGCGGCGGGTGGAGGAGGATAAGAAGAAGAAGAATCGAACGGCGGATGAGGAGGAGTACGAAAGGATGGTGAATGTGGTGAATACTAACCGTGATGATTCTATCATTGAGGCCAGGTCGGTGGAGGAAGCTCTTGCCAAGATGACGGTGGAGGATAGTTTACCGGTGGATAAGCACCCGGAGAAGAGGCTCAAGGCTTCGTTCAAGGTACAATTTTTATGTCAATTTTTTCTCGAGTTTTGTTTTCATGTAATTTTAGTCGAGAACTATGTTTGTTAGCCGTTTTAACTGTATGTTTCACAAACGTAATTAGGTGAAGTTTACGATTTGCCTTTCTTTGTATTCGCATGTGTTGATATTGAATTAATTCTGTGGTGCATTGGCTGATTCATTTTTTTACAGAGTGCTACATCATTGTGTACTTTTATCCCGTCGATCATATGATGGTTTTGGCTTTTGAAGTTAGCTTGTGCATTGTAGCTTTCCATTTTTGTGATGAACCTTTATATTTTGCAGGCTTTTGAAGAAGCTGAGCTTCCAAAGTTGAAGGAAGAGAAACCAGGATTGACGCACACTCAATACAAGGACATGATTTGGAAACTCTGGAAGAAATCTCCAGACAACCCCCTTAACCAGGTGGGAAGCTGATTTACATTGCATATGATTATTACGCAAGCTTGCCTTTTTGGTCTTAATAATAAGATGCAGAAGATTAAGCTCGATTAAAATATTTTGTCTACTTTTTGTGTCTCTGAGTTTTTGATATCTTAACCTCAGTTGAAGTGGGAAGCCTTTTTACGATAGATCTTGCATGGACCCATTAGTTGTTTTTTGAAAAACGTACTTCCTAAACCATGTTTAAGGTGACCACTCGCACTGATTAAATTATTTTTTGTTCATACAGGGATTTAAAATCAGTTATAACAACGAGAGGCTTTATATACATTTGTTAAGGGAGAACAATGAAGTTATTGCTGCATTGACATGGTCTTAAAATTTATTTAGTAATGGCCAATTTTCTGATTGACTTTGATGCAACTGTGATCGAAGTTTGAACAGCGAACTTTACATCCACTCATTGCCTTTTTTCTGAGAAACTCTTCAGAACAAAAAAGAAGGATATTATTTCTGTGTATTATCTAGAGTGCTTAAAAACGCTGCCTTCTTCTCTAAGTAGCTCTTTAGGTGTTACTTCATTTTGTTTTTTGATCTCCTTTATTGCGAGCCTTCTACACCTTGAACTTTCAGATGCTGATCCATGCTCCTTTGACAGTATACAAAACGTTTTGGTTGCTTTAGTTCTCTTTGTTGTTATTTGTTATGGAGTTATACTTATAACACCATCCGGTTTCATCGGAATTTGAATATGCAGATTGCAGATAAGTGAGTGCATCTTTTCGTGAGAAGCAGAATTGTGGATAGTGAGCTCTGCAGTTTCATGTCTATCTGAGTATATAAATTGACGATTGTGCAAGACAGCCTGGACCCATGCTTCTCTCATCTCGGGGCTGAGATGATACACCCTACAATCTAAATAAGACCCGTGTACGATTATATCAATGCATCGAAAGACACATTTCGTTTTGGCAGTAAATCTGCCTGCAATCACATTTATTCAGCTTGTAAAATAAATATGCGATTTCAGTGTGGAATTTTTTTTATTCATTTTTATGTTTAGGACATGAACAATTTTTACTTGATGGTATTGACTGAAAAGGATTGGTGTTGCTTCTTTCTTGTTTATATGTTACTCAAACTCTTGCAAGGCAAATTTAGCTGCAATGATTTATGGTCAACAATGTAAGGAAGTCAACGTAGTTTATTAATTATTGCATTAACATTGATGATGTTCGAAATGCTGGACTGATTGAACTGATGATTCCTATCATACAACAACCTGTGAAATAAATCAAAAAACATTGATTTTACTGGTGTTTTAATTCTAACATTCCTCTGAACATGGATATATCATACATCGCACCCACTGTCGTTTTCTGATAAACCCGACTTGCCAGCCAGTCAGGTCAATGTCACTGCGGGTCCAACAAAGACAAGAAAACACAAATTTGTTAGTGATGTTAAATCTGTCTGAGCCTACATGGTGGTGCTTGGTTTTGGAGGATATGGAATAGCAGCAGTTATGGGCAGTTATTTATTACAGCCATCTGCTTGCTTGCCTTTGGTTTAACGTTCTTACCAAACATCACTAAATGCTTAAAGCCACCAATCTGAAAAGGACTATTAGCTCTCGAGCTGGCACTGTTCAAGTCTTTTATTGCACTGTTTGGAGGAACTGAATATGGGATGCTTCTTTTTCGGACCAATTTGGGATCCTGCTTACTACGGATGGGATGAATCGAGGAATCTTTTGGAATCTTTTGGAGACTACTGCCAAAACAAGAAGAAAAAAAAGAAGAATCATTGTTGGATTGAAATCCGATAACTGCAGCAGAGAAATGCTGCTCCGTTTACTGCATTTGTTAGTCGTGCAAGGAGACAGTGTGCTCGCCATTCACGTACAGCACTCTGATGATATTTTCGATCCAAACACATTCCACATCCATGAAGACTTTTGCAAATCTAAGCAGGTCTGTATATATTTTGTTTTTAACATACATTTGTCAAAGTGAAATTGCTGCTTCACTTGCTTTGAGGTTGCAATAATCAGGTGGATTTTGAGGTGAAGATCTGTACCGGAAACTGCTACATAACAGAACTGAGCCACCAAGTTGAGTTGACTTCTGCCGTGATTCTTGCCGTTGGATGCAGCACCGAATGGTAATATAGAAATACACATACATATAATTAAAGAATACGGTGTTTTTGTAGCCCTTTTCATTAACAAGTTCCATTTATTTCTGCAGGCCGAAAAATTCAAGTATCACCAAATGCCTGAGAGCACTGCCTCCTTCTTGCAAGCTTGTAATAATGAATAATGCATGGAAAATTGTATTCCAGGAGATGGGAACTTCAGGCAAAGCCTCCATCCCTAGAGTTTGTCGAACTTTTGTGTCGTCTTTGTCAGAATCGGCCATCAGCTGTGATCGGCCAAGAACAAAACCTCTGTTCGAGAAATCTCTGTCTATGCCGTCTTCATCAACACCTTCAACATCAAAGCAAACTGAAAGTGAAAACTTTTTCCATCATCTTTCCCCGAAATTCTTCCAGAGATTGGCCGCGCTAGAAGCCAAGGGGCAAGATAGGCATTTCACGTATGACGAACTTAACAATGCAACGGAAAGTTTTCGTCCCGGTATGTTGATTGGGGAAGGGGCACACAGTCAAGTTTATCGAGCGATTCTTGAAAATGGTCAGGATGCAGCAGTGAAGGTTCTAAAGACCTCTAAATATTCGGAGGAGATCTTTTTTCGAGAAGTGGAGATATTGAGTGGATTGAAACACGAAAACATAGTCCAAATTCTCGGTTACTGTTGCTGTAAGGAAATGTATGCAATTGTATACAACTTACTTAACTCAAATCTGAAGCAGAGGCTCAATCAGTTGAAGTGGAGTGAGAGGATGCAACTTGCAATTGGATTGGCCAAGGCATTAGAGTACCTCCATTCTCTCTCTCCTCCGGTTATACATAAAGATGTAAATTCATCCAATATTCTACTCTCTGAAGACGGCAAACCACAGGTAATTCATGTTTTTTTTTTCTTTTTTTCATTTTTCATCTAATCGTCTAATGTATTGAAGTATGTACATATTGATAAGAACTTGGGATTTTTGACTTACAGCTCTCAGATTTTGGATCTGCAACGGTAGATTTTTCGACCAATCAATTATCATCTACACACAAAAAGCCGATTCATGTTATAGGTACATTTGGATACTTAGCCCCGGAGTATATAATGTATGGCAGAGTTGATGAGAAGATAGACGTGTATTCTTATGGGGTTGTGCTATTGGAACTCATCACCGGGAAACAAGCTATCCAAACAAGTCCAGTGTCGAATCAAGAAAGCTTAGTAGTTTGGGTAATTCAATTTGAATTGAGCCATAATTTATTTGTTTCTTTTTTTGAATTTTTATAAATTTTTTCTCGACCCTTTTTTGCGATTACAATTTGCAGGCAAGGCCTCTGCTCACGTGTGGCCTAGACGAACGCCTCATCGATCCCGACTTGAAGGAAGACTACAAAGAGGATGAAATGAAGGCTATGATGATTGTAGCACGACTCTGTCTCTTGCATTCATCTTCTAGAAGGCCTACTATGAAAACAGTACATCATTTCATCTTTCAGTACTAAAACAATCAATTCCCTTACAAATCTAGCAATATAATTTTTTTTCTAAATTGTAATTATTTTTTGGCAGATTTTGCAATTTCTGGAAGAGCCAAACTACGTATTGGAGATGCAGAAAAAGAGGGAGGACCTTGTTTGCAAAAATGGAAGCAAAGATGAGAGTGATTTTGGCGTAGATGCTAATTCAGGCCCTGCTGATATTTTGCTCGAGGATGATGATGAAGTCTAGTTTTTCATTTCAATACATACCTGTATTACATACTTGCGTAATCTTTCTATTTCCCTTGTTACAATACATATATATATATATATATATATATATATATATATATATATATATATATATATATATATATATATATATATATATATTTATACATTGGATTGTTCTTAACAAGAAAGGATATATCTTGTCTAAATATGTGTTGCCTTCATTTTTGTTCAGTACAATATAGAAGAAGGTCCAGTTGGCATGTTTCTATTGGTACGTATTGGAATTTAGAACAAGCACAAAAGAATATTTAGAAAAGCCCAGCTACAAAGTACAAACAAAGGTAACGAACTTTTAAATATTAATTGTCCTCAGCCAACTGAGAAAAATTAATTGGCGAAACATACTGTGGAGGGCCATTGTAGAGTGTTTGAGCTGCCATATAAGCAGCTTTCATAGTAGGGTGAAACATATCCCAGAACAAATACTTGCGTCTATCTGCGCAAAGTGACGCTGTCGAATTACAAGGGCCTTGCGCATTTATAAATCCATGTCCGCAGCATGCCGATTCCACATTCTCAAATCCTATGAAAAAACCGAAAAAAAAACATTTTTTAAAGATGTAGTAATATAAGCCATCATCATTATATATATACACACACTACAAATCAATTGTGTTCTTACCAGAGGCATGTGGATTATTTATTACATCAATAGTCATTCTGTATCCATCTCCAAGAGAGTACTTAAAACCCGAAAGCTGTGAGCTGATATTGAGTAAAAGGTTGTTTAGTGCTGAGTGGAAAGATAAGGCGAAGTCGTTTTCTGGCTCGAAGCAACCATTAACACCATTTATGAGTTTCTGAACAAGTCTTTGTGATGGACAGCATCCTATTGGTGGCACACTGATGATGCCGAATTTTCTTGCCCCGAGTCGGTATAAATTCTAAGCCCGAAAAGAAAGAAAAAAAATTTAGTTTAGCTTAAGTTGAGATATTTAGTGTAGATTTTGAAATAAGTAATGAAATATCTTACAGTGATGTGGTCTGAATACGATGATATGAGAAGGGAAATGAACTGATCTTTAGGCATTGTACTCTTGCTCATGAAATAGCCGAAAATATCGTTGCTCCCTATACTGATGAAGAACAAAGATTTGGACAGCATTGTTTCTGTTGCTGTTAGACTTAACAGGGCTATCAGATTTTCCTTTACTGTTGAAAACTGACTTATCTGCTTCGATAATGGTACGACGCTCTGTTGGCAACATACACATGAGAAAAGAATATACGATTATGATTTTTTTTTAGGACAAATAAAACTACTTAATTAAGCTTACTGTTTACAGAAAAATTCTTACCAGGTTTGGACCTGTTATATCGAGAAGGCCAGCACCAGCCGAGGCAAAATTTACACCTTTCAATAGATGCTTACGAAAATGATTAGTTTTTAGGGTCGTAAGAAACAAAAATGGAGGTGGGCTTCTCTTGAGACCAAATAGCTTGGCTGAAAAACGACAATTTAATTTGCATGAAAAATAATGTCGTTATCAGTCTGCATAAGAAGCATTTATGCATGCATGGAGATGCAATATTTATATAAGTTTTTATTATTACTTACAGACAAAATCAGCACTGTTAAAGCCGTTACTGAACCTTCCTGTTGGGCGAGACTTGGGAAAGTCGATCCCATTGTGTAAGAAATTGGCTCTCACAGTACTCTGAGGTAAAAAAGTATTGGTTCCAACATCTGCAGTTGAGTCCCCCATTATGAAAATGGCTGACGATGTTTTTTCATCAGCTGAGTTAGGGATGATATTTAGCAACACAACTAATAGGCCAAGAAACGGAATAATGTGTGTTTTAGCCATAAAAGAGTCTGGTTTCGATTTGTTTGAATTCTTGATGGTTTAGTTAAGAGATTTAGAGGCCCCTTTTATGCATTATGGAGCTTGCTAAAGTTCAAGGATGTAAGGATGACAGGATAATTTTTTTACACAAGTAGACATTTTATGAAAACCAAGGATTCGGTTGGTAGGGCGGACTGTCCTAATAAGTAAAGCCGATCATGTAACGATTTATAAAAAAATATATATATTATAATTTTTATGACGAAAACATGTAATTACTAGCCGGACATAGAATTAAAATATCTGTTTATAAATAACCAAAACATTAATTTGTAGGCAGGACTTGGTCTTTGAACATAAAAATCATATACTAGCTTGTTCAAACATAAGATGCAAAACGTGTTTGATATGATCCTCATTTACGTAGAAAACAACAACATGTTTCCATTCATATAACTATAATTCAGTTAATAAGATGAAACATTTAAATTAAAAAAGATACAAATCCCATTATTTTGCTTTAATATAATTTATTTATTTTCCAGAGATACAAAAGAATATGAGTTTAGATTAATGTACAAATTAAAATGTTAAAGTATTAGTAATTAATAGAGGATGCTTCTTCTTTATGCCTTGTGCTCTTCCACAAAGCAAAGCGTTACTCGGAATGGGATACTCATCCCTCACAGACTTCACCGGCGTATACACACGTAGATAATACTGCTGACCGAGGTACTGTCTTGCCCAATACTCGCTCCTTATATTCCACATTCCTACGTTGTCCAGTGCCACGTATACTGCTGTCCATGAATTAGGATACACCTGTACATATATTCACAACACATAATTGTTACTTATTCATTAATATTATTCACTAATCTTGGTTTTCAATTTAGTTATGATTAATTAAATCTTGATCATCCTTATAATCACCACCTGTGTTGTGGAGCGCGAAACGGCGTCTACTAGATTGTACTGTTTCCGACTATCAGATGTCCACGTACCTCCATCCATTCTGCAAGAAAGAGAAAAATTAATAAATCATATTAACGCACGTACTTAATTAATAATTACGTTTACGTACCCTACTAGGAAGAAAGCATATCCATCAAGATGCCAGCTTTGTACGATGTTTTCCCTGTTTTCAAACACAATCTCGACAAATGCTCTGTAATCTGCCCCCATTACTGACGTGTCGAGGTTGATTCCATTCCCTAGTGGAGGATTGTCGGAGATGCTTCCGACACGGAATACCCCTGAAATGTTGAAATAATCTGCTAGCTTCATGGGCGTATCTGGCGGAATAAACGAAATGCCGTTCACTGCGTAACGTTGTTTCCCGTTAACTATGCCAGCTGTACTGGCTAATATTATTGTCCTGGTCACGTTGATTTTGCCGTAGTGGTACGAGCCTTGTGGGTTCGGCCGAGGTCCACTTGCTGTCAGATTTGTTCTGAATGAAAAGAAAAACAAAAATCCTAGATTTAGATGAATTTATAGAAACTTAACTAAAAATTTGAGGAAAATAAATATGATAAAGTTTATATATATGTATTATAACCTGATGGAACGAGCTTGGTTTAAGGAAAACGGAAGGTCGGTGGGGCCGGGCGGTGGGGGGCCGGAGACAGGCTTGGCGGAGTTGGTGTAGTGAAGAACGGCGGTGGTGGTGAGGAGTTTGGTGGAGAAACGTGTTGATACGGCTATGTAGTAGTCTTGAGGAGGCTGATCGGCGGTGACTAGGACGGAGTAGGACTGGCCTACGTGCACGTCCAGGGAGGTTATGGTGGTCTGCATAGTGTGAGTCCCCTCCACTTCCACCAGCTTCATACTGTGACCCTCGATCCTGAAATTCAGTGAATCTCGGATCCCCACATTTGATATCCTCAATCTGTATGTTTTTCCTGATCATATATAGATAATTAAAAAGCAAAATTACATACATATATACAAATATAAATAAATGTTATGTTATATATTATTGTATATATGGTGAGTGAATTACCCGGTTCAACTGTGAACCGTGAATCATTTGATCCGCGGCCGTTGATGAGAATACCATCGGGGGACATGAGCATCTTTCCTTTGTCTAAAATAGACTGAAGAACCTGCAGCATGCAAATTTTATGACAAGTTTTATGATTTTTATGGTATTTTGCTTATTGGATTTACTAATGTTAATAATGTAATATAATATAAAATAAAATACCTTGTGATTAGTTTTGTACCAATCACCGATGAGAACAGTGATATCTCCGGCAGGCTCAGGGAACGGAACGGGGATTCCAGGCCTGCTGAGGATCCGAAAACCACCAAATCCACCGGCAGCTTTGTGGAAAGCGAGGGACGGGAAATAATAGAAGCTTCCAATTTGATCCTTCATTTGCATTTTGTAAGTGAAGTTTTTTCCTGGAGGAATTGGACATGTCGTTCCGAATACTCCGTCTTCAAATGAATTTTTCCTCTGCTGTATTCCGTTCCTGCAGTTTTAACCAAATCGCAGATTTACCTAATAAGTCATTAATTTCACGTTCCTGATGTTTATTTATAATCACCAACCAGGAGAGAAGGAAGGGCTCAGGCAAATTATTGAACACGTTGATTATGATATTATCATTTGTGACTGAATATATGTCAGGTCCTGGAAATTGTCCATTTATCAGAATTCCCTGCAGCATTCATTTACAAATTAAAACAATCCCAATATAATTAATATATACACATCAATAGGCAAATTAATGAATTAATTTCAATAATAGAGAAACCTGTTGGGGAACACCTAAAGGGGAAATGTCACCATAAGTAATGTTCCAAGTAAAGAACCTGTAAGGATCCTCTGCACTACCCACAATTGCAACAACACAAATAATAGATACTACTAAATGCCACATAATTCCTTTCATTTCTTCAAGATTTTTGCAAGAAATATATATATTATATAATAAATAAGGGGCCGGGGTTCAGTTAAATAGGTGTTGTCCGATGTAAAGTACGTTACAAGAAAGATAGATTTTCTTTTGACAAATTAAATATAAATTAATATGAACTGGAAACAGAAAGACATATACAGAGGATTATATTAATATTGTTTATGGAGATTAATTAATGGTAGCTTTTAGATTTGGTTTTATGTATGTGAAAAGGAAGAAGAAAAAAAAGCTTCAAGAAATAGGTAGCGACAAGCAACATGCGTATAGCGTAGACATAAACTAAATTAGTGGGCAAATGCACAACTATTTCTGCATATGGTACAAATACGACTGGCAAAGGATGCAATCGAAATGACAAGAATGCCCTTGTTGATTTCACATGTGCCTTTTCAAGCTACAAAATCTGGTCCGTCCGTGACACACACACGGAATTTTCAATTTCTGGTTTCCCCTTTGCTTTTACAGTTGACTATTTTTTTTAATTTCTGGTTTCTCTTTATTATTAATATTAATGGAAGTAGATTATATCTGATTGACGAGTCTCGTAAAAGCAAAGAAAGACAGGAAAGTGGTGCGATTACTTGGATTGGGATGATTGTGAAATTGGTGACGTGGTTTACACTTGTACCGTGACGTCATAATTATATAATATTTGACTTTTGTTATATATATTTTGTCAACTAATATATATGTTTTGCCCAATAAATAGCTGTTTTCATGTTATGGGCATTAATAAGCCCACAATGTTTTGCACATTTATCCTCAATCTATTATTGAGTTATCTGTCTGTATTGATTATGGGCTAAAGTACACAGCCCAATAAGTTATGGTTCGTAAATTGGGCCCATATTTCTTTTTCATTAGGGCTCCGATAAAATTAAATTTCCAGATGTGGCTTAATCCACTTATTACTTTCAGAAAGGACACAGAATCATTATTAAGATTGGCAGAAGCAAAACTATAATCTTTAGTCAAATTCCATTTTAAATTTGGTCAAATACAATTTCCTCCTTTTATTTTCTGGTGCTCCTAATCCAAATCCTATCTTGATATACTCAATTGGGACTTCCTTTATACCACTCCAAGACCACTCGCGTTTATCTCACGCCCCCGCCATATTTAAATCCATCACCAAGGCTATGTTTGGATTTCCCATTCCAATGAAAAGAAGAATGCTTTCAACACTATACTATATTATTATTTGCATGTTGTCCCAACTCAAACATGTCTCAGATTAGTGCGTTATAACTAATATTGGACAGCTCGTGATTGCAGACATTCAAAGCAAATTGCAGGGAATAACATTAAACACAGACCAGAACGAAAAGAAAAAAAAAAGAGCGTAAATATCACGCACATTAACCTCGGAATCCACGAAGAGTTCGGACAAACAAACCCCATCCGAATATCCAAAATACAAAATTAATTACACCGGGCCCACTTTTTCAATCTGCTCTGCTTGCAATAAACCCCATTTCCTGCCTCCCTTTTCCCGATTTTCTCAACAATTGCCCATTTTACAAAACAGCATTTATATTTATTACAGAACTTCTCTCTCTCTCCCTCTATTTCTCTCTCTCTCTCTCTCTCTCTCTCTCTCTCTCTCCTCCTCCTCCTCCATCTGTTCTTCGAGAAAAGGGAAAACAACAATGGGGGTGGCAATGCACGTTAAATCCGACTCGGAGGTGACCAGCATTGAAGCGTCGACGCCGCCGCGCTCGCCTCGGCGGCCGTTGTACTACGTGCAGAGCCCGTCGCACTCGCAGCAGGATCTTGAAAAAATGTCGTACGGGTCGAGTCCATTCGGGTCCCCGACCCACCATTTCCAGTACCACTGCTCACCCATTCACCACTCACGTGAATCCTCCACCTCGCGATTCTCCGCCTCCTTGAAGAACCCCAGAAACTCCGGCGGAATCGGCGGCGGGTGGCGGCGGATGCAGAGGAAATACGACGAGGTCGGCGACGAAGTGGAGGAAAATGAGGAGGGCGATGATGTGGAAGATGAGAGGGACAACGGTGGACAAGTGAAGTTTTATGTGGTGTGCTTCTTATTCTCCTTTGTGCTGCTTTTTACTGTGTTCTCTCTGATTCTTTGGGCATCAAGTTTGGCTTACAAACCCAAGATTATCGTGAAGGTGAGTGAGTTCTATTTATTATTTGTTTTTCTTGTTATATGCTATGGACCTTCCTCCTGAGTTAAAACAAACTCAATGCCTTTTGAATGAACAACATTGAAAAAAAAAACCATCTGTAATTTGTTTTGAGTTGACTCAGCAGCCACTTAACGATTTCAATAATAAATAAAATCATTTGTGGAAACAAACATGGAATTTTTTACAGTATAATTGTTTTTGCCTTTTCTTGTTTATACGTTGATTTATGCAATAAAAAAATTCAATCTTTAGGGAGTGAATGAACAAGCTAAAGAAAGACGATTTCCTACAATGTGGGGGGTTAGGTTAGGGGTGACTAATTAATTAATAATTAGTGGTGAGAATGCGACTAAAACCTAATTTGGAATAATGTGATTAGTTTAGTGATAAAATTGATAATGTGAGGCCATAAATTACAACTTTTTGTCAGTGTGCAGTGGTTGATGAGTGAGTATTTCAATGTGATTTTGGCAGAGCATTTCTTTTGAGACTTTCAATGTACAAGCTGGGATGGATGCCACTGGTGTCCCAACGGATATGTTAACCTTGAATTCTACGGTCTTCATCTTCTACCGAAACCCTGCCACCTTCTTTGGCGTCCACGTCACCTCCACCCCTCTCCACCTCCACTTTTTTGACCTTCAAGTTGCTTCCGGTCATGTCAGTTTTTTGAATTTTTTTTCTTATTTCACTTCTTTTTTTAACCCCTCTAGTTTTATTTTAATGATGTGATGTGAGTTGAGCAGATGAACAAGTTCTATCAGTCTAGAAAGAGTGAGAGGAAAGTGATAGCGGTGATTCAAGGGCATCAAGTCCCGCTCTACGGCGGAATCCCTATGCTCTCCGGTGGTGTTGCTAAAGCTCATCTCCAGACAATGGCCGTGCCGTTAAATCTCACTTTCGTAATTAGGTCAAGAGCCTACATTCTGGGGAGACTCGTTAAACCTAAATTCTACCAATCTGTGTTATGTCAACTTACTTTGACCGGTAATCATTTGGGCAACCCTCTTAATCTCACCAAAACTCACTCTTGTGCTTATCATTAGTCATAACTCATTTGCAAAATTGTAATGTACACTACCTTTTGGAGAAATTAGTGAAAATATATTTTGACTGGTTAAGTCTTGGATAGTCGATTATTACTCTGTACAATTATTTTTCGGGATTGTTCAATTATTTGGGCTTGAAGAAGTTAGCTTCTAAGCCATTGACTATCAAACTCCACAAACCCGCACCTGCGCACAACGTGCTCAACAAAATGCCTGAATATCCGAGTCCCATATTGATAGCCCACATTCTGCTAAACTGCTTCGGTTTCTTGATGCAAATCCACATCAGACATGGATACGCCAGAGTTAGAGGCAGAGCCAACGAGCCTACGAATGCACCCAAACTAGGCAAGAACGGGATAGCTACTGCCACAAAATACGTCACTCCACCAAACAAGACTTTGATAATCGAGCGAACCAATCTCGTGCACGGCTTGTTTTTCTTCGTCGTGTAGATGCGCTCAAAGTTGTCGAACGCTGGCATTGCATAGATTTGGAAAGTGCAGAGATAGTTGACTATGATTAGGATGTAAATGGAGCCAATGATGTACTTTGATGTACTGCTCTGGTTGAACTTTGTGAATGCACTAAGAATTCCCCCTTTTACAGGCATCTGATCAGGTAAGATATATAGCACAGTTAGAACCTTAAACACAGGTGAAATAATTCATATTCTTCAATGGTGATCACTTGTTACCTTATTACCATAAGCCCAATATCCAACTATTGCAAGTGGATACACAGTCATAGCAATGACTAGATACGAAATTGTTACTCCCCTCCACATAGATTTACGCGATGGTTGTTTAAGGTTTGTGGGTATTGTTCCCTGCGGTTAGAAAACACTTCAGACTTACTGAGCCTGTTTGGTTAAACTTATTTAATAGAATTTTTATATATATAACGGATGTACCTGTATCTCCAAAACGAGATTGTGTCCTCTAAAAGCAAGAGCAATTATCCCTAAGCCATTCAACACATTCCGGATTTTAGAAGTAGCATCGTTGTTTAATATGATGACATCATCCACTAAATCGTCGGGCTTGCCTTTGATGATGGATAGGACACATAAGAGGGCACAATAGGAGAGTGCAGTTACGGACCCAATAATCGAAACAGAGGTTAATGAGTCGAGATTAGGGAAGAATTGAGATATGAGAATGGCTAAGCAAATGAAGACCAAACACCATTCAGCTCCGGTCAATGCCTTTGACTTGCATTCGAGATTGTTTTCGCAGATTGATTGGAACAAGAGTTCCATGGTGGTGCCTCCAGTGATTATGTAAATAACGCACGTGCCGCTTGATAGGTACAGTGTTGGGAATATGGCTACCAATTTCCCCAGTTTTTCACCTGAATTTATACAAGACATATAGATATATTTTGATCATGCATGTGTGACTTTAAATGAATTAATTGCAAGAATTGCATACTAACTCATGAATGGAAAATTTGTTTGTATAAAAAATGCGTTGAGAAAAATGGTAATAAGTTACTAACCGAAGGCGACAATTGAGAGATGAAGATATCTACTGTAACGAATTCCAGATTGTGGAGATGGTTCGTGAAGATTAACAAGAAGCCATATGGTGTAGAGCTGCCATGAATATGCCACAGTCAAGCAAATAATGCCCCAAAACCTGTTCGATCGCCATTTAAATCAACAAATTAAAATTAAATCTTCGAAATTTCAATAAAAAAAAATATTATTCAATAAATTATAAAATGAATTTTGTCTAGCATTTATATCACGAAAATGAAAGATCTATTCCAAATGATGTCAAATACGCATTAACCAACAAATAGTTAAAATTAATTATGACATGTCATAATATAAGTAGCTTTTAAGGATGCACAAGCACACAGCGCGCAAGATTGATGATTATTATTTGGAATATTTTTATATTTCAGGTACAAATATGCTTAGTATAATCATGTATAAAAGTAAAGAATTAATAAATAAATTTTCTTGATTCTGCATTAATGAAATAGAGAAGTACTATTGCGCGCTTAATGGACAAGCACTGTGGCCTTTACGATCTACTTGCAAATGTAATGGAACTCCAGAAAGCTGGGGTTGCAAATTAATGATCGATGGTGGTCAGGAAATTAATTATTAATAATAATAAGCAAAGTAAACCAATGGTTGATTAATTTCATGCAAATGCCAAATAATTAAAAATAAACTAGTGCCAATTGATGATGTATGTTGAGATCGATGATGATTAATTACCATCCAAGTGAAACGAATGCTAAGGGAAGAAGAAGCGCTTGAATTCCGATCCCAGAACACATCAGATGAAATGCGGCCGTGAAACTGCTTCCCTTTCTCGATTCCGTAATTGGAAGCCAACTGTCTTGTGGTGGGTTATCATGATGCTCGCCGGAATATCCATCGCCGTCGCCCTCCAAAGATGAAGTCATCATGTGATCTGAGATGCTAATAATAATCACTTGATCTTCTTCAAGTTTGCTATTGGTTAATCTCTCCTCACAAATCGGCATCACTTTCGATGATGCTACGGTCGATTCAACGCCGACATTACTACTCGGCGGCCTTTGTTCTGCCATTAATATTGTTGTTGTTGTACTACAAAAACCTACAAGTGTTGTGTTGTGTTGTGTGTGTGTATTCAATTATGTTGTGCTCGATAAGAAAAAGTCAGATACAGACACACATATATATAGTGTGAGTGTGGTCACATGAGGTCAATATGGGTGGTGATGAAACAATTGGGTTGTACTACTACGTAGAAACCAAACGTAAGCAATGATGCAAATAATATTATTACAAATAAATAGATTATATGTGCTGTGAATATAGACCATATTATTACAATTAAATTGTGTGCAATGACTCCATCAGTTATACATAGTAATTAGCGTGATTTACTTTCTTTTTTTGAAGAAATTAGTCCTATCATTTCATTTGATTATTTAGCAAAGGTAACAAGGAAAATCAAAAATTAAATCAAGTAATAATGATGGTACGAGGGCTGGCTGTTACTAAATATTATTATTTATTTTTCCTTCCTGTAAATATAATTGGAAACTGAAAGAAAAAAAAAAAAAAAAAAAAGAGAAGAGAAGAAATTAGGTGGATTGCGATGTGACGTATGAAGTGAGCTAAGCAAGGTGACGTATGTATAAATAATGTAAATACTTTTCGGAATGCCTTAAGAAACCACCTGAGGAGACTTGCTTTCCCTTTCAATTTCATTCGAACTGGGCCACATACATAATAAACATATTTATTATACACAAAACAATTTAATTACTAAATAGTTTCATAATTCAAAAAATGTTTATGGATTATAAGAATATAGTTCTTATTCTTTACAAGAAAAGTGTCATGCTTTTTTTATTTACTTTTTTATAATTTCTTGGTCAAATTGAATTTCTTTTGCATCATTTCTCTTTTTCTGATTCCTAAATAAAATTGGAAGGATAATAGGAAGCAATGAAATTGATTGGAAAAAAGAAAGGTTAGATTAATACAATGCAGAGAATATGTTCTCCTTAGTAGACAAACTGAATATCCTTCATTTATTGACAAAATTAGTGGGTTCACTAATTAATCACACTACAAAGAGAAAAATGATTTTGAGTGCGAAACATTAGACCAAATAATAAATACAATTATTAATCAATAATGAGTTATAGAGAAAATATTATAATAATTGATTAATTGATATCTAAATAACACCAAAATGCATTAACCTGTCACTTCAAGTAGAAAAAGGAAAAGGCATTGGCACACAAGGAAACTAGTAACGAAGCAACACACTATATGTGAATGAACTAATTCATTTTAGCGTTTATTTTCTGTCTGTGAGAACACAACTTTTGAATTTGAATTATAATAAGTTTCCACGGAAGAGAGTCAAAATTGAACACTACTTTAAGTTTTTAACCAGGCTGACATTCATTTGGGAGACAATTATAAATTATAATAATTTAACTATCAAATAATTTATGTTCGGTTTCAATTTTACTATATGGGCCTGTTTAAATTATTGATGGGCTAATGGGCCTTACTGATTCATTCATCCTTATTTATTTTCCTATTTTTTTTATTTTGTATATATGGGCCAGAATCATTCAGATGGCTAGGGGATATATGTAATGTAGGACAAAATTCTCACAATTCTTTAATTATTTCAACTTCTTACTGCATACATTTTACAAATACAATCAAATCCAATCGCAAAATAATAATAAGAAAGAAATTAAATTTAAACACCTCTCTCACCCCAAATCCAAAACCACAAAAAGCTATAAAGTTTACACTTCATTCCTAATAAATTGTCTAAGGTAGTAAAATTGAAATTAGTGAGGCTTAAAGAAGCTAACTTGAATGCCAGTGTCTATGACAACATAGAGACCGGCAGCAATCAAAATTCCACTGAGGCCCATACCCATCAGACCCAATCCCCAATTGAGCCACCACATTGGGCTATAAATCTTGGGCTTCTTCATTTTAAGCCACATGAAACACGGGTATGCCAACGTCACCGGCAAAGAAATACCTCCAATTAAGCCCGCTACACTCCCCAAGAATGGAATCGCCACTGCCACAAAGAAGCATCCGAACCCGAACATGGCCCGGATGACGGCCCGAAGCCACCACGGGCATGGTTTCTTGAACTTACGAGTGTAGTGAGACTCCATCATGTCGTACATTGGCATACCGTATAATTGGAACGAGCTTACCGCATTTATTATGACGAAGATGCTTATCATTCCTAGCACCGACCGGGATACGTCTCGGCTGTGGAAGGCATACAAGGCGGTTAACATGCCACCATTAGCTGGAATCTGTCAATTTATTTTTAAACTTAGCTAGGTTTTGATGATCATTAATTATTAAAAAAAAAAATCAGAATGAACATGATATGTATTAATAAGGTTAAATTGTACATACCACGTGGCCGTAAGCCCAATAGCCGCCAATAGCTAGTGGGAATAAGCACATTGCTACGACCAAATATGCGGCTTTCACTCCTCTCCACATCGGCACACTCGATGGATTTTTTTCACTTGAAGGCATCGTTGCCTGCACAAGTCAAAATTTATACACTTGTTTAACTTACTCAATATTATTTATGTTTTTTTTTTCTTCTTTCCAATACAATTAATTAGTCAAGAATCTGATGCTGTGTGTATAATTTAGTGATTCAATTAGTAGCCAAAGACAAGAAGAATGTCATCTTTATCGGCTAGCTGCAGGTCATGATGGAGTCAATTCTATCTAATAAATATTAATGTTATTTAATCTAATTAGTCCAAATTATTTATTATTATTCAAACTTTCTACGTAACCCATTAGTTAGATTTGGTTCTTTGCAAAATAATTTAAACCCAGATTTCAACGTATTTACATTTTTAGTCGTCTCTTTTATGCATTAATAATAATAATAATATAATAAAAATACATTTAGAACGGTATCTTTCTAAAACATGATTTTTCTATAAATTATGCTACAATTTGAAGGAATTGGGGGGTTATCTTGATGAAATCACGAGTATTACCTGATGTGTACGTAACAAAATAATATTCTAAGCACCATAATATAATGGACCCAATTATAAAAATTCAAAGAAAAATAAAGATGAACTAATTGATATACGTATGTAAGAAGAAATATTTAATTAAATTATAGAGGCTGACCTGGATTTCAAGAATGAGATTATGTCCTCTGAAAGCAAAAGCAATGATCCCAAGTGCATTCAGTACATCAAAAATCCTCGCAATTTCCGTGCCTTTTCTAACTGGGTTGTAAGAAACATTCGGCAGCCTTCCCTCCGACACCGACACCGCCCATATCGCTGTACAGTACCCAACGGCGGTGAGAGCTCCTACGAGAGAAACTCCGGCGATGGAGTTCAAGTTTGGCAGCTGAGACAGCAGCACCGCCGCGCAAGTGAAAACCAAGTACCACTCCACGTTGGTCAACGGCTTGGAAGTGCATGGGGCCCCACAAACTGTCTGGAAGAACATCTTCGACGTCGACCCTCCGATCACGATCAGAGCCACACACGTACCCCCTGAGAGGTACATGATCGGAAAAGCAGCCAGGAATTTCGACAGTCTTTCTCCTGTTATATATTTAGGGTTTTTTTTTTAAATCAAGTTCTTGATCATATACTCATCTAAAAATATAGCTAACTAGTGAAATAAATAATTGTTCTCACCAAAAGTGGCACTAGCTAACTGCATGTATCTGCTGTAACGAATACCGTTTTCAGGAGACTCGTGGAGCTGCACAAGTAGATACAGTGTGTATAGTTGCCATATGAAGGCCAAACTCAACCCTATAAGACCCCATGTCCTGAAAATATTAATTTACACAAATATATTAATTAATACAGTTTTATTAATCAATATTAGTGCGTAATTAACAATAACAATTAATGATGAATAATTACCAGCCAAGAATGGTGAAAGCAACGGGGAGAATGAGGGCTTGAATACCAATACCAGAGCACAAAGTGTGATAAGCTGCATAAAAAGCGTTTCCATTTCTCGACTCGGTGATTGGAAGCCACGCGTCTTGAGGATCGAGTCTGGTGAGTTTGATGGCTTTTCTCAAAGGGCTGCCCAATGGAGTTATGAAACGTGGAGTCCTAATAAAAGGGGTTTTTCTTTTTGTGCCGCCAGGTGTGAGGAGCGGCGACCGTGTAAGTGAAGGTGAGTGGAACTGTGACGGAGGAAGGGAGACTATGGCCGGAGTTCGGGCACCCGGAGGTGTCGGAGCCACTGATGCTGCCCGTGGGGTTATCGGAGCTGAGCTAACTGCATCAACTTCATGCTGCTGATGATGATGAGTTGTATTATCACCCATTTTTTTTTTTTTTATTGGGTGTGTGTGTTTGGGATGAAAATTATAGTTGTATTTACACTCACAGGTTGTTTTGTGGAATATGGGATCTATATATATAGTGTAAAAAATATTAGGTTGTATTTAATAATTTAGTGTGGGAGCCATGCATGATGAAGAAGTTATAATATTTAGTTATTTAATTTAAAGGTGGCCGGAGGATAACTTTGGATTAAAATAATTTAAAGTATGATCATATGATGATCTTGAGCATATAATAAAAATAAATAATTAAAATTAAAGCAGGTGTTAATTAATTAGTGTGTGTAAGTTGACCAAAGTTATGGTCCAGGACAAAAGATTGACCAATATAGTTTCATTTTCAACAAGGAAGAAAAGCAAATTAAAACAGATTGACAAAATTGGCTGGCTGCTGCTATATTTTATTAGTTTTTTAATTTATAATTAGTGTGGGTGGAAACCCTAATTTGACATTCAAATACAAAGGTCGTGTTTGGGGTGCTCAACTCAGGGCGGTGATGGAATAAAAAATATTTATTTCATTCTCAAACACAATAGTGAACTGTTTTCAGGTCATTGTTTGGGAGATAACGAATTAAAAGTAAACGTAAACTATAATGATAATTGGTATGAATTAAAGAATTGAAATTACATAAATATCCCTAAGTTTGACTCAAAGCCATTCTATACTGGCACGATGTTGACCATACTTTTTGACAACAAAGATGAATGATAAAAGTATTTTTTTTTCTCAATATATTAAAGCTTGCATAGGTCAAAATCTAATCACTGCATCTGGATTTGGAAACATGAAAGTGTTAACAAAATGAAAAGGGAATAGTTGAATAAATAAGTGAAATTCAAGAGCGTATGATCAAATGGGGAGCTAATAGTCATTGATGGTTAATTTATTTATGTATGTGAATTTAGTTTTTTCAAATCGATAACAATGACCCAATAAGTTGTTGATCATCCGACTAGTATAAGTATAGTTAATATAATGGACCAATAAAGACCAACACTTGCTACTACTATCTGGTAGTAGTAGTACGGCCCGTTTTCTTTGTTGGGCTATGGCTAAATACCAATTTGAACCGGATTTGGAAAAAGTCAAAGTCAAAGGCAAATGCAATCATATGTAACAAAGACTCCGATGGTGTTTGGGTAAGCTTATTTTAAACATCTGACAAGCTCTTACATCTGATAAGATGTTTTTAGAGCTGATAAGTTGTTACATCTTATTTTTAGGATTAATTTTTAGAGTGTTTGGATAATGAGCTTATTTCATATTTCTACTACTTATTTAAAAAAATCTTATTTGGTCTCCAATAGCTTATTTTAGAAAAAAATAAGATATTTTTTTAAAAATTTACCAAACACTTTGGAAGAGCTTATAAGCTCTAAAACATCTTATAAGCTCCTTTTAACATCTTATAAGCTTAGCCAAACACCCTCTTAGTAAAGAATTGGCGGAAAAAAAGACAAGATGATGAAGAAAGTACTGTTCAAAGAAAGAGAGGAAGAAATGAGAAGAGAGAAGCGGACACACTCAAACTGAGAGTAAAGGTGATAGAAGAGAGTAAAGCCTGAGTTAATAGGCGTTCACGATTAAACAAAATAATATGAACGATCACGATCAAGAAGTTTGAATCTGAATTGGATTTTAGTTGATTTGAGTATTTCTAGTAGTAGGACAGTCGAGTTTTATCTAACTGTGGACTCAATTTTGGGCCCAAAACTTTGAACATTTAGATTAAGGCTGCGGCTATATACAATACTCATTCCACTTGTGCAAGACCAAATTAAAGAAAGATTCCAAAAGATTCTATTTTATTAAGATGGAATGACAAGTATGCCCATAAATTAAATTGGTTTTTTTTTTCTCATGTAAGACCAAATACAAGTAATGAGAAAAAAACAAAAATCGACACCAAGGTGTCGAAAAACTATGCTACAAATCGACTCTTAAGCGTCGAATTTCATAGGTAAAAATCGACATTGACATGTCGAATTTATAGCACAAATTCAAATGTTGAATTTTATACCTCAAAATCGGCATCTAAATGTCGAATTTTATACCTCAAAATCGACATCTGAATGTCGATTTTTACCTGTAAAATTCGACCTGTACATGTCGAATTCGTTTGCGCGGGATTTTTTTTTGGAAAATCGATATTCTAGCTAAAAAGCCCATAAATGCATACATTATTGGGTTCTTCCATCATAGAATCTTCTATTTTGATGTCTTCTGACTCCATACTTGCCATCTTTGTAAGATTTGTTGAGTTTTGATGATTTTGAATTTCTAGGTTTTGTGGGTTAATGGAGGAGGAAGGAGAAAAGTCTTGTGGGTTTTGGAAGATGGAGAAGATGAGAGTTGGTCTTGTGGTTTTGTGATCTTGTGATATGGTTTTTTGTGTTTTTGAATTTTTGGTCTTGCATATTTGAAATTTTTTATTTTTTTAATAAATACGGGTATTATAGTATTTATACATTGAAAATTTTAATTTGGTCTTGCAGAAGTGGAATTAGTCTTGTATATAGCCGCAGCCTTAGATTAATTAATTACAAACCTAAGACAAGGGCTTTTAAGAATGTTGATAGTCCAGGAATCCAGTTTGATTGGAATGAACATGTGGATATCATCCCAAAAGGGTCTTATCCTTTGTTTCTCATCTCTTCAATTCCCAACTTACATTAACGGTCAATCAATCCTACGACAAATACTAGCCAGGTTCTCCAACACACAGAAGAGTGAGCTGAAATGGGGAGCGTGAAGCTGCCTTTCTCTGTCCAAACCAGACATGGCGCCAACTTCTTGCTCTCTTTTCCCATTTCAAGATTCCGCTCCCCTTTTCCCGCCGGTAATCTCTTTGTCCAGATTTTTCGATCTTTACTTGGAAATTTCGTGTCTCGTGCGTTTGTTTCTTTCTTATCTGTTTTATTAATTTGATTTTCGTCTCAAGGAGTTCGACCCATCACCCATGTTCAATTTTTATAGGATTTTCTGTAATTTCATTTGTTTAGGATTAGGATATATATCCATTTTCTCAAGCATGTGGATAAGTAACCATTTTTTGAAAGGCAAACATTTTTCTTTCTTGGTCATGATTTTGTTTGATAAAACTCAATTTGGTAATAATATATTAGAGGGTTAAACATTCTTGTGTAATAGTTGATGATTCTAGTGATTGAAATACAGGGGCGAGAGACTATAGAGGCTTCATCATACAAACTCTACCCTCAGTGGATCCTTGTCGGTTGAGCTATACAAATTCCCATGACAAAGTTTCTCATTTTTTCACTGCAAGAGGTAAACATCACTGTATGTTTTAGAGGGGCGACTCTCGTAATTTATACATCACTAATGTGTTAGAGTAAATTATTCATGCATAAATTTTAATTTCAGCTTCAGCAGAACCCTTGACTGAGCCGATTGTGGAAGATAAACAGTTGAATGTTTCCACAAGTGGCGACTCTATCCGTAAAAGATTCCTTGAATTTTACGCTGTGAGAGGTCATAAAGTTCTTCCAAGTTCTTCGCTTGTCCCCGAAGATCCAACAGTTCTTTTAACAATTGCTGGAATGCTTCAGTTCAAGCCCATTTTCCTCGGGAAGGTTCTATTTGTTCCTCCTCAGCTTTTAAGTTTAGGTCAGTCGGTATTGAATGAGTGAAAAGAAAGACGTAATTACATCCAACAGAATAATGGAAGAAGAATTGAGGATTTGACGAGTCACCTTCCTCAGAAAATTTAATTCAAAGACATTTTTTATTTAGAAATTGACTGTTATGAATGTTTGTCAGGTGGCTAGAGAAGTGCCCCGTGCAGCAACTTCTCAGAAATGCATACGCACAAACGATATAGAGAATGTCGGTCGAACATCTCGACATCAGACATTCTTTGAGATGCTTGGGAATTTTAGTTTTGGAGATTACTTCAAAAAAGATGCTATAAGATGGGCATGGGATCTTTCAACTGTTGAGTATGTATTATAAACCGATGAAAATCATTCTAATCATGTATTATAATTTAAATTCATTGTTAGTTGATTCCATAATCAGTTATACCTTGCATGTAGGTTCGGATTATCAGCTGAAAATTTATGGATTAGTGTGTATGAAGATGATGATGAAACTTTGGCAATATGGCATGACGAGGTAAGAGAAAATTTACATAACTTGCAATGTTGCACGATGGTGAAATTTGTGACAACTATGTGCATAGTACCATTAAGAAAATTCATTATTATTATTGCAGATTGGTGTTCCTGTACAACGTATAAAGAGACTTGGTGAAGAGGACAACTTCTGGACTAGTGGAGCAACCGGTCCTTGTGGGCCCTGCTCTGAAATTTATTATGATTTCCATCCCGAGAGAGGACATTCGGATGTTGTAAGCATTTTTTCACAATTAAACGAAATTTTAATTTTCTTCTTTCATAGTTTGTAATAACACTAAAATCATGTGTAATGAAAAACAGGATCTTGGAGATGATTCTAGATTTATAGAGTTCTACAACCTCGTCTTTATGCAATATAATAAAAAAGACGATGGATCGCTCGAGCCTTTAAAACAGAAGAACATCGATACTGGGCTAGGCTTAGAGCGTATGGCTCGTATTCTTCAACAGGTAATTAAGTGTTTGCTTGCTTAAAATTAAAGAAATACAAACACTAGCTAGTCTCTGTTCACATGTTAAAAACTTTCTTATGTATTTCTTCGTTTTTGTTGCAGGTTCCGAATAATTACGAAACCGACTTGATTTTTCCCATCATAGAGAAGGCCTCAAATTTGGCAAATCTTTCGTACAAATTTGCAGACGAGTCTAAAAAGACGTACCTTAAAGTATGTAGGTGGTGTTGTCGTATATGTTCATCTTTCTCTTTTCTAAAATCTTGAATTATTTATTTATAATTTCATCCTTTTCAGATAATCGGAGATCACATGCGTGCAATAGTTTATCTTATATCAGATGGAGTTTTCCCATCAAATATCGGTAGAGGCTATGTGGTTCGAAGGCTAATCAGAAGAGCCGTTCGAACAGGCAGGCTGTTAGGTATAAAGGGGGATGGGATGGGAAATCTTGACGGAGCGTTTTTGCCAATACTTGCCGAAGAAGTTATCAAACTAAGCACAAATATAGATACTGAGGTAAAAATAAGAGCTGCCCGCATATTCGAGGAACTGAAAAGAGAGGAGCTTCGCTTTGTATCGACACTCGAGAGAGGAGAGAAGCTTCTAGAACAAATTCTAACCGATGCATTGTCCACTGCTCAGATTAACGGAACTGTACCTTGTATATCTGGAAAAGACGCTTTTGTCCTGTACGATACGTTTGGTTTTCCTGTGGAGATAACAAAAGAGGTTGCAGATGAACGAGGTGTTGGCATAGATATGGAAAGTTTCGACGTAGAAATGGACAGCCAAAGAAGACAGTCTCAAGCTGCACATAACACAGTCAAACTCTCGGTTGAAAACGGGGCGGAGTTGACAGAAAATATTTCAGACACTGAATTTCTTGGTTATGACACACTTTCGACGAGAGCAGTTATTGAGGGTCTTTTAGTAAATGGCAAGGCGGTAGAGCAAGTTTCCGAAGGAAATGAAGTTGAGGTATTACTAGACAGAACCCCATTTTATGCTGAGTCAGGGGGGCAAATTGGGGACCACGGCTTTTTGTATGTTACTAAATCTGGAAATGTTAAAGAAGCTGTTGTGGAGATTAAGGATGTCCAAAAGTCCCTCGGTAATATATTTGTTCATAAAGGTACAGTCAAAGAAGGTGTTATAGATGTAGGTGGAGAAGTAGAAGCTGAAGTAGATACAAACTTGAGGCAGCGTGTGAAGGTGTGAGTCTTTAATACTCGTCTATTGTTTGATTATTAACAAAATTCAGTTATTATTTTGATATATGGTTGTTTTGGTAGGTTCATCATACAGCTACACATTTGCTCCAATCGGCACTTAAGAAAGTAATAGGGCAAGAAACATCTCAAGCTGGTTCGCTGGTGGCCTTTGACCGCCTCAGGTTTGACTTCAATTTCAATAGACCACTACGCGAAAACGAAGTGATGGAAATCGAAGGGTTGATTAACAAGTGGATTGGAGATGCGACACTCCTTCGAACGAAAGTGATGCAATTGGCCGATGCAAAGAATGCTGGTGCTATTGCCATGTTTGGCGAAAAATATGGAGCACAGGTACAAAACTATTGATTTTTATTTTTCTTCTAATGGAGCACAGGTAATTTTAGACTGTTTAATTTATATAATATTCTAATGCAACTCGTACATAGGTACGAGTGGTGGAGGTACCTGGTGTATCGATGGAACTATGTGGTGGGACCCACGTGAGCAATACTAGTGAAATACGTGGCTTCAAAATAATATCGGAGCAAGGAGTTGCTTCTGGGGTGAGACGAATTGAAGCTGTGGCCGGTGAAGCTTTTATCGAGTATGTAATTGCAAGAGATAACTATATGAAGCAGCTCTGTTCTACTCTCAAAGTATGCAAATTTCCTTACTTAAATATCATCTTATTATTTGAAGTGGCTAATTATTCATTAATAATAATAATTAATGTGGTTTAATTTGGTGAAGGTGAATGCTGAAGATGTCACAACGAGAGTGAACAATCTGTTGAAAGACCTACGAGACGCAAGGGGTGAAGTTTCGGCGGCACGTGCAAAAGCAGCGATTTACAGGGCATCGACTATGATTAGCAAAGCGGTTACTATAGGATCGTCGTTAAAGATAAGGTAAAAGAAAAGAAGAAGTAATGTCTTATTATTACATAACATATATTTAAGACATGAAATTTGAAGTTGGAATGAAAATGTTTGGTCCAGGGTGTTGGTTGAGAGCATGGACGAAATTGATGGTGATGCATTAAAGAGTGCTGCTGAGTATTTAGTGGATAGTTTAGAAGATCCAGCGGCAGTTGTATTGGGTTCGTGCGTGGATGAGAAAAGAGTGAGTTTAATAGTTGCGTTTAGTCCTGGAGTAGTTGGTTTGGGGATTCAGGCTGGGAAGTTTATAGGGCCGATAGCTAAATTGTGCGGTGGGAAAGGTGGCGGACGCCCTAATTTTGCACAGGCTGGCGGAAGTGAGCCGGAGAAATTGGGGGTTGCACTTGAAAAGGCGCGTGAAGAACTTGTGTCGTTTTTATCGGAGAAGAGTGGGTAGAAATGTAATTGTGTGAGATTAATGATGCATAGAGCAAGGTATGTAATTCTATGAATTTGGTGATTCTTTTTTGGTTGGAATGTAATAGTTTGCAAAGCACAGGAGAAATGTGAAATGAATGGTTATAAAATGAAATAGTTGAGAAAGTCATAGTAAGATGGAGAAATTTATAAGTAGCAATAAAAGCGCACAAACACATAGCAAGAAAAAAGTCTCTCGTTCTCACCCCCCGCATATACATATAGTATTGTTTGTGTAAAAAAGTGGGTGTGTTAGTGCGTGTATTTTATTTTTATGATACACACAGTCACAGAGTATATATGCTCTTTTTTTTTTCAATGATGATGGATATATGTATTTTAATTTCTCTCTCATTAGTTTTCTTATCTTTTATTATTAATTAGTAATTACCTATACTCCATCCTCATCGTCTCACTTCTCCTTTTCTCCACTCACTCACACGCGCAAACACACACAAACACACTCTTTCTCTCTGTCTATATATATATTCCCACTTTGATCGATTCACATAATTAATTCTCAACAAAATTATTACATTAAATAGTTATTATGGGTGAATATTTTGGTGTGATTTGCAGCTTAGTAGTAACTCTGCTTCTTGCTTCCTACGCAACTGCGTGTGATCGCTGCGTGCACCAATCCAAAGTTTCTTTCTTTTCCAAACCTCAACCCCCCCTTCTGTGTAATTTTAATTTCTCTCTCACTAATTTTCTTTTCTTTTCTGGCATAATTTGAATATAATTTGAAATAAAATGATTTAATATTTGAATGCAGCCGGAAGTTGTGGGTATGGTTCTCTGGCTATAGGATTCAATGAAGGTCGTCTTGCAGCTGCATCACCCTCCATTTACAAAGACGGAGCTGCCTGCGGTGCATGTTTTCAGGTACTTTGTTTTTTTTTTTTTTGTTTTTTTTAATTAATTATATACATACATATTTTCAATTGATTTTTGGTTAGTTAATTAATGAATTAATTATTGGCAGATAAGATGCAAGGATGAAAGAATTTGCAGTAAAGAAGGGACTAAAGTATTAGTGAGCGATCGGAATGATTATGATAACAAGACCGATTTCGTGGTTAGCAGCAGAGCTTTCACGGCCATGGCTAAAAAGGGAATAATGGCCCAGCAAATTTTGAAACTTGGCCTTGCTGACGTGGAATACAAGAGGTTAGCCCTTACCACTTCTAATTAACCACTACTAATCTATTTTATTTATTGACATTTGTATGAAAATATCATTCATTATGATAATGATGGATTTTCAATTAGTTGCATAATTAATATTGCTGTTGGTTATACTTATGATGAATAACATATATAATTGGAAAACGATAAATGTAGCGCTAGTGGTCTTGTTACACCCACCCACCTTTAGAGGATAGGATATACCTATATTGCCCCGAAATTTAATATTTATGGGTCCATTATGTGATCATATTCTTTGAAAAACAATTTTAAAAAATTGTTCATTAAATGAATGCAGCTCATTATTATCATTTTAGCCGTTTCAATGTCCTTGATCTATATTTCTTTTCAACGGTCATATATATGATTTGTGTTCATACATTTATGGCATATGGTTACGTACACATATTTTTGAATTGTCGTTGATTAATTAATTGAGATATACTAACTATCATAAAATATTAATGATCATATTAATTACATATATATTATGATTGAGCTGCAGAGTAGCATGTGATGAGTACAAAAACAAGAATTTAGGCCTTAGAGTAGAAGAATCAAGCCAAAAGCCAAATTATCTGGCCGTTAAATTGTTATACCAAGGTGGTCAAACAGAAGTTGTCGCCATGGATGTTGCTCAGGTACATGCATATTCTTCTAGTTTTCTTCCATTTACCAAAATTTGTTAAAATATATTTCAATAAATAAATATTAAATATAAATTTGTAGGTTGGATCGTCAAATTGGAATTACATGAGCAGGAAATACGGAGCAGTGTGGGACACAAGTAGGGTACCAAATGGGGCGCTCCAGTTCCGGTTTGTGGTGACGGCCGGGTTTGATGGGAAATGGTATTGGGCCAAAAGCGTGTTGCCTTCTGACTGGAAAAACGGGTCCATTTACGATTCGGGCCTCCAAATCACTGATATTGCTCAAGAAGGCTGTTCCCCTTGTGATGATTCCACCTGGAAACAATCAATTTGATGTAGGAAACAAGGCCCATTGGGCTCAATCTTTTTATTCCATTTGAATGTCAATCGCCACGTTAGACTAGAGACATTAATTAAAGAAAGATAGGCCGTCTATCATCATCATGTTTTGGGCATTAAATTCACAAATTACCAGTTGTGAACGGACAAGTAATTGAATTAATAATTAAACAAAGGGAGTTAATTCAATGACGGAACATGGCGAAAGGGAACCGCCGTCGCCTGCGCCGCCACTATTGAAATTTGAAATTAAAGCGCCGCCCATAGCTTTGCTCGACCACCACGTACCTTTACACCATGTTACCTACTATATATATTAGGTTCTATTTCGAAGCTTAAAAATAAATTAAATCAAGGGTTCTTTTCTTTTTTGAAATATAAACTCCTAATATAAAAAAAGATTTAACTCGGGAAACAAAAACTTGTGAAATGGCCTCGTCCAAAGAGACAATATGTAGTTGCAGAGACTGTGGTCCTCTTGGATTGGATTTTGTCCTTGGCTTTTTCTTTTTTTCTTTTTTTCTTTTTGTAACTGAAATTGTACATATAGTATGTTTTGATGTATATATGGAGTACTAACGTATTTACGTGGTTCATAGTTATACACGCCATATATATATAACATATATATTTATATTAATATATAAATGATGATGATGATGCATTATATATTGTTTCTTCACGTACGACATAATCCCTTTAATTCATGCTGTGTTTGTGACTTTGGGATCGATATCTGCCCCATCAAAATTATAAATAATATTGCAGATCATATAGAGGAAGGACTAAAAATACATAATATTATTGAATAATACTGATAATATTAATTAAAATTATCATATTGTTATTATTAAATATTAATAATAATTTGATGCGAAAGATAAATAGGACTCATGACCTGCAACTGCAAAGGTGTTAGAGAATATTATATTATAGAATTCTCCTAATTAATAGGATTCTAGTATGATTCGGTTACCTAGATTAGTTATGATTTAGTTACCTAGTCAAACTCTATTACCTTACAATATTTCTCTATATATATTCCATGTAATCAACCCATAACACAATGGGGGTTTCTATTCTATCTTTCTCTCTTTCTCCTATTCTATTCTTCCTATAAAAGGTTTTGGACATTCGAATTTGGTAAAGGTGAAGTATGGTCAGACAAACTGTGTAATGAACAGTGAAGATTTATGTGAAAAGTCATCATCCCCATTTATTATTTAATTGTTAAATAATTGCTTTTTTATTTTTATATTATATTTTTTTTTAGTAAAGCGTGCAATTGATTTAGTGAGAGTAGTACTAATACTACACGAAAAGGTCCCCTACTCTTTTCTATCTCTGATATTAATTGTTTTTAGCATAAATATCACTTAACCCCTTGTGGATTTATTGTTTTGCAGTCCACCCCTCGTCTAGTCTATTTCAACTTTAACAAAAACACTCCAATATTCTTAAGACAAGTCTTATTGGTAATTTACATGATCATTATGAAGTGAAGGTTTCGTTGCTACTTGAATATATGGTTGAGTTTAATAATATCTTCATAAGATAGTAGTATTATTTTAAAAAAATAAATTAAAAGTAGGAATAATTAAAAGAAATGGGAAAACAAGAAATGACTGCACGTGTCTGTGACACGAGGAATTAGAAGGAATGATTGTGTTGCAGTTTTGCATTAAATGGATTGAAATAGGGAGTCTGTACAAATTAGCTTAATTTTAGGCAAAGTGATAATGCAACACTCTGCTGATTTGACTCCTCATTTTCTATATCATTACATTTACATCCCCCACTTCGTCCTTTCACTCTTCATTCTTTCTTTATTTATTTATAATTATACATATATAATAAAAAGAGAAAACTTAACATTAAACAAAAAAATCTATGACGAAAAATTTATACTTAAAAAAGTCCCATTAAATTAAGTTTCAAGAATTCGAAGTTGTTAATGATTGGTTGATTTAGCAGATTCCAGTCCACTGATTTTTTCATGGAAATTAGATGAGAATAGATGTAAGTTTCTTAGTAAGAAAGAATTGTATGATTAGTAATTATGAGCATACCATATTACTAGTAAATATTAAAGCCCAATTAAAATTAGATGTGATATTATTGAATAGGAGAACATGGCTAGAGAGAAGATCCGAGACTATTGGGCCCCAACCCAAACAAATAGTCCATTAACAAATAATTTAAGTTAATGGGCTAATCCCATTAATTTAAACTCATACACCCACCCACTAAGGTGTTTAACTCAAATTAGTCGAAGGGTTTAATCTAATCTAATCAAATGAATGAGGTATAATATAATATAATTGATGATGAGTAGGTGCAGAGCCACGTGTACGCTCGGGGTTCGAAAGCGCAAACCCCAAGCCGAGATGAAAAGTAGCCATTCTTTTGTCTGCGTTTAATCATTATTATTACTATTATATACTCCTCCTCTTCATATAAGAAGAGAGAGAGAGGGCATCCATTTACGTCTTCCATTCCTATTAGTAACCGCAGGTACATAGTGTGTAGTTTCCCAAGTCCTTTGGTTTTTAATTCCCACTGAAAACAAACTGCGCCAAATTAAACTAATTAGAAAAAAAAAAAGAATGGAAGACAAAGTTGTTGTAAAATCGAGATTCGGTAGGGTTTGCGTCTTCTGTGGGAGTAGTTCTGGGAAGAGGGAATGTTACAGAGAAGCGGCACTCGAACTAGGGCAGGAGCTGGTACTACTCTTTTTTATTCAACAACAAGATTCAAGATTCTGCCTTTTTGTCTTCTTTTTGTTTCTCCTCTTTACATTTGAATGATTAATGTAAATACATGTATTTGCATGAAGGTGGCGAAAAGGTTGGATCTTGTGTACGGTGGAGGAAGCATTGGCCTCATGGGTTTGGTGGCTAAAGCCGTTCATGCTGGTGGCGGACATGTTCTTGGGTATTTTTTCTTTTCTGATTTCTGAATAATAATGTCTCTTTCAATCACATGAGAATATTTGTGTTTGTGTTTTTTTTTTCTCTTTCGTACTAAATCTATTTTTGGATTTTATTGTATCACCAGGGTCATACCAAGAACTTTGGTTGGCAAAGAGGTTTGGCTTCCAATGTTTTTGAATTTAATCCAGCATTTTATTCTGTATAAATATGTAAAGATTGTATTTTTATCTGTGTTATTGTATATTGATTCATTGCAGAAAACTGGTGTGACTGTTGGTGAGTTGAGAGTGGTGGCCGATATGCATCAGAGAAAGGCTGAGATGGCCCGCCATTCTGATTGCTTCATCGCTTTGCCAGGTTCCGATAAACACACACACACACACACACACACAGTAATGCATAAACATTCTTTGTCTTTCATCATGATCATATATATTATGGTTGTTATTAGGAGGGTATGGCACTTTAGAGGAGCTGTTGGAGGTTATAGCATGGGCTCAACTTGGAATACATGACAAGCCTGTAAGTATATTTTTTCTTCTGTGCAAAATCTTTACACATAAGTATAGTTGCTGCGTTGCACTAATTAAACTACTAGTTGACTTCTTGAGTTGTTGCTTAATTAATTGTATGGATTTGAACCTAAGCCATAGCCATAGCCATAGCCTATTAATTAATTAATTAATTATTAATTAATAAATATTGTGTGCTGAGATTGAGACTCGTGAATTTATATTGGTTAATAATAATTAGGTGGGGTTACTGAATGTTGATGGCTACTACAACTTCCTCCTCACTTTCATAGACAAAGCAGTAGACGATGGTTTCATAAAGCCATCTCAGCGTCACATCTTTGTATCTGCCCCAAACGCAAAGGACCTTGTCCAAAAACTGGAGGTTTGTTCTAATATATTAATTTGGACACTCAATTAATTTTGTTTTTATTGAGGTATCTTTTTTCCCATAGTCTTCTCATGTTTCACTAAAATGGTACAGACAGACAATACATGGGTAAGAAGAATCTTGACAGTTTAGCCTTAATTTGTTGATGATGTGTATTTTGCTTTTGTCTGATGATACATATATCATAGGAATACGTGCCTGTTCAAGATGAAGATGTGGCCAAGTTGAACTGGGATGTTGTAGAAACTGAACAGCCAACTTGTCCGGCCACACCACCGCCACCACCTCCACCGGTGCCGGCAAAACAACTGGGATTCAGTGGCCTGCAGCAGGCTGAAATTGCTTCAGTCATTTGAATATAATATTAATAATGGTGAATGGTGTCAAAGTAGTAGTAGTTAATGTTCATCATAGTGTATTTGATGAATATATATATATAAGTGACATGTTGCTCTTAAATATAAATGTTGATATGTGAGAGAGCAAAGTAGAAGAAACAAAAGGAATGGAACAAAATATTTTGGCAGTAGTAGAGGAGCATGCAGCTTTATTCTATTGTGTGTGTCTGTATATATATTGAAGGCTCAGGCTTATTGCATGCCTGCATTTTGTGCCTGACTTGCAGCTGTGGTTTTGTTCACAATGCATATAATATTTCCTTTTTCATTTATTTATTTATGTATTTGAGACAGTGTTTTAAGGTAGTGTTGGATGAAATGTGAGTTATGAACCTTACAAATATGTTGTGTTATCTTGTTTCCCTTTTACGTGTGTGTGGGAATTGGGGGGTTATAAATGGTGTGTGTGTGTGGAGTTAAGGACAAGAGAAGTAAGTGGCTGTAGTAGTCTTCTATCAGGCTTCACTTTTTATAACACAACTTGCACTCAAATGTTGTCACCTACCCTATTTCTTACCCCAACCTCTCATTTCCACTTCTCTTTCTTTTCTTTTCTTTCTACTTCTTATCTTCCTTTTTTTTCTGCTTTTTTTTTCTTCATTTAAATGTTAACCAATATATTTTTTATCATTATATATAATTTTATTTTTATTTGTTGTATTAATAATTGAAGCAAAGTTGGATTGATGGGCCATATTAATAATTGAAGCAAAGTTGTGAAACAATTTATTGGGAAGCCCAAATTCAGTTTAAAGCCCGCCTCTATTATTGGGTCGTGAAACCAACCCATTGACAAATATGCAACAAGTTCTTATATTGATTGAAATTATGAATAAGCAATTTGTTATGTAATTCGTGAATTCTTTTAATTAAATTGATGGAAATTATTATTTATTGTTTAATTTATTGTGTATTCAGCAGTTTTACTTGTTTAAGGGAATGAATGTGCATTTTAATATCAATATTAGTTAAGAGTGTAGATGAATGAATTATGAGTGAAAGTGATAAAAGAATAGGTGGAAATTCCATGTACGTAGTTTGAATTAGTCATCAAGAAATGGGCCCCATTTTGCAAAGACAGTCTTCGTGGAAGACTTTGACAAGTCAAGCGATGTTGATTGTGTATTGTTTTTCTAATTACTTGTTCTCTTATTACATTCCAATTTCATTCTCGACGCGGTTATGTTACTTATTCTCTAGATAGCACCAACATCACATATACATACATATTAATGCATGCCACACACTAGGAATAATAATAATGAATGAATTAATTAATTAACCATTGGAATCAATATATACTACTTGAAGTGGAATGTGAAGGGTCTGCATGACGTTTAATTTCGAGATGCTGCTGCATATTTACAAAATTTGTTGAATATATATGAAAATGAAGAGTAATATATCGTGTTGTGTCACCCACCACATGATGAATATGGGACCTTTCTTTTTGAATTCAAAATTCATGGGAGTACGTACGTATAGTATGTACGTAGTCAAGATTCTTAATTCTCTCTACATTAAGTCTTTTAGATAAATATTGTAGACTATAGAGTCTCTCTCTTGTTCGTAAAAAGATAGAGATCGAAAGCGCGTGAATTAATTCCGTAATTCTGTCAGCTAATGGCAAGACTGGGACAAGTGATTCATCATGGCCCACATAAACTTTGAAATTTTATTATGGTGGGAGAAATAAGCTAAGTAGTAGGAAGGAAGGACCAATTGATACTATAAATGAACCCTCCTCGGTAGTGATGTTTGCATACTACAAGTTTATGTTTAGTGGCTAATATTTTCTGAATCAAATATATATATCTTCATGTCCATGGATGAATCAAGATCATGTGAGGTAAACTTGCCTGGATTCAGGTTTCACCCAACAGAGGAAGAGCTCCTTACTTTTTACCTCAAAACTATGGTTTTTGCTAAGAAATTACCCGGCGGCGCCGATATCATCGGTTTCTTGAATATATACAATCATCACCCCAGGGAACTGCCTGGTACCTACCTAATTCTACTTTTTCAATCAATATTCAATCAATACTTATACTTTCTTAATTATGTATAGGGACGGCTGTTATAATGTTTTGATTTGTAATAATGGAAAAAAAACAGGGCTGGCAAAAATAGGTGAAAGAGAGTGGTACTTTTTCGTGCCGAGGGACAGAAAACATGGCAGCGGAGGAAGACCGAACCGTACTACTGAAAACGGGTTCTGGAAGGCAACCGGGTCTGACCGTCAAATACATACAACATCGGATCCCAAAAAGGTGTTAGGTCTGAAGAAAACACTTGTTTTCTATGAGGGCAGAGCACCACGTGGAACGAAGACTGATTGGGTCATGAACGAGTTTCGCTTGCCCGACAAATGCTCCCCTCCCAAGGTACATCGATCTCATCATCGTATATTCCTATATTACATGTGTTTATTAAAAATAGACATACATATGTTTGATAATATATATATATATATATATATATATATATATATATATATATATGCAGGACATAGTGTTGTGTAAGATATATAGAAAGGCAACCTCTTTGAAGGTGTTGGAGTATAGGGCTGCAGTTGAAGAAGATGACGAAACTAAGTCGGACACTAATTGTTCATCGTTATCTCCTCCACCAATGGATTGCATGCTCTCCTTTTGCAACCAATTTGAGGAAATAAACAACATTCAAGTACTAAAGAAAGAAAATGAGGAAATCTTATTGCATGTGAAGGAGAGTAGTAAAGTGAAGGGTTGCTCTAGCATCGTTTTGCCGAACGGAAGCGATAATATAGCAGAGCTACAAGTTCCTAAATTCAACACGGACTGGACTCAAGACTCTTTCTGGACACAATTCAGCCCCTGGCTTGACAATTTCGCTCCTTTCTTGCCAATGTGCTGATATTATTTATTAATTTCCCAACACATGTATGTATATTGCCATGCTTATTAATTAATGCTATAATAGGGCCTTGTAAATCATGAAACTTGTATGTGGCTCTCTTTTGCTTCGTCTGTCAATTTTGTGTTGGTATATAAAGGGGAGAACGTGTTGTAATAAATAAACAAGTGTCACGCATGCTTTTGCATATGATACTATGGCGATGTTTCCGTATTAATGTTTCTTACCATCATGAAACATTTCTATTTTATATCTAAAGGCTTTTGAGTAATGCAACAGCCAAATTAATCAAATTGTATGCACGAGTGCAGCTGGTGACCTGCCCCCTTCGAACATGGAAATGCCACCTCAAATTAATTACATGCAATATTGTCAGATCAAATATGCCATCAAATGCAATTATGGTGATTTACAACACAATTCTTTTTTTTCTTTTTTTTTTTATGTAATGCACGAGATGATTTCAGCTTCTGTTTTAGGAAGAAGGAACATAAGGCCAGATAAATATTACTAGTATAATTATCTTGTCTGAGGATGAAGAATCAAAGATTCATCAATATCCATGTAGTTGGCACCGTATAATCCGTTCCACAAGAGGAACCGAGACATCACAACCGATACAAACTCTCTAAAATTATTAGGGCATTCGTGCAGCGATTAATAATCATCGAGTCATCCATCAGAATACTGTCCTAATTAATACATAATTAACACATGGGGAACAACATAGCACAAACATCGGCAGAATATTAGTGAATCCAGATCTCATCAATATCACATTGCTGGTGCGTAGATTACAACATTATGATTCTTTTTGTCCCCTTCATCTACAGACTATATATACACACCAAATGCATCAATTCAGTCACAACAAATTTTCTTCATTCAACATTTCCTATTTCAAAGCCTCATTTCATCCAAATTAAAAAAAAAAAAAATGGCATTGAGATCAAAAGCCCTTCACCATGGTCGCTCTCTTAGTTTCCCATCTCAATCACACCCTTCCATTTCTCACTTCAATAAAAACTTGGCCAAAATGGAAGCTTCTACGACAATGGAGGCAAAACTAAATGGCCTCGGAAACTTGTACTCCAACATAGACGATCTACTCATGCTGCCTCACATTCAACAGATTATTTCACAAGAGTGTCAGACAAAATGGATTGATCAAGTATTGGATGGTTACATCAAGCTATTGGATGCATGCACCACAGCCAAAGATCTATTCTCGCAAATCAGACAACAAGTACAAGAGCTACTTTCTGCTCTAAGGAGAAATGATGTGAATGGCATCAATAACTATCACATCTCCAAAAAGAAGTCAAAGAAGATGATCCTCAAGTCTTTGAAAGATTTAAAGAGCCTCAGATGTAAGAAAAATGTTTCATCCTTCGATAAAGACGATGAAACAACGGCTCTTGTATGTATGTTGAAAGAAGCAGAATCAGTTACTATTGCTGTCTTTGAAGGCTTGTTATCATATGTCATGGGGAACAATGTGCAACCCAAATCGAGCACATGGTCGCTGGTGTCGAAAATATTGCCATCAAAGAAAGTATCGAATCAAAGTGAAGAAACGGATTTGAATGAGTTGAAAGAGATGGACTCGATAATTCAAATTCTTGAAGAGGAGATAGAGTGCTTGTTCAGACAGTTGATCAAAACCAGAGTTTTCCTGCTAAACATTCTTAACCACTAGACTTTAGATTCATTGTGGGATCAAAATTTTGTAGATTAGCTTTATACATACATACTTGTACTGTTGGGTATCCGCCCGGAGAAGACAAACCACACAAAATCAAAACACTCATATTTTATTAGAAACAATTAAAATATAATATAATATAATAAATCAACAATTAATAATTAATTAATGACAGCAGCTTATATAAACAACAAGCAGCAACAACTGACGTAATAAGCCATATAAATTATATAAACAAATCAAACTCCTAATTAATACTAATCAGAATTCAACAGATTCAAAATTAATAATTAAATTAATAACAACAATTTATAATGGCATTAATCAGCAACAAACGACGACAGCATTACTCAACAATCAGCAAAACCAACAATCAGATCATAATATTTTAAGAATAAAATATTAATGCTCAATTAACCTAGAATAAAACGTGATTTAATTAATGCAGAAAAATAAATAAGGGTAAGAGACAAAACCGAGCAATTCACACAGAATTGCAAACGAAAGTTCCTCCGACTGCTGCTCCGGCGGTCGTCGATTATCCGGCTCAGTCCTCAATCTCCGAGTCCTCGTCCAAGATCCAAGTGGGGCCTCCAACACTCACGGCAGCCACACACACGTACACACACAGTGTATTCCAACGAACAAAACGAAGAAAAACGAAACCCAAATTCACACCCTAATCTCACCAGTTTATCCCTAAAGAAGTAAGCTCGAATTCATTGAAAGAATCGAGCTTTGCTTCTCAAAAAAGGTTTCTCTCTTTTCACTCTATTTTTCCCTCTCAAAAATACACAAAGTATTTTTCTCGACTCTATTTTTCTGTCTCTATTTTTCACGCCTTTTTTTCGTCTCTCACGTCTCACACAGAAAAAGAAAAGGGTGCACTTATACGCCCAAATCATCTACCAAACTCACTAAGAATTAGGTAACAAATCACCAAGATTTGTTGAGAGAAAAAAGGAGCAGATTAGAAAACAAATCTGCTGGGAAAAACAAAACACCGATATAAGGAAAAAGAGGTGAAGAGAGAGAGAAAGGGAAAACCTAGTGAGATTGGGCTGACTTTTAATTTTGGGCTCAAATTTTGTGGGCTGCTCGTAAGTGGGTTGCAAGGTGGGATTTTAATGGGCCATTCACAAAGAATTCATTTGGGCCACATACTCTACATGTACAGAATACCCGATTCTTTAAATCAAAGAAAAAAAATACATGGATTATATCTCTTCTACATTGCTTTTTCATTTCCTGATGTTTGTGAATTTGCATTCATTTTTTTTTTTTTTTATTTCTCATTAGAACCAAATTAAACAAACAATTAAGAACATGCCGTGAGTACCTGGATGAAAGGATTATCTACCAATTTTTTATTATTATTATTTTAATTTTAGTTTATTTTTAAAAGAAAGAATTATATAATCTACCATTTAGTAGATGCATTTGTATAGAAAATGAAAATATGAAAACTGAACAATCTGTCAGCCACATGCAATAATTTGGTATGAGTTGCAATTACTTCATCATTGATATTAAAGAAATTTGGCTGTTTTATGTTTATATTAAAGAAATTAATCTGGCCTCGTGTTATTCTGCATTGCATTGAATGATTGACACAGTTAAACAGAAATATCTCATATTTCCAGGTAAATAATAATATAGTTGTAATTCAGGCCACACGATGGCCTGGCCATGTATAGTTTAACAATACCAAAGTTGTCAGATTCCAATTGTCTGTGAGACGAGAACAATTACTGACCAAATCATTAAAAAGATACTTAAACCATAATATAATCTTGAATCCCACATGCTTATTGAAAAGCATATATTAATTAATAAGAGGAAAATACAGTTTGTACCCCTTGTTTATGGAGTTTGTCCCAAACAACCCCTGATTTCATATATTACATATACATCTATACCTGTTTTATTTCCATTTTAATTTTGAAAATTAAATAAAACCCATTAACAATAAAAAAAAAAAATAAAAAAAAATCTATTGATTTCTAATTTTCGCTAATATTCAAAAATATTTCATAAACTAAAAATTCTGAAAATTTTGATTACATGGCTTTTGAGTAATGGTAGAGCCAGATCTATGAAATTGCATGCACGAGTGCAAATACAACAAGTAAGCATATATTATGTTGACAGATGATAATTTTTTGTAGTACAATGCACAAGATGAGATGATTTTTAGGAAGAAGAAACAAAAGGCCAGAAAAATATTACTAGTATATTTATGTGGTCTGATAATGAACAACCAAAGATTCATCACTATCCACCTTCACCCACCGTACAATCCGTTCCGTGTAGTATTTGTGTACACATTAATTTATTACATTGGTATTAGGATGGGGAACAAGATATTAGCATAAACATCGGCTGAATAGTAGTGAATCCAAATCTCAATATCACATTGCTGGTGCTTCAATTACATCGATCACCACGATTGATTCCTTTTGTCCCCTTCATCTATAGACTATATATATACACAGCTAATGCATCAATTGAGACATCACCAATTTTCTCGATTCAACATTTGCTACTTTACCTCTAATTAATAAGCCTCATTCCATCAAAATAAAAACAAAATGGCATTGAGATCAAAAGCCCTTCACCATGGCCGCTCTCTTAGTTTCCCATCTCGATCAAACCCTTCCGTTTCTCAGTTCAATGAAAACTTGGCCAAAATCGAAGCTTCTACAACAATGGAGGCAAAACTAAATGGCCTAAGAAACTTGTACTCCGACATCGACGATCTACTCATGTTGCCTCACATTCAACAGATTATTGCACAAGAATGTCAGACAAAATGGATTGATCAAGTGTTGGATGGTTACATAAGTCTGTTGGATGCTTGCACCACAGCTAAAGATCTATTCTCGCAAATCAAACAACAAGTACAGGAGCTACTTTCTGCTCTAAGGAGAAATGATGTGAATGGCATCAACAACTATCACATCTCCAAGAAGAAGTCGAAGAAGATGATCCTTAAGTCTTTGAAAGATTTAAGGAGCCTCAGATGTAAGAAAAGCAATTCATCCTCGGAGAAAGACGATGAAACAATGGCTCTTGTATGTATGTTGAAAGAAGCAGAATCAGTCACTATTGCCGTCTTTGAAGGCTTGTTATCATACGTGATGGGGAACAATGTGCAAGCAAAATCAAGCGCATGGTCGTTGATGTCGAAAATATCGAATCAAAGTGAAGAAACAGATCTGAATGAGATGAAAGAGATGGACTCGATAATTCAAATTCTTGAAGAGGAGATAGAGTGCTTGTTCAGGCAGTTGATCAAAACCAGAGTTTTCCTGCTAAACATTCTCAACCACTAGGGTTTAGTTTAGATCCATTATATATATATGGGATCAAAAATTTTGTACATTAATATTAGGGTTATATATACTTGTACATGAGAATATACAATTGATTCATTAAATCACATGGATTATATCTTCTACATGATGCATGGCTTCTCTAATTTTCTGATGTTTTAGTATTTGACCATGTCCAATATTCATTCTGTTGGAATTGAGAAATACTTAAGTTTATATTTTGTATTTGCTGAGAATTTAGGTGGATAAGAATATGAACAAAGGCTACCTCTAGTTTGAGTAGACACTTTTCTTATTATTTCTTGATTGAAAATCTGATTACATGGAGTCTCTATATATAGAGAACTTACGTAATATCAAAAGACATTCTTGAGAAAACAAAGAGATATTCAAAGATAATAAATATCCAATTTTCCAAGATATAGAAAATATGAAATTTGTAGTTTCCAAGACATTAATTTTATCACTCCCCCTTAATGGCTTGCGTAACTCCGATCATCTCACGGAAAAACTCGAACTTGTCTCTAGGAAGAGCTTTGGTGAAAATGTCAGCAGCTTGTTCTTCGGACTTGCAATACTTGATTTGAATTTCACGATCTTCAACAGCTTCTCTTATAGAGTGATGCTTGATGGCAATGTGCTTCGTTCGACTATGATAGACGGGATTCTTTGCCATTGCAATAGCTGACTTGTTGTCACATAAGAGAGTTGTAGCTCCCTTTTGCTTCAAACAAATATCTTCCAAAATCCTCCTTAGCCACAATGCTTGAGAGGTTGCCAAAGATGCCGAAATATACTCGGCTTCGGCCGACGATTGTGCCACCCTTTGTTGTTTCTTTGATGCCCAAGAAAATATTCCCGAACCAAGAGAAAAAGCATAGCCCGATGTGCTTCTCATATCATCAACACATCCAGCCCAATCACTATCACAAAATCCAAGCAAGTTTGCTTCAACACCCCTTTCATATAAAATACCAAAATCAAGAGTACCTTGAATGTATCGTAGCACTCTTTTTGCAGCTCCAAAGTGATTTTGACTTGGCTTGTGCATGAATCTTGACAACATGCTTGTAGCGAACATGATGTCCGGCCTTGTTGCGGTCAAGTACAACAAACTTCCAACTAAACTTCGATAAATCGAAACATCCACTTCCTTGCTTCCATCTTCTTTCTTCAACTTTTCATTTACGATTAAAGGTGTAGCCACCGATTTGCAATCTCCCATTTTGAATTTTTCAAGGAGAGTTTTGGCATATTTCTTTTGATAAATAAGAATGCCATCTTTGTTTTGACAAATCTCAATACCCAAGAAATAATGCAAGAGACCCATATCACTCATTTCATATTTTTGCATCATGTCTCTTTTAAAACTTTCAATCATTTCACCATTGTTTCCGGTGAACACCAAATCATCAACATAAAGTGAAGCAATAAGAATATCGGTAGTACCTTGTGACTTCACATATAAGGTTGGTTCGCTTTTGCTCCTTTGAAAGCCCTTCTTGAGAAAATAAGAATCAATCTCGCTATACCATGCTCGAGGTGCTTGTTTTAGCCCGTATAGCGCCTTCTTCAACTTGTACACTTTGCTTTCTTCTTCTTTGATGACAAAGCCTTGTGGTTGCTCGACATACACATCTTCCTCTAATTTTCCATTAAAAAAAGCCGATTTTACATCAAGTTGATATAAAAACCAACCCTTTTGAGCGGCTAATGCAATAAGTGTCCGAATCGTATCCAATCGAGCCACCGGTGCAAACGTCTCCTGAAAATCAATTCCGGGCTGTTGAGAATACCCTTTTGCTACGAGCCTTGCTTTGTTTCTTTGAACCGAACCATCAGGATTAAGCTTCGTTTTGAAAATCCACTTCACCCCAATTACATCTTTGTCTTGAGGTCTTTTCACCAAATCCCAAGTTTTATTTTTCTCGATAACTTGGATTTCTTCCTCCATGGCTTTCTTCCATGCTTCCTCCTTTATTGCTGCTTCGAAATTTTCCGGTTCAGTAATGCAAAAAATGCATCTAGCATAAATATCGTTCAAGCTTCTCATTTTCCTTGGAGTTGAACTCGGAGATGAAGAATTTGAACTTGACGGAGAAGAAGAATTTGAGCTTGATGGAGAAGATGGTGGACTTGTAGTTGGAAGAACCTCCCCCGGAATCTCATCTTCAACATCATCTTCTTGATTTTCTTTCTCTTCTTCAAAAGAGTATGATTGAACCTGTACATCCTTTTCTTTCCAGTCATGTGCCATCTTTTCATTGAATAAGACATCTCGTGAAACAATGACTTTGTTTTTCGACAAATGAAATAGTCGATAGCCCTTTGATTTTGAGCTATAACCCACAAAGATGCATTTTTCACTTACTTCATCAAGCTTGCGCCTCGTTTCTTTTGGAACATGGGCATAGCAAATACACCCGAAAACTTTCAAGTGACTCAAGGATGGTTTTCTCCCACTCCAAGCCTCGAGAGGAGTCTTATTATTCAAGGCTTTTGTAGGACATCTATTCAGCAAATAGACCGCCGTATACACAGCTTCGCCCCAAAAAACTTTGGGCAATCCCTTCTCATAAAGCATCGATTTCGCCATTTCTTCAATGCTTCTATTCTTTCTTTCGGCAACTCCGTTTTGTTGTGGAGTGAAGCCAACGGTAACCTGCCTATCGACACCAGTATCCTCACAAAATTTGTTAAATTCATTGGAGTTATATTCACCTCCTCTATCACTTCTCAAGACTTTTAAAAGAAACCCACTTTGTCTTTCGACATACATTTGGAATTTCTTAAAAATAGAGAACACTTCAGATTTTTGTTTCATAAAATACACCCAAGTCATTCTCGTAAAATCATCAATGAAAATGAGAAAATATTTGTTACCGGCATGAGTTGGAGTCGACATTGGCCCACACACATCCGTATGAACAAGCTCCAGCGGTGATTTTGCTCTCCAAGCTTTTTCTTTCGGAAATGACTCTCGATGGTGTTTTCCGAGTGCACATCCCTCACACGTTTCTTGCACTTCTTTGATAGATGGCAGCCCATAGACCATCTCCTTCTCTTTTAGGTTCTTAAGACTTTGAAAATTTAAGTGCCCAAGCCTTCTATGCCACAACCAAGATTCATCGACAACATCCATTCTCAAAGCGACATTATTTGGGTAGCCAAAAGAGATAGGAAAGCTGCGATTTTTCTGCATTTTGATTCTTGCTACAAATTGACGATTCTTGTCAAAAATTCTGCACCATTGGTAGTCTCCGAATTCGAGAAAGTATCCATTCTCGACAAGTTGTCCAAGACTCAACAAATTTTGGTCCAAATCTGGGACATGCAAAACATCATTGATGCATCTTTTACCTCCATTCTTTCCGACGACAATAGTTCCTTTTCCTTCGGCTTTGACTAGTTCTCCGTTGCCCATCTTGACTTGAGATTTTGTGGCTGAATCGAGCTTGACAAAAATATTTTTGTCTCTCGTCATGTGATTGCTACAACCACTATCGATAAACCAAACTTGGTTTTGTGGTTCCACTGCCGTTTGACAGGCATAGAACATCGTTTCACATTCTTGTTCCTCGGTAAAATTGGCTTGTTGGTTAAGCTTGACTCGACAATCTTTTTGAACATGCCCAAACTTCTTGCAATTGTTGCACTGTGGTTTACCTTTAAACCAACAATCTTTATCAACATGGCTGCCTCTTTTGCAAATTCCACACCTTTGTTGAGTTGACTCGAAATTGGAATTTCGATCAAAGTTGGTTCTTCCTCTTCCTCTTCCTCTGGAAGTTGGACCTCTTCCTCTTCCGAATCTGCCACCACGGTGAGAATCACCGTTGTTTCGATCACCGATAATGTTATCTCGCCTTGGGATAGTGAGTTTGGATTGAAAAGCGCTTTCAATGGATTTTTCCGAACGCCTACTCAATCTTTGCTCGAACGCCTTTATTGAACCCATAAGTTCTTCCAAACTTAGATTTGAAATATCTTTGGTCTCTTCTACCACCGCTACAATCGGATCGTATTTTTCCGGCAAGCTAATGAGAACTTTTTCGATAATTCTACGATCATCAACCTGTTCGCCAAGTGTCTTCATTTGATTTACAATATCCACAACTCTCGATGAGTAGTCATTTAAACTCTCATCATTCTTCATTTTTAGATTTTCAAAATCTCTTCGTAGGGATTGGAGTCTCACGGCTCTGACCTTGTCGTTGCCCCGATACTCCTTTTGAAGAATATCCCAGGCCTCCTTTGCCTTTGAAGCGTTGATAATTCTGGGAAATATTGTCTCAGCTACTCCTTGTTGGATGAGATTTAGAGCATTGGCGTCCTTCCTCTGATGCTCCTTTAATTGTTTCTTTTGCTCGTTTGTAAGGCCGGTAGTATCTTCCGGGTCATCAAATCCTTGGTTTACGTACTCCCATAAATCATGTGAGATGAATATTGTTTTCATCTTCACATACCAGAAATCATAACTTTCTCCATTGAAGAGAGGAAATGACGGTTGCAGATTTTTCGAAACTTGGTTGCTTGAACTCGCCATGGCTGATTTTTTTTTTTTAATGAATTATTTTTGACGCCCCAGTTGTATGAACAACCAGGCTCTGATACCACTCTATTGGAATTGAGAAATACTTAAGTTTATATTTTGTATTTGCTGAGAATTTAGGTGGATAAGAATATGAACAAAGGCTACCTCTAGTTTGAGTAGACACTTTTCTTATTATTTCTTGATTGAAAATCTGATTACATGGAGTCTCTATATATAGAGAACTTACGTAATATCAAAAGACATTCTTGAGAAAACAAAGAGATATTCAAAGATAATAAATATCCAATTTTCCAAGATATAGAAAATATGGAATTTGTAATTTCCAAGACATTAATTTTATCACATTCGCACAACAAGTCTACAATATGGGAAATATTTTCAATTTTTAATCAGGGTGGATGTAACTCATTTTAACATTGTACAGGGGTGCAAAGAACTGATCAACAAACCCAAAGGACAAATTTTTCATTTTTTATCTCTCCTAAAAGACAAATGGAATATTGACAACTCAGATATTATTGAACTATTACAAGGCCCTCGTGTGACCTCACTTATCATAAATTATATTCAGTCTGTTCTTATTATTAACGTTTCGTATAATTCCATGCACATGTTGCTAAATAATTTCTCTAAGGTATAATTAATTACATACATGAGTGGCTTTTCAATTTCTGCTTTTATATATATATATATATATATATATATATATATATATATATATATATATATATATATATATATATGCCTGTTTTCCAGCATGCATTATTGATCTCAATTTTGTAGCAGGAACTTTTTACTTCGTAGCACGTCTGATCATCGTTGTTAAATGCATGTGAACTAATGATAATTGCTTAACAAGCAGAGAAATTAAGGACAAAATGTGGATTCATCTCTGCTGAAACTATAAGCATGTGAGATTAATTCAAGATTATATTATTATTATCCCTCTTTAATGATTTATTTGGTCAGTAATTGTTCTCTTCTCACAGACAATTGGAATCGTGACAACTTTATTGTTAAACTATACATGGCCATGCCATCGTGTGCCCTGAATTAAAAAAAAAAAATTTAGCAAATAAATTACAGATTCACCCTGGGCGTGTATTTTTGATTTTGAAAAGACCAAAATATCCTTTCAATTATATATTTCAGAAATTACAGATTCACCCCCAAACAAATTCAGCCCCAAAACGAAGTTTTTCAAAATTTTCAATTCAGTCCTTAGCACTTTCAGAAATGCCATCTTCTTCAAATTAACCTAATTTTTTTTTTCTCTTTTTCTTCATGAGGTGTGAGTGACAACCACAAGTCACTTCTTTCATCGATCTTGAATTCTGTTAACATTATTCGGACAACTTCAAAACAAACGATAATAAATAGAGTAGCCATTAAAACCATATCAAAACGGGATCTGAAAACTTGAGCACGCCATAACCACCTCCCTCACGACGCCCATATCCACGGACGCCACCGGAGACGATTTCAGTTACTCATAAACTGTGGCTCTCCGACGTGTGCGGCGGTGGATGTACCAGTTAAGGTTTTCGACAGAGAGTTGCTTGATTTTAGGTTGGTTGGGGGGGGGGGGGGGGAGCAGTAGGCGGGGTGGGTGGTGTGGGGAAGATGAAGCTGTAATGAAAAATAAAGAATAAGCAAAAAGCTGGATCCAGAAAAATTTCAGTTAAATTTACTGCATTATATTTTCAGTGACCATGGAAAAAGCTTGATCGATCTAAATAAACTTTGCCTCTCGTGTAGAGTTGTTGTTCGAAGAATCATGAACGAATGAACATGGTCAAATACTCAAACATCAGAAAATTAGACAAGCCGTTATATAATCCATGTAGTAATTTCTTTGATTTCATGATCAAGTATATTCTCGTGTACAAGTATGTATGTATAAAGCTAATCTACAAAATTTTGATCCCACAATGAATCTAAAGTCTAGTGGTTGAGAATGTTTAGCAGGAAAACTCTGGTTTTAATCAACTGCCTGAACAAGCACTCTATCTCTTGTTCAAGAATTTGAATGATGGAGTCCATCTCTTTCATCTCATTCAAATCTGTTTCTTCACTTTGATTCGATACTTTCTTGGACGGCAATATTTTCGACACCAACGACCATGCGCTCGATTTTGCTTGCACATTGTTCCCCATGACAAATGATAACAAGCCTTCAAAGACAGCAATAGTGACTGATTCAGCTTCTTTCAACATACATACAAGAGCCACTGTTTCATCGTCTTTATCCAAGGATGAAACATTTTTCTTACATCTGAGGCTCCTTAAATCTTTTAAAGACTTGAGGATCATCTTCGTTGACTTCTTTTTCGAGATATGATAGTTGTTGATGCCATTCACATCATTTCTCCTTAGAGCAGAAAGTAGCTCTTGTACTTGTTGTTTGATTTGCGAGAATAGGTCTTTGGCTGTGGTGCATGCATCCAATAACCTTATGTAGCCATCCAACACTTGATCAACCCATTTTGTCTGACATTCTTGTGCGATAATTTGTTGAATGTGAGGCAACATGAGTAGATCGTCGATGTCGGAGTACAAGTTTCTTAGGCCATTTAGTTTTGCCTCCATTGTCATAGAAGCTTCCATTTTGGCCAAGTTTTCATTGAACTGAGAAACGGAAGGGTGTGACTGAGAAGGGAAGCTAAGAGAGCGGCCATGGTGAAGGGCTTTTGATCTCAATGCCATTTTGTTTTCTTTTTTTAATTTGGATGAAATGAGGCTTATGAGAGTTGAAATAGGAAATGTTGAATGAAGAAAATTTGTTGTGTCTGAATTGATGCATTTGGTGTGTATATATATAGTGTGTAGATGAAGGGGACAAAAAGAATCATAATGGGGTATTCGAAGCACCAGCAATGTGATATTGATGAGATCTGGATTCACTACTATTCTGCCGATGTTTGTGCTGTGTTGTTTCCCATGTGTTAACAGATGCTAATTATGTATTAATAATTAGGATAATATTCGATTAATTTAGTTGCTGCTGCACGAATGATTTTAGAGAAATCCTATTGGTGAGTGATGTCTCAGAGCCAGCACCTCTCATGGAACGGATTATACGGTGGGTGAAGAAGATGCTCGATCATTGATTGCTCGTTCATCCTCAGACAACATAACAATATACAAGTAATATTTCTCTGGCTCTGTGTTTCTTATTCCTGAAACAGCATCTGAACTAGACCTCGTGCATTACATAAACAAAATTATGTTGTTATAACTACATGTGGTGATGGCATATGATAAATGATATCTGTCGGCATTAATTTCGATGGTAAAAAGGGTCAGATCACGAGTGAGTTGCACTCGTGTATGCAATTTGATAAGATTTGGCTGTTGCATTACTCAAAAGCCTTCTTCATAATATATGCTGCTTATAAAATTAGGATGTTTCATTTCCAAACCTCTCCATATTATCATATCCAAAATCATGTGTTAATTGTTTATGATGTGAAATCAAGCCAAAATCCAAGTTCAAAAACTGGACAAAGAACAAACGATAACTTGGTATGAATCAATAAAAACGAGTTCTTGCAGTTACAAGTGGATGTAGGGTTAATCCTTGATCTGAACCAATTTGTAAATGTAATATATCATCATCACAAGTTTCGAGAAGAAAAAAAAAATGTATCATTTATTAATGCAAGAACATGAGGTGTATAATACAATTTGATTGAGAAATAATAAGCACTAACTTCACACTCGAAAATTTACAAACTTGAGAAAGACTCTGATAAAGCGAACTATCGATGATCGAAGAAGGATAGAAAAGAAGATTGTTATGAATTATGATCCTCTGCCGCCCTTTTGCCTCTTGTCTTCAAGAGCAGCAGCCTCCTTCAACATGTCAGCAGCATCTTGGTGCATGTCCAGCTTGGCAAGGGCAACTGATTGCATGTAGAAAGCTGTCGGCCAATCAGGATACACTATCTGTGCTTGCATGGCATCTCTTAGTGCCACATCAGGTTGATCATTCATCAGATAGCACAGACTTCTCCGTGCATATACAGTCGGCGAAACCATGGTCCCCACATCTATAAACTGCATATATATACGTATAGTGAAACAAACCTAAGTTTCTTCTCTGCATACAACAAAGATGAACTATAGGCAGCCTATATATAAATGTAACAAGCTCAGATAAAAACCAACCTGAGAATAGCAATCTATAGCAGCCTTGAAGTCTTTGTCACGAAACGCGTAATCACCACGCTTCCTAGCATCCAGCATATCTCTCATTTGCTGTGTCCATTCTTGGAATGACAACTGGAGTGGGGAAGTAAAAAAATAAAATAATAATGTTCAAAGTTCAATTAAAGCACGATGCATTCAAATTAGTACAAGTCAAAGAAAGTAATTACCTCATTTGTTCCTTCATCGTCTCTGTAGTGAGTGGTGACCAAAATCTGGTGTATTGCAGTGAGATCCATACGAGAACATGCCTCGCCCATGGGTGAAAGTGGGCGCTGTGGTGTAGGTGGAGCTTCTTCGTGCTTCGATATTCCAAGCATCACATAAGAGGGCACCTGAACACAGAATTATTAATTAATTAATTAATTAATATGCTGTCTTGAATGAAAAGAATAAAATAAGATTCAAATACATACATCTAATTTTGGCTGTAACGGAGAAAGAGTAGTGACGAGATCCTTTAAATGAGGCCTCTCCCTGGGTTCGTATTGCAAACATTGAGAAGCAAGACCAACGACTAGAGTAGCTTCTTCAGTAGAAAACTTGCCTTCCAAATGAGAATCCATCAGAAGTATGATGTTCTTACCACGTATCATATCAAGAGCCTGCACAAACCCAACACCAAAACAAGCTGATGAAATATCGTAAACACAGGAATTTTAATTATAGTGAACAAGGACTACATACATAATGGCAACAAGTGTGTGAAATTGATTTAAGGCATAAGTCTACAAGAACATAATAACTAGAATTGTGACTCACGTGACTTGGAGGTATGTGTTTTCCACTGAGCAGATCCAAGAGGACAGTGCCAAAGCTGTATACAACACTTTCTTGAGTTACCCTTCCTACAAAGAGTAAGTCACGTCAAAACAATTGACTCATCCAACAGAAATCAATCATCAAGATTTAAAAGCACCAATTTCAAATTTTTACAGCAGTCACAATAGTTGTTTGTGAGGTAGTAGTTTCCACTTTTCAATACCAGTTTCATGTAAAACTTGTCGAATACGTACAGATGTCAGTTTAATAACCATGTGGTCCATTCTTACAAGTTTGATTTTTGAACACATCTTAAATCAGCAGCCAGAACCAACACCCTTATTAACGCTAAGAATTATGCATATGGAACATAGGTACACAAGAAATCTATATACATTTAGTCAGCAGCATAAATGGAAAAATGCAAAATGTAAAACTGAAAAACGTAAGCTAGGGGGGAGTTCACCATTTTTCAAATACTCGGGAGGAGTGTAGGCAAGATTTGTGCTATAACTCTTTCCATCCCGACTATTTTTCACAAGGCCAAAACAGGAAAGCCGAGGATCCCCCTCCTACAACAAAGTACATTTGATTTTTCAAGCTCCAATTAAAAGTATATTAAAAGAAGACTAAAAGCAGGGGTATACTATTTCTAAATAGGTAAGCATATTTACAAAATCACCTCATCGAAGAGAACCCTGTAGGCATTGAGGTCATGATACAATGGACGCTCTTCACTGCTACAATATTCTAGGGCTTCAGCTATATAAAGGGCTGCTCTCAAGCGCATCGCCCATTCAATTGTCTGTCTTTCCCCTACCAAATTATATTGAGATGGGTTATGAATGTCATAACCAATCAATTCAAATAATCTCTAGAGAATCGCATACATCGACCAACCATTTCAAGAAATGCAGGGAGAAAGAAATACATACAGTGGAACAAATGCTTAGCAAGAGTATCATTAGGCATGTATTCTGCAACCAACAACCTCTCATCACCATCACAGCAATAACCTATTAAATTTGCCAGTCTTCGGTTCCTCAATTTTCCTACTCCCCATGCCTCCTCCTACAACACCCAACAACATAATCACAAAATGCAATAAATGAAATATTCCCACATTCTACCAAAAAATAGAGTCTTGATGGATGAAACCATCACATTTTAAATATTAACACAATGCACAAATAGAATGATTTCAATGTGGTAGCAAGAATACCGCAAACTGTTTGGGGTCCGGCCAGGCCAACTTAGGGAACTTCTTGACGGCGATCCACCGGCGATTTTGGAGGCGTCCTTTGTAAACAATATTTGGGGCTTTTTCACCGCTTTCTGAGACTATAAAATCTGGGCTGAAGTTATTAGTAGCTGTTTTAAGGTCTGCAAACGAAAACTCAGAAAAAGATGGAACCCCAGAGCTAGCTAACCCAGGTTCTGCTCCGCCGACAGCAGGCGGCGGTGGACGGGTGCTTAAAAGTTGACCTGGGCCATGGGTTTTGGTCTTTTCCTTTTCTGGGTGGGTCTCGGTTGGTTGAAATTTTGAAACACAACAACCCATAGCTCAAAAACCTCTCTTGCTCTCTCTCTCCCCCTCTTTGTATCCCTACTCCTCAATTTCAAGGTTCAAAATTCTAACCCGGAAAGCATCAATACAAGGAAGGAAAAAAATGGGATTTTTCTTCTCTGTTTGTTCTGTGTTGTAATCAAGATTCCCCCTTGTTTAATTTCTCTCTCATAAATCTTTCTTACATGCAGTCACAAGATTTTATGGCAGTGGTTGATGGGGTTGTTGCTAATTACTATGCTGTACCTTAAAAATATTTGAACAGTAACTAGGGACGGGACCCCGTGTGTGTGTGTGTTAGTGATTCTTAAGTGGTAAGGAAGAATGATTAGCTGTATGTATGTATGTATATAAGCAAAGATTAATAAGAGGATTCTTAATTATGTCAATTAGTGATTAAAAAAAAATAAAGAAAGGCATCAATGGAAGTGTGAGATAATATCAGAGTCTTATCGCAAAAGACACGTGGCGGAGTCTGGACGGATGATGTATAAAGGCAGTAGAGGAAAAGGGAAGAAAATACTTTTTGTAAGCAGTGTGCTCTTCATTTTTTGTTGTCAGTCAGTCAGTTGGCAAAGACATAACAGTATTCTTACATATATGTATGTACAAATTATATCCTTAATTACGTTTATATTCCTAATTGTGTTCAACGGTAAAAATTTAAAAAAGAAAATTAAAAAAATACTGGGATAGCAGATAATGTGTTAGCTTATAATTGGATGCTGAGATGCTAAGACAGATTTCCCATCAAAAAAAAAATGCGAAGACAGATTGGCAGTTGATGTGATTATATATACTATATTTATATATATGTGTTAGAATTTGTGATTATTTTGTATTACATATTATAAAATGGAAGTTAATTGGAGGCATATGTTCGAAAGAAAAGGCTTTTTTTTTTTGTAGTAGCAGTGGTAATGATATGATGGTGCTTTTGACGACGAGACCCACTACAAATTAATCTTTATAATTATTATTTTGTTTGGTGAAATAAAACAAGGAAAGGAATCTCTTCTCTTTGGAGCAAGCATCATCGTCTTCTTCGTCTTCATCAGAATCAGAAGAAGAAGAAGAAACAATTAATAATAAATGATAAAATGCATGGAAGATCCAGCCTAGCCTAGCCTACATTATATATTCCACATGTTACCTGTAAAGCTAAACCAATGATTAATTTATGTCGCAATTAATTGCAATAACTTTATGAAATTAGAGGAATAGTATCAAAATATTATTTGACAAAAGAAAGAGAATCCATTAATTCCAACAACTTGTTCAAGCTAAGCTACAAATTGTTTGTCTGAATAAATAGATTCATTCATAGCTCTAAAGAATTTATTTATGTACAGAGAGAAACAAGTATCATCATCAATCAATCAATCTATGGAGTGGAGTGAGTTTCTACTTTTTATACATCTTCATTTTGTGTAGTAGAGGAAGACAGACTGCCCTGCCCTGGAGATGTACAATGCACGAATAACACGACTAACTACTGCACTTAAATGCTCATATTTTCACAATCATGCTCTATTACACAACCACACTTCAATCTTCTTCATTCATTCATTCCTTCATGAATTCATCAATAGATGATGATGATGATGATGACGACGACGACGACTTGAGAGCGAGACATTAGATTCCCAGCATATGTTTTCTCATGTTTTCAGCAAACCTCATCTACTTTCATAATTCCATGAGATTGTTGGTTCCTTCCCCTGCTTCATTCATGGCAAATTAGAGAATGCCCAAACATCTCCCATCCCCCATTCGATTGGTCCAAAAATTGACTTCCGTTATCTCTTTTTTATATATCAGGACTCACTCGTATTTGATACAGATATATATATATATATATATTCCTAAGAAATTTCTTCTTCTTGCTCTAGGCGGGAAAGACGGTCTTCTTCAATGCGCTGCAACAGCTCCTCATACACTTTGAGCGAATTACCAGTAAACCTCTCCATCGCCTCAAGTACATGCTGTAAACTTGCCTGTAAACTCCCACCTTTAGATGTCTCACTCTGATACACCACATGTCCTGTCAACGGCATCCCATTCTCTTCTGCAGATCTCACCATCACCCTTTTCTCCAATGCCTGAATCTCCTTGTGTATCTTCTGATCCTCTTTCTCCAAACTCTTTATTTTCCTCTCATCCTTATTCGCCAGCATCCTCTGACGCATCTCTGCCTTGTCACGGTCCCACAGCTGGAGCACATTCGATGCCAATTCTCTCATCGAATCAACCACTTCCTTTTCGGATATTCTATCCATAGACTGCCACCACTGATTACAAATAACAAATACTGAGGGTGCCCCGATTCTACTAGGGGAGAATGGGACTATCCCGTCAGCTGTTTCTTCCGGTACGTACAGCAGACATTTCATAAGCCAGTTATTCAATGCTCCGACATAACCCTTTTGTGCACCTACCCAATGGGAGAACCTAAAAGTCCAGTCAATGATATCATGTTCGAGCTGTCGTGTGGCTTCGAAATGAGCATCACTAAAGTGCTTTCTTAATGCTATGGCGTCTAATCGCTTGGCTTCTGCTATTGCTTGACACTGATTTTGGTGGCACTCGAGCATCGACTTCCACATTCTAGTCAGCCTAGAAAAAAATATATATAGCAAAGTTACCATCAAGATAATATTCATTTCGACACAATATTTATTTATCCTAAAAAACAAAAAAAATCTACAAGCTTCCTGAAAGTCATAATATTGACGTACCCTTGAATGAATTCGTTTAGCTGTGGCCACAACTCTTCATCTCTCAAGATATTTATCTTCACAGAGATCTTATCAACTACCTGAATTGCAATTCTAATTTTTGTGGAGAGACTTCTCACCAAAGTTCTGGTTGCATCAATCTTGGTAGCCTCAGCACCCCTTTCATCCAATCGCTTCAATTTTTTAGACTTCCGCTCGTGAATGACTCTCATTTTTTCTTCAACCTGCAAAATAAACACGCATAAGAGATAGGAGAGGGCAGAATCATTACTAAATTCAGCTTCAAATGTGAATTTAACTTGGCCAAGAATGCAAAGAAAGATAAGGATACACTATCCCCTCGAAATTTGTTATTAGATCATGACAGATAACAAGTTGAAATACTCTACATGAACATGGCATGCGCTAGTCGCTTACTATATCTGAACAGTTACCGAATCCTTATTTCAGTCACATAATCTGGGGGTCCGTAACAAGACACTTGAATTAAACACACACACACACACACAGAGGAAAACGTACACTATGAGGAACTCCACTAATTCTCAACGAAGAAAAAATCCACTAGAACAATATATAAATACATACTTTAGGTTAGTTTGCACTTGTAACAGGGATGTGAAATATAATGCAATAAATTACTATGGAGGGACATACTCACCTATCATCAATTGGAAAATATTGATGAAGAACTAAATGAAATGAATCATGTTGGGCAAGTGAACCATATCTTGGAAAATGTGCCAACTACCAAATAGGGGACCACATACCATATAGTCAATAAACATGCATAATGGTGCAACTGCAATTGTCCAAAAGGATCAAAAACAGATAATATTGTGGCAGGAAGAGTAGAAAGAAAGAAGGATAAAGAATACACAGGGGACACAAGGAATTAATATTGTACCTTGACTTCTTCATACAGTTTTTTCTCCCATAGGTACAGCTTATGTAAAGTAGATGAAAGATTTTTGGATCTCAAATCCACCTCTTGATTGATTTCTAACAAGGCAGGATCCGCGCTATCAGAGCTTTTTGATGTTGAAGGTTGTGAGGACAGCACTGGTAGATTCAATAGCTTCGAAGAAACTGCCATACAAACAATTTAAATTCAACATTTAAGTTTAACTATAATGATCCTAATTTTTCAACCCAATCATGCACATCCAACTAAAAATTACTTCAAAAAAATAACAAGTAATTAAAACTTGGCCCTTGATAAATGTGTCCCCTTGCAAATAAGAAAAAAATTGGATCTTTAAATCAAACAGTGAAGCCAATCACATAAAGATCAAATTTTTACCATGATTGCCAACATGCTTTCGCTTATACGGAAGCTTCCCAACCTCAAGAAACTTGGCAAGCTCACTTCCAGATTCCGAAGCGCGCTCAAATAGAACTTGAATCTCTCTCACAACATCTGAATCAGCCTTCAATCCACCACGGGCCTTAAATCCAGCTCCATTGCCCCGATCTTTCGACCTCTCCTCAGGATCAATGACCTTTTTATCCACCACATGAACCTCATACTCAACCGGATCATTCTCAATCCCTACACTCGGCCTTGCTCTATACTGTAACTCAGCATCGTTCGCCACTCGAGCATCACTTTCCGATACTCCCTGCTTCGAGTAACTGCTTCTTCCACTGTCCATAAACTTCTGATCACCGTGGACTTCCTTCACAACCTCATCTTCCTCATCCTCCAAATCTGGAATACCCTCTTCCTCTCTCACCTCCCTCGAGTCTCGGCTTGGAGTATAAGGCGGATAATATTTCTCAAAGCTCTCAAAGGGGTTCAGAAAATCCCATGTGGAGGAGCTGGGCGGTGAGGGTGGAGGTGGGGGTGCTTTGGAAGTTGAAGCCCCCGCCGGCAGAGATGAATACCCGCCACCATATGGTGCGGGTGGGGAAGAACCACCAAAAAAACCACCTCCACCACCGTAACTTGGATAATTAGGATAAGCATTAAAATTATTACTGTTATTATACATAGAGTAAGAAGGGTTTTGGTTCTGATTATTGCCGTTGGAGTAATTAGGATAAGGGTAGTAGGAGGAAGAGGAAGATTCACCCATATGCATAGTTTCTGGACTCATGGGCCGTTGTGTATACACCACAGAAGGCATCGCTTGATTTTTCATATAATTCATATTCATAAAACCTCCGCCGCCGGCTCGAGGAATATTTATATTGAGATTCTGATAATCGGAGAAATAGCCTCCGCCGTACGGGGGCTGCTGGTGGTGGTGGGCCGGAGGGCTGATATCGTGATGGTGCAGCGACTCAGAACCAGAGGCATCATCATCGTCGGAGTGGAAGTTGAGATGCGAATCGGAGTCGGAATGCGAGTGGAGATGGTGTTGAATATTCTCCGGCGGAGAAGCGGAGGGGTCGGGGTCCCCTTTCCGGTGAGGGGGAAGGTTGAGAAGAGGGGAGTTGGGGGCGTCGAGATCTTGATTGAAAAAGCGGTCTAAAGAAAGGCCAACGGCCTTGAGAGAGTGAAGATAAGCCATATGGGCTTCAGCAAAGGCAAAACGGTGTCGCACGGCTTCGTCGAGGAAAGCACAGCGCTCACGGCACAAAGCAACTGCCGGAGTATCATCGAGCTTGGAACTGGCGCAGCCCATCGGAATCCTGAAAAATAGAAACTTGTAGGTACAAATTAGTAAATTAAGTTAAAAGCATGGTGGGTGATGCTAAGGAAATTTAGGGTTGGAGGAAAAGGGGAAAGTAAGGAGAAGAAGGAATCTTTTATGTTGATTTGTTTGGTAGTAAATTTTATTTTCTTGGTTTTCTTGGTTTTGACAGCCGATGGAGCGTCGTCGTTGGATAGCAGTAGTAGCAGGAGAGAGAGAGAGATAGAGAGAGAGAGAGAGGGGATGAACGTCGGTGTTAATAGAAAGAAAGCAGTACTTGTACAAAATAATAATTTATTAAATTAGATTTAATATAAAATAAATTTATTGAGTGTGTACTTTTTGGTATTCACTCACTCAGTATACCGTATCCGTATGTATGTGATTTGCTTTGGAAAAGTAGTGGACTGCTCTATTATTATTATTTACGGAGGGAGTACTACTGTTTGAGTTGTATTATTATTATTATTATTTATTTTATTTATTTTAAGAGTAGGAAGGAGTATTATTTTGAGTAGTTAGTACATGTGATTTGGGACTTTGACTCGTTGTAGCCGTCACGCCCAGATGTTTGTTTCCCATCTTACCCTCCTTGCTTTTCCTCTTTTGCCCCTTTTCTTTTTTATATATGTACTATTCTTAACAAAGTGAATTTTATTTTTTATTATATTTTATTAGGCATAAAGCATCTATCTACGTACAATTCTGCTATATACGGCTTGGGGTGAATGATGTAACTATGTTTACTTAGCTAGTATACGAATCTCAATTCCAGAAAGAAAATAAAAAAATCAGAAATTTAATTCCAATTCCAGAAATTGAATTAATTCTTAGATACTTCGGATGTTGTAGAAATATTAGTCCGGGCAAAAAAAATATATTTATAATTAATGTAATGTATGATCTTGCCATTAATTAATTAATTAATGTGATAATAAGTAAATAAAATAAATTATATGAAATATAATTGAAGACGGAATTAATTCCAATGAATCTTGTCTTTTGTGGGTATGCATCAGACCCCACAATTATATTAATTAGTGATCATCATCAGGAATGAAAAGTGGGAGTCTAATTAATCTGGTAAATTGGGTCATCGATCAACATGTATCTATGTATGTAATAAGTCATAATTAAAGAGCGTAAAATAATAATGTAAAAATGAGTAAACATCAGATTTATTTACTACAGTTCCATGGCTCAGAGAAACGCGTTTATAAAAGACTGGCAGCGCCACTTTTCTACAAATGGCTTTAACATCATTTATATATATATATATATATATAACAACAGTACTTTCATATATGTATGTGATGTTCCGTGTTCGTATTCTGTGCAACATAAAACTTACAAACACTACTCAACCAAATGTTGTAATGTGAAAAGAACATAAATATTTAGGACAACAAAATATTTGTATATATATAAAAAATAATTAATTAATTAGAATAGTAAGCATAGAACATCAACTCTGACGACGACTAATTGTATGTAACATAGGAGATTGATCTTTTGACTGTGAATTTGGTGGAATCTAATATTAATATTGTTTGAAGTTGTAAATCTTAGTTTGATGATAAAATGAACTGAATCATTACACGTACAGTTATTCATACATATATACAAAAACAAAAGGTTGGGATATTAATTATAAATATGTTATAGATTATTATTATGATAAAGTAGCTAGGTAGAAAGAAAAGTTTAATGTCTGCTACAACATGCAATTGGAATCCACCTGCAGAGCTAGCACGACCAGCCCACCACGGATTTTTCTTTTTTTCTTTTTTCGTGTTCAACCGACTAATTAATTATTTATTTATTTAATTGTTTGATTTCGAAATTGGAATATTCACATTCTTATTTCTAACCACGTGGGTGAAGGGTTAAAACTTTTAAAATATATATGAGGGAGTAAAAGTATATATTTCCAGAGATGCTTGCATGATGATGTGCTTATTACAATCTACTACATAATAATATATATCAGCTGTCAGTACTTCTGATCATTCCAATATACTTACTACTAGCTAATTAATATATAATATACATATCATTCTATATATTGTGTGTTTAATTCTGTCCTGATCTCTCATCAAAATTATAAATGTATATTATTGTTCAGCTGTTTCAATTTAATTTATTTATTTGGGCTTGATGGATGAAGTATCTAATTTTGAGTACAAAAGAGGAGCGCATGCAGTTGGCATTTTTGTTTTTGTATTTTGATGATATATATAGACGACGATGCGACAAGTGTTAAAAAATTAAATTAAGTATCTCCGAACACCGTAACTCTTACTATTTTAAGATGTTAGATCTTCAATCTCCATTATATTGTATTGAAGAAAAAGTCAAGTTTTTTATTTACTAATTATCAATATATGTATTGGATATTTGGTTGTTGCTGTAAACAATTTTAATTAATTTGGTGAGGGCGATATATATGATGGACTTATAAATGACTAAACAAATTTGTATTTTGCAACCATTGACCCCAGATTTATTTTTTCTAATCAACTGATCAGACTAATAATTAATCATACAATATATATATATATATATATATATATATATATATATATATATAATAGGTAATATAATTTAAAGGTAGCCATTGCATCGCATGGTCTGTTGCGATTCCATCTAATGACGACAAGACAACATTAATTAAGGACCTAATTAACCAAACAATATCATTCACAAAATCTCTCTTTTTACGTTAATTTTATTCACTAATAATATCTAAGTTCGCCTATGTCTTATGTTAAAATTTTGTTTTTCTTGATGTAATTAGTTGTGGGCATGTTTTCTTGGAATCAATATATATATATATATATATATATATATATATATATATATATATATATATATATAAGCTGGTGCAAAGTCCTAATTAACTCCTAAGAATGTACATATATTAATCAAGAGTGGTTAAACATAAAAGTAAGTAATTTGGTTGTGTCTTAATTCACAATTTAATTTCTTGAAATTTGACCCAATTATATATATCCAACAAAGTTATTAGGTACCAGTAGTAGAGTAGAGAGAACCCAAAGAATGAAAAGCACGTGACACACACAGAGAAATGACATAAACAGATCTAGTAAAAAAAAGAGTAGCATTATGACATATGTGAGAAGCAGTGAGATGAACATTCGAAATGGCCTGGCAATATATTATATTATAGAAACGTAACTAGCTAGAACATAAAATTTGTCGGGAGTAATTAATTTATAACATGAATTCATATTACTTGGATTCAGAGTTGAGATAACAACACTACAAATTATGTATAATAATAAATGGTATAAATTCCCTTGAATTAAGAGATGGAGTTGAATCATGTGGAGGAGGTAGGATCGGAGGTGGAAAAAATGAAAGTGGCGGGTGAGTACTGGGGCTGCTGCTGCTGCTGCTGCTGCGCTGGACTTGAAAGTTGAAAGAGCAGCTACATCTACAGTTTCATATATACATTTATCATCAGCTGTCCATATATCAATAACTATATTTTTACATACATACATCCCTCTTCTCAATTTTCTTTTTAAAGAAAAAAGAGACATCCACTTATAAACACGTACGTACGTAGTTCGAATCCTTTTGTCAACACTTTGTAGTAGACCGAACTCGTATTTCACTTGCAATTAGACCTCATGATCTTTTCTTTTCTATCTTTTTAATTTGCATGTTTTGTCCAACCTTTTCTTTTCATATTAATTAAGATCGATAATAGTACTCAGGATATTCATGTATGTATGATGCTGCCTTGTTGGCTGTTGACAATCTTTGATTACGATGAAAAGAAAAAGTAGTAGTGTATGGTGAAACTTTTGAGCAGTGAAGGGATTTAATTTCCTGATGCAGATATCTTCTTTATATGATGTCCCTCCGATCCCCCACCATGCATAATAAATCACCATTTCCTAGAATAATTTTAATCATAACGCTCATCGGAATATGCATGGGAAATTCATTTTGGTGCTCCAAATTTATTATTCAATTTCCAGGCATCAACTCATAATATTGAGATCGAGGGAAATTAAATAATTTGGTATAATGTTTTTGGTTATTTCATTTTTATAAGAATTTAATGTTTATTATATATGGTTAATTAAAAGAAAAAAATGGCTAACACTTTGTTGTTATGATGCCATATTTTGATGTCTCCTATCAACAAATTCAAAGGTATGTGTTGTCACATAATTGGTGATTGATTCCCATGCTAAAGTAGATAGCTAATAGCTTAGCTTAGTAGTGCACTACATGCAACAATATACTACTTAGTAGGGCTCCCTACACCGACTTTAATTTGAACTGGATCTTTTGTCGGGATCTATTATCTATACTATATATATGCTGCAATTGAATTCAAGATTAATATCAGTTACTCTTACAATAATATTGTTAATCTACCTATATGAAAAGAATATTCATTCCTTGATCATTTGTTAGCTACAGTTACGTTTCTACTCCCTCACAACTAGTAAGTATCATTCATATATACAGGTACAAGTAATGATAATGATCCCATAAATAAATATATATGTAATAAGATAAGATAATGATTTGGTCCGTGGGGCTTCCTTCTTCTTCAAGTCAGCTGGGCCCTCACTCCGGTGAGGATACCTGCAACGCCGGGAGGGGTTCCCGGCGGGAAAACTCCGACGATCAAGTCAGTGAGCGGAACAGAGAAAAACGTGTATGTAATGTAACCGTGATTAGTGTATATTCTCGTGTGTGCGTGTGTTGATTCTCCTATTTATAGATGAGGAAAGCTTGGCCTTCAAGGCTTTCCTTTTTTAGGGTTTCTCTTTTCCCCCAAGTCATGTATCTTGGGCATGTATTGTCCTGGGCTCGCCCTGCCCTGTTTTGGTATTGGGCTGGCGAGTTAAGGTACTCCTACGTGACTCCGAGGTTCGCACCATACGGCGACTTCGCTCATAATACCGAGCTAAGTCGTCATGGGTTCTTCGTTGTCGGCCTATCATATTGGGCTTAACCTAACGGGCTTACGCTTATTTGTTACTTGTCGAACTAGCCCGTATCAACTACTCCCCCCTACTCCTTAATTATCGGGCGAGAAGACTTTGTGTTATCTCGTTTGATAAGTATGGAGTATGAGACGCGAGGTAATAGCTCGTTTTTAACTTTTACTTCTGATGGGGAAATGTGCCTTCCGCCTCTGGCCGCCTTATCAATCAATGCGGTCGATTCGAGTTCCCTAGGTCATGATGAGGGGATTTCAATCGGTGCTTTTTAGCGTCAAGTTCGAGGCGGCCAACTTTTGATCTCGTTCGTCCGAATGGGTGGTTGAGATTTAATTTCCCTTTACCTTTTTTCCTTATAAATACCTAGCTTGCCCAATTTGTAAAAATTTTTCCTTTTCCCCTACGCATTTTCTCTCTTATTTGCTTTCTGGTGATTTTCTTCTCTGAGACAGAGTTTTTTCCCCTCTTCGAGCCTACTCCTTTCCCCGGTCAAGGTACTGCTTCTTTCCCCCATCTCTTATTACCCCTGCCTTTACTCTTCGAATTTGATAATGTCTGCCCGTTCTCCTGACCCTTTCGGCCAAAAAGTGCCCTCCGGGGAGGGGGGTGAAAACCCCGCTTTTTCTATCTCTTCCTCGTCGGAGGAGGGGCCTTACTTCTCCCCTTCGGATAAACTCTTGGAACGACCCAAGAAGAAAAGCAAGAAAGAGGTTTCTTCTTCCGCGAGGAGTGGTTCGCCTTCATTATCCGAGGGGCAAGATCTGGACGACCAATGGGGGCCCAGTACCCTAACCGAAATAGATCTGGCTAACTTAGTTCGCGACATAGGCCTCCCTACCGATGTCGAGTTGATTCTACCTTCGCGAGATGACCGCCCTTTAAATCCCCCTCTAGGTTTTAGTACTTGGTTTTCAGAGCAGTTCTATTTCGGGCTGTCCTTTCCTATTTCGCCCTGGTTTTCTGAAATTGCCCAACTATGTAATGTGTCTCTTAACCAATTCCACCCTCATGCCATAATAATCATGACCGGATTCCACATGCTATGCGCTTGGTCGGGGGTGATCCCTACACCAGCTCGCTTCCGAAGTGTCATGGTGTTGAAAAATTCTAGTCCCTTCCATATTTCCATCTCGGCTCGTCCGGGTTTTAAAATATTGATGCCACCCAACAAAACCGATGGGTGGCAAGGTCATTATTTTTTCGCAAAAAATCCCGTTGATACTCCCTACTTATGCCCTTGGCTTGCCACCTTGCCTGAGAAGAAAAGGGGAAAACCCTTGGCAGTTGATGAATGTTTGTTAAAAATGATATCTCACTTTCAACCTAGTTACGGCGTCCCGGATAGCCTCACCAGCTTTCCGCCGATGCTTCGCCACTTCTATTTTCACGACAACAGTACATATTCCTTAACTCGGGAAGATTTAGGTGGGTTTAATCGCGACACCTGTCCTTATTTCGGTCAACTGTTTTACTTTGGATAAATGTTTCTGTCATCTCGCTAATTCCATATTTACCTGTTCTTCCCCTCATTTACTAATCCTGTTTTTCCCAATTTTGTGGATAGATTTAAGGATGAAGAGGATGTTCCGAGGTGATAAAACGGCTACTCGCCCGTCCGAGCCGGAGCCGGGATTTGACGCGTTCGAATTCCAGCGTCCTTTGGTCGCTGAATCAGAGAAACACTCTTCGGAGGAAGGGGCTCTAAGACCCAGGCCTCCCAAGAAGAATGCCGCGCCTCCTCGCGCTCGAGGTGGACCGCGTACTGAGGATTCTGAACCTCCCCGGCGGTCTTCTGCCATAGTTCTGGCCTCTTCGCCACCTCCTCTTTCGACCGAAGAAGTGGTGGAAAAAGAGCCCGCTCCGAAGAAGCGGAGAACTGACCTGGCCCTCGGGCCGGCTGGGTCGTCCTTGCCTGCTGGTTTTGGACTTCATCTCTGCCAAAACGCAGAGAATGCCATTGCTGCATGTCGGTCTCTGGCCTTTCCCACCGATGTTGCCCATTTCGGGCAAATGAGTAAGGGCGACCGACTTGAGCTACTTCTTCACAACATTACACAGGTTTGTCTTATCTCATTCATGCGGAGCAATTCCTTAATTTCGTATTTTTTATTCAAGTCTAACCTTGCTTGAATTTCTTATACATGCAGCAATTCGCCATCGCTTTCTCGGGTCCTTTGGGATGGGATGATGTCTCGCGTGAGGCATACGACAACCAAAGGAAGGAGGTGACTCAACTTCGAAAAGAAGTTCGAGGCCTGAAGGAGAGTTTGGCGATGTCGTAATCGTCGAAGGAAGGGCTGTTTGCCGAGGTGAAGAGGCTGCAGGAGAGGGAGAAAATCTTGCAGGCGGAGAAGGACTCCCTGGGTTCTCACGTCACCAGCCTAGAAGAAAAAACCAAAGGGCTTTCCAACGAGCTGTACGCAGCCGGAGTGCAGGCTTCTACTAATTTCGCCGAAGGGGTGAAAGAAGGGCAAAGGTTGTTCCCGGGGTCACCTGAGGGCCTCCGTTTTATTGAAGAGTTCGTTCGTCGTTTCTTTCACCGGTTGTGGCGTTCGACTACATTCACCCGAGAAGCTTCAGGGTTGGCTCGTTTCTTCTTCTCATCGGCGGTTGCAGCTGTTCGAAAGAGGTTAGGTGGTGCTGGCATCGAATTCCCACTGGTGGAAAATGAACTGGCCGAAGACCTTCCCGATGACGTGATCCCGGGTTTTGAGGGGGATGTTGATGAGGACCCCAACTTGGAATGGTGGAGGCCGGTTTACCAGGGCCTTGTTGAAGAATTTACCCGTCAAGGAGCCATTACGGACTTCGTCGGGGATATTGGGGCCCTTGGAACGGTGGTCAGTTCCGACGAGGCACAGCCAAGCCTCGCTTCGCCGCCCCCTCTGGATGCTGAGAATCGAAGTGAAGCAGATGCTGCAGTCCCGAAGTGAAGGCCATAAAGAAGACTTAACCATTTTTTCCGTTTTGTATTCTGAACATGTATTTCTTAAACGTTATGTTCTTTATTTCCTTTTGTTATGAATTCTTGACAATTCTTCCGTTTTTTATGTCAGCATATCGGAAATTCCCCTTTTTTTCTTTTTTCTCCAAGTTCAATTTGGGCTTTTATATTCGTCTTGTCTTGACCTCGACTTTAGTTCATATCTCCCGATGATTCTCATTGGTGATTATCCTTTAAGTTTATCAGTCAACTTGATCTTGGAAAACTGTTTTCATTTTCAATAGTTTACTTCGTGTTTTGAACTTAGCCTTCGGCTGTTATTTCTTTTGGCAAAACACGCGATTTAACGCCTCAGTAAAACACGCGAGTTAACGCCACATTGAAACACGCGAGTTAACGCCACAATAAAACACGCGAGTTAACGCCACAATGAAACACGCGAGTTAACGCCACAATAAAACACGCGAGTTAACGCCACAATGAAACACGCGGGTTAACGCCACAGTAAAACACGCGAGTTAACGCCACAATAAAACACGCGAGTTAACGCCACAGTAAAGCACGCGAGTTAACGCCACAATAAAACACGCGAGTTAACGCCACAATGAAACACGCAAGTTAACGCCACAGTAAAGCACGCGAGTTAACGCCACAATAAACACGCGAGTTAACGCCACAATGAAACACGCGAGTTAACGCCACAATAAAACACGCGAGTTAACGCCACAATAAAACACGCGAGTTAAGGTACTCCTACGTGACTCCGAGGTTCGCACCATACGGCGACTTCGCTCATAATACCGAGCTAAGTCGTCATGGGTTCTTCGTTGTGGGCCTATCATATTGGGCTTAACCTAACGGGCTTACGCTTATTTGTTACTTGTCGAACTAGCCCGTATCAGATAAGATAAGAAGAATGCATTATATTCATGTGTTGGTAATAAGTGTTTTCTTGGAGTTTTCTCGGGGTTCAAATTCAAAAGTTGGTGGTACGATAAAAATGCATGTGAAATTGAATACCATACTGTACCGGCCATATGGTTGTATACAGTTAAATTTGTACCCTTTGTAGTTCTCCTATGTACCTTTTTTTGGATTTGTCTTGGCAGTTGGCACTTAATACACAATAATATAAATAAATATAGTACATTATGAATGAAAATCAAAGTACGTACTTAGTCCAACAGTGAGTGGCTTTTCCCCTTGTCCTAAGGTCACCATTCCCTCTTTATTTTCCATTCTAACTAAAATGGGACATCAAACATTCATTTCATACTTGCTTGTCACAATAATCCCTCTAATAATTAATTTCCTTCATAAATTGGACAAAAATAACCCACCCCCAAGGCAATTTGTAGATCTATTTACGAAAAATGAGTAAATTTCAATTGGGATCACAAGTTTATAGGCGCAGGTAGAGATACGATCAGATGATGTGGACTTCATTCTTATGGGGTGACAAATGAGTAAATTAGATGTCACACACCAGGCCAGTATTTGAGTTGTATTATATAATAGAGATATGCGAATACAAAAAAAATAAAGCATGCAACACATATACAAACAAGTTATACATACAATTAACGCAAGGAAGCCGTAAACTATTTTACAAGGAAGACATGAAGGTGTGTGTGTGTACCGTACCCGGCTCAGAAGTAAATGTCTGATTGTTTAGACTGTGCTTTGATGTCTTTCAACTTCTTCAAAATGTTAGCAAAATAATCCTGCAGATATTTCTCCAGTGAACTAATATCTTTCGCATCCACTCCAAGAATATTGTATGTCTCCCCCATCGGCACAGAGAATACAGTATCACTGCTAAGAACCTACATATTCACCTCACCAAAACAAGCTTAATTAGTATTATACAACAAGGCAGTTCAACATACTACATTGAATATAAATTTTAACAATGCCCTACCTCTGAAAATGCCAATCTATCAGCAACATCACTGGTCCATTCAAATAGACGAGTCAGCTGACGAGTAAACTTCAAAACGGAGACTGGAACTGTCGTAACATTTGCATCTTGACCAGCAAGCCTCTCACACAATGTTATCACCTGAAACCAAATTTAACCCAACATAAGTTCAATTATTGATTCTGATTGAACCCATATCCATCGGCTGATAGAGATTACTAATGCAGCTTGCAACTGTCACATGGAATTTCGGGAAAATTTTGGGAAAAAGTTGAATAAAAGGGCTTGCACCCTCATATATCACTTGATTTTTATATGTATGTGCTGCAGCAAGTGTTTGTAAGATTTTTTTCTTTTTTCCGTTTCAAACATTCAGGAAAATTTTCTTTACCTCTTGGGTAGTCCATGCACGAGGTCCAGCAAAAGTAAGAAGTTTTCCGTTGATGTTCTCATTGCGTATAGCTATAAATGTTAGCCTGGCAATATCCTGGTGAACATAGGACAATTGTTGGAATTCCAATTATTTATGGAAAGTTATTATGCATGGACTTAGAGCCCCAAAGTTATACCTGGGTGTCCATGTATGCTATTCTTGTAGGAGCATCAGTGCCCCAAACAGATTTCTCTTCCAGTATGGGCACTGCATACTGTCCAATCAGTCCCTGATAAAGTGGCACCAAAAACAAATGACAATCTGATGTTAGTCACAGTAGAAAGAACAAGCAAAAACTCACAAAATATTTTTATAGTTGAGTACACCAAGAATTATATACCAAAACATTCATCGAGAGTTTCTGGATTAAAAACATGAGTTTCAAGTGTTAAGAATTTATTTTCACAAAAAAATATTTAGCCTCGTAGAAAATATATCTAGTCTTCCCTTTTCTTTCAGTCGATCAAACTGGATTTTCTCACCAATGCATATGAGGAATATAAAATTGACAATGAAGTAGTTTAGACATAAGAGAAGGCAAACATTCATTTCTGATCCGAAAAAGAAAAACGACAGCAAACTTTCAGCAAAAGAGAAGGCATTCATTCACCTGCATAAAACCACAAAGCCGGATAGTTACGTGGTTCAAGCCTGAACTGCGAAGAAACTTCTCAGTGCAGTACTTGATCTCCATAAGTGGAACTTCAGGATGCTTTTCACAGTTGTGGATTGAAAAGAAAATATATTTTTGGACTCCCATGGCCTTTGCACATTGTATAAGAGCAACTTTTCCTTCCCAATCTACCTAAAGGGTAAAAGTTGAACTAAATACAGCAGATTTAAGTGAAAAATTAATAGAAAGTATGACGATACAAGTCCATCATATTCTACCATTATAACACAAAACAATTATTTAGTTGGCAAGTATCCTCACAGTTTTTATGGGCTCTTCCGGACGTCCTGTAGCACAGTCAATAACCGTATGTACGCCTACCAGTGTTGCTGGTATGGTCTCAGGTTTGCTCAAGTCTGCCTGCTCAAAAAACTCCCAGTCAATATATTATCTTCAACATTCTAAGTATACATCTTTACTTTTTCGCCAAGGTTTCCGATTATTAAGTCTGTAAAATGTCCAACAGTCTAATTCAGAGAAACACACTGTATAACATAATACGTGTCATTTCCATACATCAAGCAAACAACACGCAGAGACAGGCACACCCATAATTTCATGAATTCATTGCGATAAATTACAGTATATGCACACAAACCAGTGATTATTGGAAGGAAATCTCAACTTCAAAGAATATGCACACTTGACAAATCAATATCTTACAGCAAAGCAGCTTTCAGAAAAGGAGGGCTACTAGAAGGAAGATAAGTAATACCAGTTATCACATGTATATATTTGATCCATAAACTTGAAAAAAAAGAGGAATGCATGTATGTAAAATCACATTGAGAAATTGGAAGATTACATTAATAGAAGAGAGAAAAGATTACATTAACAACAGCTGCACCCCAGTCACGAAGAAAATCAGCAGGGGCAGGGCGAGGCCTGACGAGGCACCTGACATCATATCCCTCGTCTAGTGCTCTCCTCACAATCTGTCTGCCCAATGTGCCCGTTGCACCCACCACCAGTATGCTCGTTGGCCTGACCGGAGTTCCCGGAGCCAAATTAACCGCCGACGGAGCCGACTGCGCGTTACACGTTATTAGCGCCGAATTACCCCTGCCTAAGCATTGGGAAAACTCATTACCGATAATAATAAAGATCAACCAGTAAGAAATGGCGGAATTCTGATTTACCTTTAGTAAGAAAAGTAGAGGAGGTGGAGGCGACTGCGTCGGGTGCTAAAGCACGGCGCCAGGAAAGTGAGGAGTGAGAATTATGATGAAGGTTAAATTTCATAGGGGTGCTAGATAACTGGGCATGAATTGTGGACGCCATTTTCTCTCGACTCTCAGTCGCCGTATGTATGTATCTGTTCTGGTATGCAATTGATTGGATGTAGTGGAGAGAACGAAACAACAGATGTGAAAGATGCCACGTCGGGCAAGTTTGGATTACGGTACAGCTTCCGTCCCACTTATTCAAACTGTTAATCAATTGGGCTGGGCCTTTTTATTTAATCAATTGTCCAGTTGTCAGCTTTTGACTTGTGATTAAAGATCCAGTATGACTTGTTAACCGTTGGTGTTAATCAATTGGGCTACATTCTGTTATCGGGCTTCATAGCAGAGCATCTGGTAATGATATATTAACACATGAGATACAAGCTGCTACTGAAGTGAGTAAGCATTAACAGTTAACATTGTTGCCTTCAAATTGTTGAAGGCAACAATTATGTAATAAGAGAGAACAATTATTTATATAATTACACAAAATAAATCGTGCAGCTCGTCATCTTGCCTCAGAACCACTGCACCTCAACATACAAAAAAGAATAAACTCCTCCGATCCTATGGTGGCAAATTAAGGCCACATATATGTACAGCGTTGTTTAGTTTCTACACTAGGCTGCCTTTCTTGAGCTCCTAAACAACATATAAAAAATGTTGTTGTGTGTTTCAATCTGAAATGATTTCTTCCAGTTCAGGTCTCAAGAATAAACCAGAATCTCTTCTATTTGGTGATAACACTGTTCTGTCTCGATTTCCATTATCGTATTCTGTATAATCTGTTTCCGACAAATCTTGTTCGTCTTCTGAAAACCCTTCTTCATCATATCCTGAATCTCCAACAACCCTTGATTCAGAATCTTTTTGACAAATGCAAGACAATGGGTGTTCGTGGAACTCACCCCTCCCCTGCTTTACCTCGTTTGGTTCTCCCATGAAACCAATCTGTGATGTTCTAACTAACGATGCAAATTCATCCCATGTCATGTTATCTCTATCACGGAACAACTTGTAAAGCTTTTTACCGTTCGGGCGTATTGTCGGTTTATGGCCAAAGTATCTCCTGCAAATTTTGAAGCAGCAGCACCACCTGTTTTAATAAAAGTAATTTGAATACACATAAATGCAAAAAGTAAAGATGGACGACCTTTTTCCAGCAAGGATTTTGGCCATGTTTCCGTTGTTATTGGCAACAAAAACATTGCTTTCATCACAAACAATAAAGTCCAACGCAGCCATGCGTGATGAATATGATGAAAATTCTGATAGCTCTTCCTTGCTGGCAATAGTCTCTTTGGTGTGGAAGTTTGGGAAAAGAGCTTTTAGAGGTGCTAATGTTTCTTCACCTCCATATACTTCACCCGATGCCACATATATATGAACGTCTTTTCCATAACCTAATGCCCTCAACATAAGCCCGACTTCCTCTGGACTTAGTGGACACTTCCCGTGCCTTCTTTCCTTTTCTGGATTTTTTGTCTGCCAAAAAGAGAAAAATGCCGAATTTAGTGATATATCAGACTCAAACTTGCTTTAATTATTTAACCTCGGTATGTTTCTTGTCTGAACTTACGTGTAACGTTTTCCATCTCTTTCTTATTGCACCTAGTTCTTTCATTTCTTTCTCTCCACCGCCATAATAGCATCCGGAAAATGCTAGCATGTCTGGTTCAAATCTGTAAATTGCCAAAGAAGCTTGGAGAGAAGGACTAACAAATAAGAAAGGAAGGCGTGATGGTTCAATTTGATAGACGTTTGTGTATACCTTAAATGCAAGGCAACGTAATGCTTGCTTTTCATTCTCATCCTTTGAACTAATTTCATACCCATGTCAAGAATGGGATCAGTGAATCTCAAAGCATGATAATTAACTCTACATCTCAGTTTCTGTAAATCCACATTGAGCCGATTTGACAACCTGTAATCGAACTTTGTAAGCTGAACAGCCTGCACCTGTGAAGACAAACCAATACTTTGCAGCTTCAGTTTTTTATGAAACTCTCCAATAAAAAAAGAAAAGACGATAAATTATCCATACACGTTTTCTTTGAAAGATGGGTAGGATACGAGTCTCGTAGCATTTCTGATTGCATTTCCTCGGAGCACGTGTGGTAACGATTTTCCCTGCCTTTACTGGGAGACTATTTATAATTTTGACGTGTTTCGATAGGTAATTGACAAACCATTCAGCATCGAAAATCTCGGAGAAGTTGCTGCAAAAACATAGTTGAGTTTAGAGGCTGTAATAAATTGACAAGTCGACATGTCAAGTTTGCTAAAAGAGAAAAACGAGAAACCTGGCATCCTTCCAGAAAGATTTTTGGTCGAGCTTAGGCACAACGAGGGTGGCATTCAAGATATAGGCTGAAACAACAGCATCTACTATCTGTTATCATTAAGATGTACGATCCATCCGATAATTAATCAGTTAATAATAGCACAAATAGAAAAGAATGAAAGAAACACAGGCACATCGACTAACCCCAGTTCTTTGTTGATTCAATCCTCCACTAGTAGCAATGAGCAAGTACCTGTTTGGTTGGGTATTGATTTCTGCAGCTGCAGCAATATTTAATTAGTGGCAGAAAATCAAATCCAACAAGAATATCATCAGACACAACCAATCCCAACTATAGAGAACAGGACAACAGTAAGTACTCCGATCCGATCCTCCATAAAGCTATAAATAAAGTAGAGCCCTATATATAGATTTGATTAGCAATATTGTTGGAAAGTCAAATATAATTATTAATTTTGTTGATAACATTATGCTAAAAATGTGGTGGCCTGTGAAATAGAATAGAGGTATAGAGGCATAGAGAAAGATTGATGATAAAGAAAGGGAGATGGAGTATTAGTACTTAAAAAGTTATCGCTGGCATTGCTACACCCATAATACATATTTGATTCATTTGAAGTCCACAACCTGCTGCTGCTGCTTCCTCCCACGATTCCTCCACTCATCTAAATTAAATGTTCATCATCATCATCATCATCATCATCATCATCATCATCATCATCATCAAAAAACAATATTTAATTAAATTAAATTAAATGAAAATAGAGGCCGCGGCATATTCAAAGCATTTGAAAACTCTCACCGGAACGCGAAAAACTTTTTCTTTCTCCACATTCATGTCAGCCTCCACTCTTTTATCAAACTTCACATATACAGAAAATAGAAAAATCAGGCAAAAATTCATTCAGATAACACAAAACAAAAATTGGAAAGAAAAAAAAAATTGAAAATGAGTTATCATCATCATCATCGATCAACATATATACCGATGTGTTGAGATTGAGGTGGTGGTGGTGATGGCGGCTGTAGTGGTCGGACACGGGAGGGGAGAAAAACAAAACAAGTGCAAAGAGGAGGAGTAAACACCCGGAGACTGCGGAGAGGAGAGGGAACAGGTGGTGGAGGCGGCGCCGCCGGTTGTGCCGGAAGATAAGCCCCTGTAAAATCTGCACCCCGATCAATTCATCGCCGTGCTTTTTCTTCTTCGTCATGCTCATGGTTCCTGCTGGAGAAAGGAGAGAGAACAGCAGATGATGTTTTAGAGAGAGAAACAGAGGCGATGGAAATGGTCTAATACGAAAATGTCCACGATTCCGAGCTGTATATATATATAAATATGTGCGTGTTTTTTTTTTTGTGTGTGTGTGTGTGAGACAACCAAAAATCAAATTAAAAAAAACACAACAATATCAGTACAACAACTTCCAAACTACAAGAGGTTCTCGGTTGTAAATATACAGCAAGGTCCCTATGTTTTATTGGTTTCCATTTCTTACCCTGATTGCAACAAATATTTTGCGATTTGGCCCCCACACAAATGTTTTTTATATTTGCAAGAAAGCCCCCGCCCTAGTTAGTCAGTCACTATCCATCAGCTTTGGATGAATCGCGTCAAAAATCTGACTAGGGATGATTCTCTATGCGATTTCACATCGTCATAATTTTGCTACTAAAATCCGATTAATTACAGCCTTGTAATTCTAAATTCTAATACTATACTATATATGTCAATCTACATGTTGCAACAAATTATGAACAAATTCTTATTCCTATGATATGGTTTACATTTTAATAAGGATTTTGCTAATACAATAGTCAAATAATCCACAAGACTGGGGTGGGGTGACTCCATGGAAAATATTTAATTTTACATGGAAATATTTGAAAACGTAACATTCCATAAATTAGGAATATAATTAATGAGTTGATTTTTCTAAATCAAGTGGTAAATCGCAATACACAAATTATTTTGTAATTGATTTACTTTTAAGAAAATGAAAAATCTATGTGCTATAACTGAAAATTCAAAGTTAAAAGTAATTGTTTTTTTTCTTTGGGGGTATTGTGTTTAGTTTTGTAAGGTTGATATTTGTAAATTGATTGAATATTTGGGAAAACCTAAGTTATGAAGCACTATATATAATTTCCAAAAATGTGAGGGTTTGGTAGAAAGTTAGAGTAAAAATGATATAAGTTTGGGAAATTAAAGGTGGTGTGAGTGAGTGTTGCAGACGGACGGAACTTGTTTTCTTATTTTGATGATTCAGTTCTATCTTTTTTGTGCTCACGTGCTTCTTTTTCTTTATTGCTAACTAATTTTATTTTTATTTTAATTATTTAGATCTTCACATACATATCGATTCAAAGTAATAATATATATGTAATTTATAAACTGGAAAGATCTACTATGCGAATTGAATAAGCTTTGCATATTTGTCATTTTCTTCAGCACCAGCCAGCTTGGTGTTTGTTTTCAATTGTCTAATTTAATCCCTATAGATAGGTATGTTATATGTAGGTGGTGGAGACTGCAGCAAATGAAGATATATATATACATGTGATTAATTAACAATCTAAATTATAACTTATGCAGATTTTATTTATTTATTTATTTGTGTGTGTATGTGTGTGTGTGTGTAATGATAAGCTGTAAAATTGGTTGATTAAGTCGTAATGAAGAACCCCTGGGGTTGTTGTAAAGCAACGCATACGCGGAATGTGTGCAAATTACAGGGTGATTACTGATTAGTTGGTTGGTTGAGCAAATATTTAACAATTTCTTCTTCCTAATAATAATAATTAATAATAACTAACAATAATAATGCATGTCAGAAGTCTCAGCAGAAAATGTCTCTTATTAATTAATAATCTTTAAATATCAAAATGGGGGTCCTTGAATCCGTTGGATCTAATCACTTTTTTTTTTTGTTTATTAATAAATTCAGGAGGCAGTCACAGCAGAATTAATTATGTATTTTTCATTGGTTTTTCGTCGTGGAAATTTGTTTTATTAATAATTTATATGTATGGTGAAAAAAGCCAAAAACTGTAAGTTCACCTTTGTATGGAGTAGTAAATTAAATACGTACGTTTCTATTAGTGTAAATGCTACTACTAATTCAAATGCTGAGATTATTGTGTTGCAAATTAAATCTGATTTTAATTTAATTGAAAATGGGTTAATGAATTGAAATGCTTATTTATTTACCGTTGGACTTGGAATCATTAAATTATGTGTCTCCGAATATTCTATCTTTATATTGTCCCTTTTCCTTTTTTTTTTTTTTTTTTTTAATGTCAATTCTTGGAGCTTAACGGCCCAATTAATTAATTGTTGTACTCTACAAGACAAGATGCATTTAAGTTTCCCTGTTTTTTTTTTCTGTAGATTAACGAAAACACACACTCGCACACATTTGTCGAAAACAGCAATTAGAACTATCAAATAAGTACTCAATTAACTTCCCATAATAATAATAATAATAATAATAATAATAAACTTATTTCAATATGCACTAATTTCTATTTGTATTTCGCACTAAACAGAAAGATATTAGGCCAATTATATATAAGATAAAAAAATTGAATATTTCCGGCCCAACTGTACCTCGTATATAAGTTAATAACAGTAAGGTCCGGCCCGAAAAACTAATTTAGGGCCCAATAAAATATTAGAAAGGGGCCCGCCCGGCCCAGTCGCTGAAGCATTTTAGGCGCGTGACCATAAAACCATCCCCAACAGGCAGGCAGGCAGTAGTCAGTACACACACGGGACGGGACCCAAGCAGAGAATATTAAATTATTCACACACATGTACACTAAGTCTTCCCCAATTTCCAAGTCAAAGTCTTTTTTTTGTGTTCATTCATATTAATAATAATATATATTAAATACTCCACTTGAATGGAAAACATTATATATATTATATTGGCAACAAATGATCTAATTAATAATCTTATTCTAATTTATAATCAGTTGTGGAAAAAAAGAAAATGCTCTAGCTAGCTGCTAGCTCAAGGAAAACTAGAAAAGTCTTGGTCTGTATATATATATATATATGGCTCCACCTCCACCCCCACCACCCCCACCCCGCACTCCTATCTCTATCTTCCCCCTTCATCATAGCTTCCTCTATATATATATATATATTAATTCTCTCTACGAAACACCAAAAACAACTACATTAATGGCTTCTTCCAAGTTGTTACTTTTGCTCTTCTTCATCACCATAATTTCTTCATTCAATTTCACCTCTGCCCAGCAGCCCTTCCGCTGCAACTCCACCGGCGCCACCTGCAACGCTCTTGTAGACTACGTCTCCCCCAACGCCACCACTCTCGCCGCCATCAGAACCCTCTTCACCATCAAGAACCTCCGCTCCCTTCTCGGCGCCAACAACCTCCCACTCTCCTCAACCCCACCCAACTTCCCCATACCAGCCAACCAGACAATCAAGATCCCCTTCCCCTGCATCTGCAACAACGGCACAGGAATATCAAACCGCCGCCCCATCTACAAGATCGTCCACGGAGACGGCCTCTACCACATAGCGGCGGAGGTGTTCTCAGGCCTCGTCACCTTTCAAGAAATCCAGGCCGTCAATAAAATACCAAACGCGGACTTGATAGAGGAGGGCCAGGATCTGTGGATACCCCTGCCCTGCAGCTGTGATGACGTGGACGGACAGAAGGTAGTGCACTACGGACACGTGGTGGCGCCGGGGAGCTCAGTTGAGGGTATAGCTCTACAGTTTAACACGTCCCAGGAAACCCTTTTGAGGCTCAATAATTTGGCCACTCCTCAGAGCCTCCTCGCCGGTGCTATTCTTGATGTTCCACTTAGAGGTCATTTATTACATACTAATATGATTTTTAATAATTAATTAATTTTATTAACTCTGCTTGTTTGTTTTGAAACATACTATATGTACAGCTTGTTCCTCAACGGTAAACAACAATTCGATGGATTACCCATTACTTGTTCCAAACAACACCTACGTTTTCACAGCCAACAACTGTGTAAGGTGCAAGTGTGATGCTGCTGCAATTAACTGGATGTAAGTGCTTAATTGCTGCTAATAATCTAATCAAATTTTACTAGCTACTGTATATGCATGTTGCTCTGATCCAAACGTTTTTTACTCATAATTGTTAGTTATATAATTAATTGGTTGACGTACGACAGGTTAGAATGTGAATCTTCCCAGATTAATGCGTCATGTCCCCTTATCCGATGTGATAATTTGTATCTTGGGAATGCCACTTCATCCAGCTCGAATTGTAATCGTACTACCTGTGCATATGCTGGTTACAACAACAACCGAACGATACTAACCACACTAGCTATGGAATCAACTTGCCCTGGTACGTGAGTTAATTAGTTTATGACGATGCTTTATATATATGCCAATGCCAATGCCAATGCCAGCAGATCCTATTATATTATATTTTCTTGTTAATGCTGCCAGCAGATGTATCTGCATCAGAGTAATTGGCTGATATTATATTGAGACGTTGTGATGGATATGATTAAATTTGGTCTAAAAATAACTTTTTGATGGGTGCGTGCGTGCGTACATGCAGCTTCTGATAATAAATCATCTGCATCTGCAATGGGGCCGGGATCATGGAATGGAGTTGTCATTTTGATTATTACTACGATGATGATGCCTTTTCTTGCCTTGCTGGGCTGACTGAGATACATAGCTTAATTACGGCTTTCGGAATGATTGTTGTGTGTAATGCATGTACTTAATTACTCATTAGAGCACCAGGAAACAATACAGTGAATTTTGTAATAAGTTGCTCAGTTTTGTAATTCTGAATATTTAGTAGTAATTGGACAAAGACTGTGAATTTTTGTATTTCTTGTAAGCCCTAGCTAGCTTGTTGTTCATTTTCTCAAGTTTCAATGGATTTGATAATTGATATACAACCCCTGATTGAATTCCTTTGTTTTAACAACGTTAATTGTAGTTAACCTATTTTGCTCTCCCATCTTTTGGGCATGCTTAACCTCGTATTTAAATGAATAATTTTTACACTGGTTTCTTATTACTACCATTTATATTCTTTATTATTTTTTTCCGAAAATAAATATTAATAAAAGAAGAGAAAAAATAATGGGAAAAGGGAATAGTCAAAACCCTTGTAAATAAAGTAGGAAGCATAAACCTCGGACTCCACCGAAACTGCCATATTTCTCTCCCGCCGTCGTTTTCTTTTTCTCTCATTTTTATTTTTACATGAAGGAAGGAGTGGACACAGAACAAGGGACCCAAACCGACGTCTCATCTGAGTTTCATCCTACGTAAGTCCCTTTCGACAAATCAAGGTTCCAAAATAATTAATAAATATCTTTTTTCCTTATTTACTTGGTTTATTCATCTTCTTTGTTTCAAAATTATTCCACGAGTATTTCCTTTCATATATTCCCTCTGCACTTGCTTTCTCTTTTCTTTTCACATTAAGTAGTATTTGTATGTAGGTATTGTCCGGAACAATTATCATAATATATTATTTGGAGCGAATATAATGGCCGCGCAACTCAGTGGCGGTGCCTCGATTTCATGCGGCGGCTTATCAATATCATCGAGTAGGACTACCAAATGGGCTTTGCCGTCAAACAATTTCAAAGGGTTTAACAGTTTTCTTGGAAGGCGGATTAATATTGATGATGGTGGCGCATGTTCTCTATCTGTCAACAGAGCAAAAGGGTTCCTGCCTTATCCTGTTATTCGTCAGAGGAACCACCACGTTTTTTCAAGATTCAGTTCTCACTTAAGTTCTGATTGTGGCGTGCAATCTACTGATTTGGAGGACACCTCTGCCCTTCATCAAGACTGTGGAGGAGGCCTTAAGTATGCACCTTTGTTTTTTTTTTTTTTATCAAGTACTTATAATCAGACATTTACTCTCTCTGGTGCCGACAAAGGCATGCCAATAAGATAATTCTCTTTGTTTTTCAGTGAGTTGAACGGGACTGTGCCTTCTCAGATCAATCTGAGTGAACCTTCTAAAGAAACATGTAAGCCAAAGGATGTTAGGCGAGAGCTCATAATGTTATCTTTACCAGCAATTGGTGGACAGGCCATCGAACCAATGGTGCAACTTATGGAGACTGCATATATTGGTCATTTGGGTAATGCTTTTATCTTCATTTGTGTATTAGTGTTTCACACTATTTTGCTTTTATCCTCATTTATACTTTGCTATATCTGTCTTTTATACACTTCTGATACAAATCGATGCATTGAATGAGTTTTGGGGATAAAAGCTGAAATCTTTTGCATGCCTGGCTATAATTTTATGATCAAGGATCACTAGTCAATTTTGAAATTTTGTAATGATAGTTCTTCAAACCTGCCGCTTCATATCTTCATTTTTTCGGTTCTAAACAAGTCCCTGGCAACAAATTTCATGTTTTCTGCTATTCCCTTAAACATGTTTCTTGTTTAGGTTCTGTGGATTTGGCTTCTGCTGGCATCTCCATATCACTCTTCAACATAGTCTCGAAGCTTTTTAATATTCCCCTCCTCAGTGTTGCTACTTCATTTGTGGCTGAAGACATTTCAAAAAATGCAAGAGTTTCCACACCAGGTAGATTTGATATATGTGATACCTGTTAAATGTTATTATGATGTACGTAAATCATTGGGTTGGGAAAGGAACTTAGCCAGTGAATGTTTATTGATGCAGGAGAAAAGATGCAGCTGCCTTCTGTCTCTACAGCTTTGCTTTTAGCTATTGGTATTGGCATCTTTGAAGCTGCGGCCCTGTCTTTAGGATCCGGACCTCTTCTCACTTTGATGGGCATATCACCGGTATGGATCGAGATGCAATGAAAACTTAGATTTCTCTTCATTTCCTCTCATGATCGCATGTCGTTCATCTTATTCCTTAGTTTCTGACGGTACATCATGAGTGCCACATCTTCGGTTAGCAGTTAAATGACTAACTGATTGGTCTCTGGTAGTATGGTTGGTATCACGTACACATGTACCATTTTAATGGACTGTTGTTTTAAAGGGTTTATTGCTGTATTGCAGGCTTCGTCCATGCGTGTTCCTGCACAACGATTTCTTATGCTGAGGGCTCTTGGTGCTCCTGCTTTTGTGGTTTCTTTGGCACTTCAAGGCATTTTTCGTGGATTCAAGGATACAAAGACCCCTGTATTTTGTTTAGGTAAGTTGAATCACTTGATTTAGGTAAATAAATCAGTTAATAGCTGTTGGGTATGCACATCAAAGTTTGTTTACAAGAACTGAAGAGTTTTCCTAGCTCTCTTGCTGATGTTCTAAACTACCAAGTCAATTATTATTTTACCAGAAAATATGTGTTATTAGTTTTGCTTATGCTTATTCATTTGCAACCTTGTTTAGATATTTTTTTCTTTATTGAGAAATTGATACAACTTTTTTCCTGCAGGTTTTGGAAATTTTACTGCTATACTTCTGTTTCCTTTTTTTATATACTACTGCCAGTTGGGTGTTAATGGAGCTGCCATTTCCACCGTTGTCTCTCAGTATGTATTCTTACACTGTTTCCATTTGTTCTCATTCAACTTGTTAATTTTGGCACTAGGTTCTCATATTAGGCGTGTTCTTGAATATTTCAGATATCTTGTTAGCTTGTCAATGATTTGGAATCTTAATAAACGAGTTGTATTGTTGCCTCCAAACCTTGGAGACCTGAACTTTAGTAGCTATCTGAAATCGGGTAAGCATGTTGATCATGATTCCTAAGGTTCTTTTTACTGATAAATAGAATTCAATGTTTAGAATACAATATATGTCAACTGAGTAATTTTGGGGATTTGTAGGTGGTTTTCTGATTGGAAGGACTCTAGCTGTTCTGGTGACATTTACACTGGGTACATCGATGGCTGCTCGTCAAGGACCTGTAGCTATGGCTGCTCATCAAATATGTTTGCAAGTTTGGCTTGCTGTATCCCTTCTTACTGATGCTCTTGCTTCATCTGCTCAGGTATATGCTTTTTATGCCATGTTTTTCTTTGCTTGTGTTTTTGTTGTTATCTAAAGAATTGGCTTTTTTCCAGGCCTTAATTGCCAGTTATATATCAAAAGAAGATTACAAGACTGTAAAGGATATCACTTGGTTTGTTTTAAAGGTACTTGTCACCGTTCTTGTTTCTTTGTCATATTTCTTTCAGCTCCTGGTATTATTTTACGTATATTAGTTTAATGTTTTTGCAGTTTGGTGTTTTCACTGGTGTTGCGTTGGCTTTAATTATCGGATTCTCTTTTAGCTCGTTGGCCCCACTATTTACCAAGGACTTGGAAGTCCTGAAACTTGTTACAAGTGGTGTTCTAGTAAGTTAGTTAATCCAATCTGTGTGTATGGTTAGTCAGAGAAGCTGATAGTTTTGTCTTAACATTTTTGGTGCAGTTTGTTAGTGCCAGCCAACCTATAAATGCTCTAGCTTTTATCGTGGATGGTCTTCATTATGGTGTTTCAGACTTTCCTTATGCTGCAGTTTCGATGGTATGCTTATAATCGCTTCTATTACATATCATTAAACATGAAGAGACAAGTGTTTCGATGAAATGAGTTTTGAAATGTAGATGGTGGTTGGAGCAATATCTTCAGCGTCTTTGCTATTTGCTCCTAAACTCTTTGGTCTTGCCGGTGTTTGGTACGGTTTGACTCTCTTCATGGCACTTAGAATGGTGGCTGGACTTATGAGGTCAGTTCAACATTCATTTCACTGATGTTTGCTTTTCTCAGCCAAAAAAAATAATAATTACTCCATATATTTTGCTTGTATTCAGATTATCCCAACGAAATGGTCCGTGGTGGTTCTTGCATAGCGATGTTTAAAGGCCAAGGTTAGTAACTCATAGTAGAGGCGTGTGAAATAGTCAACTCAGATTTTGACCAAGCTCACGTTTAGTGGTATTTACTTCTCCAGAAACGACAAGAAGAAATGCTTTATAATGTTTTGCTTTAGTTTTGATGAGATTTTGTGTTAGTGGAAGATGTACAGTTGCTGTATCTAGAATGACATTACTGTTGAACTGGGTAAATAATCGAACATCCTCTACCAAAAAAACTTATTCTGATTGATACATAATATAACTTCTAAGCATAGTCGATCGGTCTGTATGGTTCAAACCATTCTCTGAGGAGACTCTTTTTCCGTTTCGGGTTCCATCCCATGTCCTCACACAATTGATCGTTGTACCATATTTGCACCCCAGCAAGGCATGATCTGCTATTATAGTATTCACCCGATGATTTCTTCATATACTCATCCCATTCATATGCATCTTTCTCCATTTCTTTTATGATCGGTAGATTGAATGTTCCATCCAGAAGCTCTGCTAACCATCGGCACGTCATTTCTGACGTAAATAAATTTGCAATGCTTTCCGAGAATCCGATAAATGCTACTTGCGGAATCCTAGGATGAACACATCTCCTGAAAAATATTAATTAAATTTATTGCACCGTTAGTTGTGGTCTATAATCGAAGTTGTTGTGACACAAAATTATCCATTCCAATGTATAACCTGTAGAGTTGAAGCCCGTTATCTTTAGTGTCCATTAAATCTCGAAAGGGTGGTGAAATGAAGGCATCTTTGAGATTATCGACACCCCTAAAACCAGTAGCGAGTATCAGTAGATCAATATTTAGAGGCTCGGTTTCGCCATCTATGACAACACCTTGGCTACAAAAGCTGAAGCCTCGTGCTTTCTTAAGTATGATGCTTCCTTGCTCAACTCGTTCGAAGAAGCCCTCTGGTACAGTTGCTATGGTGCAAGAGTTGACCGACTTTAAGAAGCTATATGGTGGCACCATGCCATATTTTTCAAGCCTCAGCTTCTTTTTTATGTGGCTTTCGACGAATTTTGAAATTCCCCATCTCTGTCCAAAAAAATACTATCCGTCACCATTTCTTACAAGACATAATATTAATGATCAAGAAAGTCCGAATGTGAGGCGGTCGCTCGCACCAGAGGAGAAAGAAGGGTTGCTAGGAGATTGGGAAGAAACCCTTGACCAGGCTTGTGAAGCAAGAGCTCGGAGAAGCGATTTTGATACAGGAATTCAAGGGGAACTCCCCATGGCAAGTAATCAGGCATATTCCAGTGCTCTTTCCTGTACAACAGTGTGCATGGTTGCTTAATGCCTGCAGGAAACATCACCTTTGCATGTTAAGAGAGAAGAAAATTCCATGGCTGGAAAATTTAAAGAAAACATGTACATATGTTCACCATTGGCGGATGAGCACTCCATTGCGATGTCCATTCCTGATTTTTGGAATCCAACAACGGCAACTCGTTTTCCTTGGATTAATTCAGAAGCAGTTTGATGATCCATGGTGGAGTAATCCATGGAGTGTATTACATTTCCTTGAAATGCTGTGGGGCCTTTGTCTGCAGGAAATTCTGGTATATTTGGGCATTCACTATACATCCCCGTGCACAATACTACAAAGTCAACCTGGTGAACCTGCATTTCAATTTTGAACGACAATATTCGATAATCGAGAAATCCGTATAAATACCTCTCTCTCTCTCTGTCTGTCTAGATTGAGACAACAAGACATGTACAGACCTGTGTGCAGAGGGTTCGAGTGTCACGCACTGTGACCTGCCATTTTCCCCTGGGACCGAATGGTTGGCCTGTGCCACCCCAAAATGTACACGTCAGCATTTCTTGTTCAGAGGGTCCTCCATGGTAGGTGAGGTTGAGGACTCTTGTGTTGAGGTTAATGTGTTGGATGAGATTGTGATGTTGGGCATAAGAGTGGAGATAATCAAGAACTTGCTTTTGGCTGGGAAAATTTTGTGTAACAGAAGGTGGCCATGGAAAATCGGAGAACTGGTAAAGTGATTTAGGAGTCTGGAGCTTAGTGGTCAGTATTGTCTTAGTCCAAACACCTCCAATCATGTCATTGGAATCGAAAACAGTGGGATTAAATCCCTTTGATAATGTGTATTTGCAGGCAAGTAGCCCACTTATGCCTGCTCCTAGTATCGCAATCTCAATCTCCGCCGCCATTGATGAATGCTGCTGCTGCTGCCGATGCTGATTATAATTAATAATATGTGATATGGATATAATTTCAAAATATTGAATGGACCCACGCGCTTGGCGTAAATGTAATGCATGCCAGACACCTAGCTGGTTGATATAGCTTCATCTTCATGTATGCTGTCACTTTGTCACCTTGCTTGCTTAAGTTCAAACTGATCTCTCGTAAGTACCCCACCCACTTGTAAGCATTATTTTACCTTTATCAACTAAGGAATGTCAAAAATAAGATATATCTATCCCCTGCTGAAACGTGGAAGCTTCTTGAGAAAGGCATATATATATATATATATATATATATATATATATTAGTTGTAGGCTTGTAGCATGACAAGGCTTGTACAAATCTATATCTATATTCTTGGTTGGGAATTCGGATAGTACTAGTGATGCATATAAGTTTAAGCCGCATAGTCCATTGGCATGTACGTAGGGCTCTCGAACAAATTAAAATAATTCTCTGAGGATAGGACACCCTTTTTGTCCTAATTTACGCAACTGAGCATCAATTGCACCAACCATATTTGCACAGCATGGATGCATGACCTGCTATACTTTTGGCCCGATGATTTCTTCATATACTAATTATCCAATTAATTAATTCCCACACCTCTTTTTCTTTATTATGCTCGATCGGTAGCTTGAATGTTCCATCTAGTAAGCATCGGCATGCATGTCATTTCTGATGTGAATAGATTTGCTATGCTCTCCGATAATCCAGTAAATGCCAGTTGCAGAATCCTAGCTAGGATAAACAAAAAAAATAATTAATTAATTAATGAAGATTTATTACACCATTATATTGTTTGGTGGTGACCAACCCTCATTTGGAGAGTTGGTATCTAGCCTTTACCAATAGGGTAACGTTCTAGGGTTCGAGTCCCCCCTCCCCTACTTTCCCTTGTAATTGACTTGAATTTTCTAAAAAAAAAATAAAAAAAATTGTTTGGTGGTCTATAATTTGAACTTGTGTTGTACATTCCAATAAATAACCTGTAGGCGGCGGTTATATGCAAACCCATTTTTTTATTAGTTCAAACCAACATAAACGAGTTTATTAGTTCAAGCCCGTAAATTAATTTAATTTTATTACATCAAGACCAAAGATGACAAATATACCCTTATCCACAAATAATATTCAAAAACAAATAAATCATATTTTTAATTTGTTTAAGACCAAAAATCAAAAAATAAAAAATAAAAAAACAAAAAGAAAATATCACGACTGCCACCGCCAGACCGCCGCGACGCCGACCAGCGAGACTTCCACCGCACCGGCGATGACCAGCGACCCACCCACCGCACCACCACCAACAAGTAAGTCCTTTTTACTAAACTTTTATTTGTAAATTCGAAAACATTAACCGAGCATCGATTCTTGATAAATATGTATGAATGAATATTAATCTATACTTATTTTTTGTTGGGTTGCAATGCTTTGACCGATTTTGGAAAAAAATTGAGATTGAAATTGATTTTTTTTTTTCGTTGGTTTCCCAAATCGGTTTACCGAGACCGATTTTGTACACGAAAATCGGTGTCATAATGCCGATTTTTGTTAACCAAATCGGCGACACAACGTCGACTTTACAAGTCAAAATCGGCATTCTAATGTCGACAAAATCGGTTTTCGGATACGATATTTTTCGGATTTTTTTTAAATAATACATTATATATATGGTTAATTGATATTTTTTAAATATTTGAAATGAAAAATGTTTATCACCATTCGGTGGCGTCTACCAACTCCTTTAACCCAATCAAGTAGAGTTTTCCGTGTGTCAAATATTTATTCGTTAGATAATTCATTTGAATAATCCTCCATCAATTCCCTAGGTTGTTGCACGAAAGTATGAGAAAACGGTGTTTAAAAAACATAGATAATAAAATCGGTACTTAAAAATCGATTTTTGTAGTACAAGTCGGCATGACAATACCGATAATACAAAAACAAATCGGTGTTGTCATGCCGATTTGTACTACAAAAATGGTTTTTAAGTACCGATTTTTATTAAAATAATCGGAATGTGGTTACCGACTTTAGTAACAAAAATCGGTATTTGCAGACCGATTTTTGTTATCGTCGAATTTTTTTCCCAACAAAAAAAACGACCCAAAAGCAAAAATAAACGGTTAAAACATACTTCATTATTGTGTTCTCCACCCTCGTAAACCACCATATCATTGTTCTTTGGTTCCATCGTGAATGTTTGATATCTATTTGATAATTTTGGTGTGTATAATTACTTGGTGGGTTTGTGAAGAAGAAGGAGAAGATTTTTAAGTCGTGAAATAAAGAAGAGGTGTTTCTGGATTTATGTATTTTATTTGGTCTTGCACAAAGGAAATGAATTTTTTTATTTTTTAATGTTTTGTGTTTTTTATTTGATTTTAAATTTCATTAAGGGTAAATTATTATTTTTATATTGAAGGTCTTGAGCTAATAAAAAATGGGCTTGCATTTAACCGCCGCCTAACCTGTAAAATAATTATTATTATCTTTGGTGTATGTCCTTTGAGTGTTTCAGCCCATACCTTTTTTCTTTATTTGGGCTTTTACCGGCCCAAATTTAAGAGGGCTTCACCGCTTTAACAGTACTTGTAGTAGTAATTTGTTTTTTAAATGTATAATAAAAAATAATTTAATTTCTCTATCAAACCAAGTATATATATATATCATCATACCAAACACTCATCAGACTATCATCACTCATCACTCCTCAGTTCTGTAAAAGAAAAGAGAGCATCTAGTAGGTATTTGTAATTGTGTGTGATTTTCTCTGAAGCATAAATAATGGCGTTCCTGAAGAACAGATACTGGATTCTGAGGCACGGCAAAAGCATTCCTAATCAATGCGGTCTTATTGTCTCCTCTCTGGTCTCCCCATTCTTCAATTTTCCTTCTCTTTTCATCTTCATCAATCAATCATCAATCAATCATCATCATTTCCTCATTTATTGTGACAGGAAAATGGGATTCTCGAAGAATATCAACTCGCTTCTGATGGGGTTCATCAGGCTCGTCTCGCCGGACAATCTTTCCTTAAGGCACCTCACTTTCTTCCTTTTTCCTTATTTTTTTTATACATGCTTTAACTGTTTATTTTCTCGTGTGGTGTACATTTGAATTGGATCTATATTGGACCATCAAATAAATCTTTTATAATTGTTAAATCACCATGGATAGGTTTAGCATTTCCTGTAAAAAAGTATTTCTGATACGAGAAACACCTACGGCCGATTTACTGAACCATCTGTTTAGTTGCTGGGATGAAGTTAGTATCTGTGGTTGATATACTGCTGATTTACTGAACCATCTGTCTGTGCAGGACCTGAAAGAAAATGAAATTGATATTAAAAATGTCCGAATCTGCTATTCACCATTCTCAAGGACCACGCACACAGCAAAAGTTGTTGCTTCTGTTTTAGATATTCCATTTGAAGGCCCACAATGCAAGGTTTGTATCCTACTCATAACTCATTTTACTATTTTTTAACTTTGTTTCATCCTCTATGGCTATATTGTTTGGTTGATTGACAGGCTATTGAGGACATTCGAGAGAGATTCTTTGGTCCCTCATTTGAGCTCAAGTCTCATGATAAAGTAAGAAATCAACGCCATCTCATACCTGATTTGAATGCCAATTTATTTCTTTTTGCTGTTAGTGTAAGTTATGGGTTAAAATAACATTTATGGATGAACTCATGATTTTCATATTGACTCCACCCACTCAAGTACCACGAGATATGGTCCTTGGATGAGAAAGATCCCTTCATGCAGCCCAGCGGTGGAGAAAGTGTTGCAGATGTTGTCACCAGGCTCACAAGGGCTTTGACAGTGATGGAGTCTGAATTTGAAGGGTAATAATCAAATTCATTTTGTGATTATTATTTGTGTGTGAGTGTAACATATGTAACCGAGTTTGTTGTGTTGTAGATGCACACTGTTGGTTGTCAGCCATGGAGATCCGCTGCAGATTTTGCAGACAGTCCTGAATGCAGCAAAGGAACAGGGACAACAAACAGACGAAAATGGCTTGATCTCAAGAATGGAGGCAGTCAAAGTCCCCGATGTTCTCTCACAGCACAGGAAGTTTGCTCTTAATACTGGAGAACTTCGTCAATTAGTATAGACTAGAGTCGTCTAAGTTGTTACTGTCCATGATAGCTTCTTTAGGTTGAGATCCTTGATCTTCAACTAGTCCATTTGTTGCTTCTATCTGCTTAGGCATGCAACTATATGCAGCTTGAATGAATAAGATTTCAGGGCAAACAGAGCCTTCCAATTTCTTTGTTTCGTGCCACCTTACTATGGTACATCTATTAGGAGTTGTAGTCAGCTGATTAACACTACAATTTGAGAATAAAGCATATTTATACATGGTAATGCAGTTTGTTTATTAGTTGACATAGGGTCTTTTTTTAATATATATTTTTATTTTAATTTTAATTTTCTTTAAGAGCTAGTAAGAATAATACCTGCTTCATGATCTGAAGCAAAGAAATGCAGATGAAACTATATTTTTTTTCCAATTTTGATTGTTGATTTGAAATGCATGCAATCAGAAGTTCAAATTTCCTTGTGATTACATATTTGTATGTAGTTGTCAAGCGTTTCAAAGGCAGGGAGGTACACTTTTGTGCTGAAAAGCAAGGAACGACCATTACTTGCGATGAATTAAAGGTATGTGCTCATTCTTACTCATCAGGTGCAAAAGGGAATTTGCTTTTCTTCGTGCTCTGGTAGTGCCACATCTTGTAATCTCCATTAAATGATCATAAACACCATATTGCAGTGCAGCCAGCAGAGAAGACGAATTATTTGATCCCAACTCCAGTATAACAGCTGTAGCACATTCCTTGTTCTTTGGAGTCCCATCTCGAACAATTTCAACCAGAGTTTGTATAAAAGATAGTCCTCCAATTTCATTTCTACCTTCAGGATGTGAAGCTATAAGTAACAAAATCGACAAGGCTTCATCAACCATGTCCAAAGTCTTGTCTTCAAGCAGGTGAAGCAATGGAGGTATTATGCCCGTCTTGATCGCCCTCGATCTGTTTGCTTGGTTGAGGACCAAGCTGAATAGTGCAGTTACCGCATCCTTTTTCCCTCTGTTTGTTCCATTTCGTAAGAGATCAATGAGAGGTGGAATCCCATTGGAGCAACCCACTAGAACTTTGTTCTCTTCGAGAACTGACAAACTGAATAAAGCTGCAGCGGAATTTTCTTTGGCCTCTTCTGTTCCATTTCGCAAAACTTGGATGATAACAGGTATGGCTCCTTCTCTAGCTATGATTCTCTTGTTTGCCTCATCGAGCGATAAGTTCAGAAGAGCAGTGACAATGTGCTGTTGGATTTCAGAATCTGTGCATGACAAGAGATATACCAAAGGTGGGATGCCTCCACTGTTGGCAATCATGATTCTACTATCGGGAGACTCTTTGGAGAGCATGCGAATTCTGACAATGGCATCTCGCTGCACGTTCACATGGGACGAGTACAGATCTTGGATCAAGGAAGAAACTTCCTCGGCAAGGGGAGAAGATGCAATGTCAGGTTCATCACAAGTTTCCTTCTTGGGCAGATTGTAATTGTTCTTTTCGCACCATTGCAGAATGAGATTACGGAGGGCGAAATTTGGAGCCACTGCCATGTAAGTAAGCTTTTGTCCTGTTTTGGGGCATGTTCTGTGGCCTGAATTCAACCACTTCTGTATGCTCTCTCGTTCATAAGTCTGAAGAAAATGGCAGCAGGAAAAGGCAAAATGAGGTAAAACCCACAATCAACTCACATGAAAAGGTAAGGAAGAGCGGAATTAAATTACCTGTCCAGTGGCAATTATAACAGGATCTGCCATAATCTCCAAGCTGATTGGACAGAGGAATTCATGAGGTATTAACAAGGATTTGCTCTTCTCCAAACATTTTTTCACAGAGGCAGGGCCATCGAGGACACTGTTTTCATCGATACCAGCTATCTGCTTAAACTTCGCCAGGAGATGAACAACTTGCTGGACAGTTTCTTGATTATGGGCGCCAGACTTAGCCTTGGACTTGGCAAGTTTTGCAACAGCCATAGATTCAGATCTGAGGTCAGCCAAAGTATGCAAGTCCAGTTTCTTAGCTAGTCTCTCGATGATGGCATCGTCAGCATTGGTGTCGTGGTTTGTAGAAAAGACAATCATCATATCCATAGCGAGTTCCATATCCTGTGATTCTGTCCTCCTTTGAGCTCTGGTCAGTTGCATGTGCATTAGCTCCACCTGTGGGGGAAGGAAATCCGTGTATATAAAAAGAAAGAAAGGAAAGAAAGAAAGATAAAAGAGAGGTGAGAGACGAAATTACTTGTTCTTGAACTTCCTCAGAGATGGGAAGCTTATGACGGGGCATATCGTTGAGTGATTGGTTTATCTTGTCATAAACAGAATGAAATCTGCTCATCACTGCCTCACTCTCCAGTGCCTAACAAGCAAGGATAATAGAGTAGAATTATTTGAGTGCTGAAAACCAGAAGAAAGAAGAATCAGAGAAAAGGAGTGAGTCAGTGAGTGAGTCTAACAAGAAAAATCTTGCTGGCGGAGTAGCAGGTCTTGAGCAGTTTGGTTGAAGACGAAAGAGATTTCTTGAGATGAAGCAACCAGCAAGCCAGCTCAGCATCGTTGTCATCAGGTTGATGATGAGTGGTGATGATGATGATCATCATATCTTTAATCTCTTCGAGCAGAGGCATAAGAAGCTTCAACCTCCTCACTAAGTTGATACACTCTTTCTTATGTGTGTTTCTGAAACCGACATAGGATCCTGCTTTCTCAATCATATCCACCATTTCATTCACCATTTCAATCCCATTTCCATTTCCATTTCCATTTTCCCCATCCATCATCATCATCATCAATACACGCTTCTTCTCTCCTTTTCTGCTTCCTTCTCCTTCCATCACCACCCCCCACTCACTTCCAAACACCACTCTTTTTTTCTTTTTTTTTTTTCCTTTTTGGTGATTGCGGATTTTAAGGATGGAGATTTTTTGTTTTATTTTTTTTCGCGGGTAAAAAAAAAATAAAAAAAATGGCAATGTGGGAGTTGATGGTTGGAATTGAAAGCTGTTGGGCCACGCGTTTTGGTATGAACAAATTTGACGCGTCCTCACATGCCCACACTATTCACTAAATTCATCATCATCTATCTATTTTCTTTTCAATAAAATCTACATGCGGACCCATCTATCTATTAACTTAACTTAATGGAGTGAGTGGTAATTAATTACTTGAAAGTTAAAGATGGATTCATGTGGTTTGATTTGGAATTTGGATAAAGAAAATGGGCCCATCTTAGTCATAATTAATTCCAAAAATAAAAAAGAAAGAAGAAAAACATATTATTGAAGGCAGATAGCTGTTGGGTATTAGTGTGATAACAGTGATACATCCCCCCTTTATGCAAATAAATTTGTTTAATGCAAAACACAGTATATGTATGCTCCACAAATTATCGGATCCAACACTGCACACGAGCATTTATATTGATTGTGGGGCTTATGAGAACATCAATCACCACTATACAATTTATCTTTTATTATTCATTCTACAAATAAACCAAAAATAATCTCAACATATTATAAACAAAGGCGAGAGTCGCTGTCAATATGATACAACAAACATTGCCATAACGGTAATTCGTCAACACCCCGACGGATGACCATGCTCAACAACAACACACTGCTCCCTCCCATCATATTCTGCAATTTGAAGCTGGACACAAACCAAATATAATTACTACAATTATTTGGTTAAAAGGAAGCAAGAAAACAATACATGTATGTATGTAACCCCAAGTTCCTCTACTCACTGCAATATATAAATTGGTTGAAGTCAAGAGTCACCCTTCCTTGCTTGCTTGTATCAAATGAATTGAACAGGTTCCTACAAAATAAAATATACATATGAATTTCTATTTCATTTTTTCCTTTATAATATTATTGTCCCAGCTAAGAGAATCCACACACCTCGACGACTGTACAAATATACAAAGAGAGATGAAATCGTCAAGTCTGAGTTTTCCACTCCTTGATTGATCAAAACTCTGTATGATTGATTGATTATAAAGAGGGAAATAACATATTTAGTCAATTCAATCATCTTATTGTAAAGTGTAAACCAACCATGTCATGTAGTAATATATCTTGCTTATTTTACCTCACAAGCACTATAAAAAGCGGGTGAGTCGAGAGAGAACCCAATTTTCGCCAATGCCTATGACCATTAAACAACTTGTAAGTAATATAGGAGAAAGCATCACAGAAGAATACAATAAAAGACACTGTCCAATTCCTCATAACGGGTTATAATCATCAAGCGTCTCGAAATTGCTATTGCTACAAGCTCAGAACTACTTAAGGCTTCATACCTAAAAAGAATGCAAAACAATAAAAAAAAAAATACAAAAAAAAATAAAAAATTACCACCAATCGAATTTAAAGCATATATACCTTGTATGCTTCATCTGGAGCAAGAAATCCACATCCCCTACTCAAACATGGAAGACAAAAATTAATAACTATGATAGTCGTAACTTGTCATAACCGCAAGTAGTACTACCAACACAACCAGCAGCCAATAAAATGCAGGACCATGTACTATCTTCTTTAAGTGGAAGGATACTTTATCAAGTGTCGAGACTCATTCATATTCTTTATAAGCATTGCTTCTAAATGTATGGGAAAGAGAAAGTGCGACATAAGGCATAGGAATAATCTCGATCAAACTTACAACAACGATCAATGAATCACATAAGATACTATTGCACATGTAAATCATAGGTCGATGAAAATCATTTTTTTTTTATCACCAGAGTTCAAATCTACGACCAAGATCCAAGGAAAAGGATATCAATAGGTTTATAACTTTTCACAAGATAAATGCTCCCACATAAGATGTATTTGATGATTTAAATCAATTATCAGCATGTAAAAACAGGATCCAACTAAGGTCAACTTACTTCATTATGATACTAAAAAGATAAGAAGACAAGTATCTCGAGTTTATATTGGCTATGCATATCATAAGTCTAAAGATAGCTTATATGCATCTATAGCTGTCAAAGAAACAAGGCAAGTGGAACTCATATCAAAGACTAACTTCTAAGAAACATGTCGATCCACTACATATAGACAACGGATCTTAAGTCATATTTTAGAAACAAATCACCTCTCGAAGCCCGAAAATGCCTGTTGAACCTGCAAACAAAGGAAATGTCGGCGAATTATGAAATGTACATACCTGTAACTTCTTTTCTCAAGAGACTAAGAGATGCACTTCCTTTAATTAGCCTCTCTAGGCCATACACCTAATTCAAGTCATAGACAACTAATATATCTGATAAATAACTGTTTTTTTTATAAATATTTTCTGCATGAAATTAAAACTTTTGCTGCTTTCAACAGGAAAAGAAGTCTGTCCGATCATGTGAAAGCGTGAAAAAGACCCTGAGGGTGACACTTATAAATCATAACAGACCTAAAACCATACAGTTTGAGTTTATGATTGATTGATTGTATCTACTAAATATGGAAATGGGAAATATCTGTGGACGAACACACTGACCTTGAGGAGAAACTTATTGAGCTCAACAAATTCTGGAAAACAAAAAAAGAAGAGGGAGAGAAAGATGGTGGTCATATGGTACAGCAAGAGGAAAGGATAAAGGCAATAAATAAATACATAAGTGCAAAGTGCAAGCACAGAAGAAAAGATGGAGATAGAGCAAAAGAAGTCACCTTCAAAGCTCATAGTTCCGTTTTTGTCGAAATCATACATCCTGGCAAGCCAATAAATTTTAAAACAAATAAGCAGCAACTTTCATGTATTCATATTTTCAAAACCCTTAACGACCAGACCTGATCATTTGCTGAACAACGGATACAGGGAAATTCAGGTTTCCGACGGCAAAAGCACTCTGATCGATCGTCCCCAAATAAACCAAAAAAAAGATCCGTTGAATAATAGGTCTGATTGATTGATTGATTGATTGATTGAATGAATTGAGAGAGAGAGAGCAGGAAAATAAAAACCTTGAGCTGAGTTGCGGTTATGTTTCCGGTTTTGTTGGAGTCAACTCGATCGAACCACTCAGTCAGAATAGCGGGGTTCTCCATTGCTCCTTATCTCTCCCAAATACACAACACACAGTCCGGCCACCCACCGCCAAGTAAATGTCAATCGACAATCGACAATCGACAATCGACTGACTGCTTACCCTGTACTCTTTCCTTTCGTTTTTTGTTTTCATATAAATTAGAAAATGCAAGTGTCATCAATAAAATTGGGCCAGGCCTGAATTGTTTTCAAGATGATTCAATCATTCTCTTTAATTTTTGTGCCAAACTCATAACCCAAAGCCCACCACGCTCCACAAAAACATCAAAACTACTAATTTAATTTAATTTTTCATTGGAGTTGTTCTTAGTAGGCTTTTAAAAACATTACGTAAAATGACACTTGTATCCTCCAATAAAAAAAGACAGCCTAAATTCCCCATCGGAAGAGAAAGGAATATTCGTACCGCGCCGACGACAAATAAATCTTGTTTTTTTTTTTGGTTTTAATCTCCCTGCCCTGCCCTCTCTCTATATTTATTTTTTACCAATCTCCTTTTCCGCCCCCAACTTTCTATTTACCTTGCAATTGCAAAGCTCTATTGATTGTTAGGTTTTTCTATTACGAGGAAAAAAAAAAAAAAAGAAGAAAAATCAATGGGTGCGGAGGGAGAGTCCAGCGCTGGCGTCCCCGGGGATGCGGGAGTGAATGTAAATATTCGATGCTCAAACGGCTCTAAATTTTCGGTGAAAACGATCCTCGACTCGACGGTGGGTGAATTTAAAGGTGTCTTGGCTCAGAATTGCGACGTCCCTGCTGAACACCAGCGTTTGATCTACAAAGGTCGGATCTTGAAGGATGACCAAACACTAGTCAGCTATGGTATACTACTCACTCCCCTTCAATTTTTCTCCTTCAATTTTTCTAGGTTTTTACTCTTCAATCGTGATTATGTTTGTTTTGGAGATCTGGTACTTTTTTGGCTTCATAAACCATGTACCTCTTACATGCTTGTATGATTCTTAGCTTGAGGAACGTACAAGTAAATATCTTCAATTACAAAATTCAGTTTAAAGTTATAGACTGTTTCTGAAATATCAGAATCTGCACTTCTCTAGTAAGCTGTCACTATGCACAGAAATAAGAAAGCTAAAGTGGAAAGAGGATTCTTGTGTGAACAATCAATTTGAATAAAACATCTCTTGACTGAATGGATCACAGTAGTAATGTGTTCGGAATGTTGTGCCTATTGGCACAGATAAGAAAGCAAAAGTGGAAATAGATTTATTGTGTCAATAATTGTCTTCCTTCCCATCAACTATAACCCATTTTCGCTCTCATCTAGCCTTACCTTATAAGATTTTTGTTCTTAAATAGGTTTGCAGGCAGATCACACTGTTCACATGGTTCGCGGTTCTGCATCTGCTGCAACTCCTCCCACTGCTGTTCCTACTAGTGCGAACACCAACGGTACTACTCATGCTGTTGGCCATGGTGGCCTAAATCCAGGGGGGGTTGGGGTGGCTGGTACAGGTGCATCCTTATTTCCAGGGCTTAATTTAGGTGCATTAGGTGGCACTGAGGCATCAAGTGTGTTTGGAGCTGGACTTCCTGAGTTTGAGCAGGTGCAACAACAACTAACTCAGAACCCGAACATGATGAGAGAGATAATGAATATGCCTGCTATTCAGAGTTTAATGAACAACCCTGAGATTATGCGCAGCTTAATTATGAGTAACCCACAAATGCGTGAAATAATTGACCGGAACCCTGAACTTGGCCACGTACTCAATGATCCCAGCATCCTTCGGCAAACATTAGAAGCTGCAAGAAACCCTGAGTTGATGCGTGAAATGATGCGAAACACTGACAGGGCAATGAGTAATATTGAATCTTCTCCTGAGGGATTCAACATGCTCAGGCGCATGTATGAAAATGTCCAAGAACCCTTCTTGAATGCCACAACTGCAGCCGGGGGTACAGCAACTGATACTGGATCAAACCCATTTGCAGCTCTCTTAGGGACTCAGGGGGGTGTCCAGACGAGAGATGGATCCAATGTAACTACTGGACCCGGGACTGGGACTACTGTTCCAAATGCGAATCCACTTCCAAATCCATGGAGTAATAATACCGGTAAGATTGAACTTCTTTAATTTGTCAAATCTTAATGTCACTTTATCTGTTAGTGCTCGGTAAATCATCTGACTGTATATTCTTGCATAGTTCATAAAGACGTGTCTAACTTATTTTTTCATATCCATTTTGGGTTCAACAATTCTTTGTGCAAATCAGAGAGAAAATGTGCCATGTAAAGGCTTCTAAGATTGCCTTTCATTCACTTTCCTTATTCAGTGACCTGATTTAAGTGTATTTAATGCGTGTGGTAGTCATGAATTAGTAATTTTTCATGATTATTATCTGAATGCATTTACTTCTGCAATCTAGTTCTTCAAAGTTATGGCTTTTGCATCTTCATTGCTTGATTAACTTAGACAACAATCCAACTCTTATCATCTTTTCCTTCAAAGATGATTTTTAGCACTCTTTGATTTTCTCTGAAGCTTAATTGTCTTGTCTGGATATATTTGTAATGATATGTGTGAGATCATTGATGTGACATTTTAGGAGGATCTCAAACAAATGATGCTACAAGAAGTAATCCAACTGGTGATGCAAGACTACCTCCAATTGCTGGATTGGGTGGACTCACCCTTCCTGAATTGGAAAGTACGGTAGGCACAACAGATTTATCTGGTTTCAGTCAGTTAATGCAAAATCCTGCAATGGCACAAATGATGCAGAGCTTGCTTTCCAACCCTCAATACATGGATCAAGTACTGCTATAGTTTCTGATTGGATATTGTTGTTCTGATTTTTTTTTTTTTTTTGGTTATACTGAAATAACAATTTTGTTGCAGATCATGGGCCTCAATCCTCAACTCCGCAGCATGCTTGATGTGAACCCTCAATTAAGAGAAATGATGCAAAACCCAGAAATTCTTCGACAGTTAACCTCGCCTCAGACTATGCAGGTATTTAGATGACCTTTTTCCATACAACTTCTCTGCAGTATGACTTTTCTTCTGTATAGTTGATTGTTATGCTGCTTGAGCTTCGACACATCACACAAGTGTAGAATTCAGTCTACGGGTGATTTTTTTTTTTCTTTTTGCTGAACACGGTCTAAAGAGGGTTTGATATTATGCTCTATTCAGCTATGAATGTCTGATATTATATAACTTAAAAATATGTTAGTTTGATCTGTCTTGATTTATCTTAAAATTGGAATGGGCTCATACTAATTTAAGTACAGTATACCCAGTTATATATTTAAATAACATGACACATAAAATACTAAGAAATTCTAACATGAAGAGAGTTCAACTGAACCTGAGCCAATTGCATGCAAATGACCTGGGTTTGCCAATGGTGATTGGTGTAAGTGCATTGCATCAGTAATTCTGGGTTGCATAATGATTGGTGGTAACACGATGTTGTAACAATTTCAATTTATCAATTAATATTTTAATGTGAAATTACTACTGTTGAGAAAGTATTGGAACAACATTAATGGTTTCAGCAATGCTGTCATCAGTTTATGTACTAAGAAACAACTTTTTAGTTGAATTTGGTAAATTCAGGGTCAAATCAGTGCCTAACCAATTTGTTCTTATTGGTGAAATATTAACTGTGTCTATGGTTAAAGTTTACTACTTTATGTTCAATTTCAGCTCTTGAATTTCAATTTTAATGAATGTCCTTTCGATTCATGCTATAAAATATCATAATTTCTCTAAATCTATTAAACCATATTATCTAGGTCTTTTCTTTTTTTTCTCATCAGCTTGTCAAATTTTATTGTTTCAGCAAATGATGGCTCTGCAGCAACAAATTACTCAACTTACTCGGCAGCAGCCAACAGCGTGAGTGAGAAATAATCCCCTGCTCAGTATGATTCAGTTTGTAGTTATCACGGATAGATGGCGGTGGGGGTTGGGGGGTTATAGCTTCCTATCCAGCCTTACAATAGCTGCATATAATGTTTCTAAATCTGAAGAAAGTGAACTTGACTAGCCTTTTCAAGTCATCTCTAATTAGGGTGAAGCTCTATGGGTTAAAGTTTATTCGTAAATGTGATTTGTAGATTTGTGCCTTAACTGCATTCCCAATCTTCAATAAGATGTAGAATTGTCCCCAAGTAATTTGTTCGTTGCCTTAACTGCATTCCCAATCTTCAATAAGATGTAGAATTGTCCCCAAGTAATTTGTTCGTTTATGGCATTATGTTCATCATTTACTTTCTCCAGCCCAGTTGCTATTTTGTGTGTGTTTCTGATGCATAGATTTGTTAGTAGACATTTTTGGATGTGCTTAGAACTATGAAGCATTATTATGACTCTATCCGGTTATTGCAGGGAAGGAGCTCAGACGGGTCAAGGTAGAGGTATTTGAAGCAAGCTAAACTATTCATTGATTTATGCGGATGATGAGTTTTACGTTTCTTTTCACCCACCCAAATTCTGCCTTTTTTTTTTTTTTTTCTGTGTGTGTTTCTTAGATGCAGGAGCACAAAACAACATGGGATTGGACATGCTGATTAACATGTTTGGTGGACTTGGAGGTGGAAGTTTCAATGTTCAAAACACTCCTAATGGTTGCTACTATCTCATAACTCCTCCTTATTCATAAACAACTATATTAATCACATTTTCCTCGTCTGATAAACTCAATATTTTGTTTGTTTCTTAGTACCTCCGGAAGAACTATATGCAAACCAGTTATCACAGCTACAAGAGATGGGCTTTTTTGACACACAAGAAAATATCAGAGCACTCCTTGCTACTTCTGGAAATGTTCATGCTGCTGTTGAACGTCTTTTGGGGAACCCTGGTCAATAGTTTCACAATCGCAACTGTTCTATACAACATGCCTTTTTTCGTTTTCTTTTTTGGAACATAGTAGTACTAGTCAAGTTTCTATACAGGCATTATTATTACATGAGACAAGTACATGCAACAGAGGCGTGAGAATAAATATTGCACCCCCCACTTTTATTTTCTGTAAACAAACTTGCTATGTGATATGTTTCTTCATTATAGCAATTTTAGACATTGATTTGTGCCTGTGTGTATATACATATATCTTATTTATACATGTGTATTTTCGTGATGTATTTAATTTCTATCCACATTTTTTTTCGTTTGGGGTTTTGGGCACTTGTCACATTTTTGCCTTTTTATTTATTATGTACATCGTTTGTGGTTTATATACGCATACTTCTCAAACGATCACTCTGGAACCTGCTGTGAGTGTAACAATGATCATTTTCAATCGTCCTGTAGATTATGACATTGTTTATTTACTGAAGTAAAGTAGGTGGTTTTATCACAGCATCTTTAACCTATACGAACGACTTGACAAATTGTGATTCATGAGTTTAAGATTTATTATTAGATAAATTCTTATTTTCTGGTTATTTTTTAATTAAGATTACAGATTCAATGTTGATATTTGAAAATAATTGATAGCAAGGTAATTTTTTTTTTTGGCGTGTAAAAGAAAAAGCAAGGTGATTTAAGCCTTGTATCTTCCATTAATACTAATTGCCACTTTTGATGAGTTTTGACACATTAGCCTTAAAACGTGCTTTCAGTTTATGAAGTCGTTGGAAATTAAAAACGATTATACGAATTGCTAAAAACCGCTCGAGAGACATGCTCGAATTTAACACTTGTCCGCGAAGCAGCTTTTTTATTACCAAAACTATAGATTTCTCTCTCTCTCTCTCTCTCTCCCTCTCCCCCCTTTTCTCTCCGTGTGTGTGTGAATCTGTGGCTGCGCAGAGTCTCCGCCGTTGCCTCAAGTGGTATAGTTTATATTCGAACCTGCATTTGTAATTCTCTTCTCTTCTTTGTTTTGCCTCTTCAAATTTCCTACTTTTTTAATCACTTGTGCTTATTCTCACTTGCACGCTACATGTGCGAATAAGGGGTGATCAGGTGCTGAATTCTAGTCGGAATGTTAAAATTACATTCATTCTGCCTCAAATTAAATGCTGATTTCTTTTACATTTTTTTTCAGACATTTTTTGGGGTTTTTTTTTTTCTGGTTTGGAATTGATGGTTTATATGGCTATGATTTGTCAATAGAGGAGGGGCTAAGTATTGGTGACTTGTTGCGATTCGTTTCCTTCTTTTTTTCCAGCTCGTTGGTGCTTTTTACATTTGTTCTTCAGATGAACTGGGTGAAATTGTTTCATTCGATTCTTGTTGATTAAATTTAATGGACTTGATTAACTCGTTTTTGGAGTTTTCCTTGTTAGATTTATCTATTGGTATAATGCAGCATAAATAATCTGTTGAAATTTTAATGTTGTTGGTTGTTGGTTCTATCAATATGCTAACATAATTTTAGGAATTTCGTGTTGATGGTATTAGGTGATCTGACACGTATCGCATAACGGAAGTAAGTTGTTTAATGGAATAATATAAGCATAATTTGCATTGATTTTTGTGCCAAAAAACGACAAAAATCTATTGATGAATGGGAATCAAAAGTAAGAAAAAAAGCCCGAATGCATTGTCATTATTACCTTGTAAACCTTAACTAGATGGTATTTCAGATACAACTTAATTGAACATAATAGCTTTGATTGCGTCTCTCCGTTTGATTCAGTATTTCACTATTTCAAGATATAACACTATTTTCGGTTGATGTTAAAAACCAGTTACTATTATTATATTTTTTTTTATTTAGTTCTATTGTTTTTCGAATTTATTGATGACTTTTACCTAACTCCATGACGCTACATATTGTTCAAACTGATATTTTATAGCTATATCTTGTTTAGTTAGCTATTTGAACGGCAAAACCCTATTACATAATACTTAGTTGTTTCCAACTTCTTTAGTGCCAGAAATATTTCGCTTGTTCACTGGATCACTGAATAATTTCTTATCTGGATAATGTTATAATCATCTAACCATACTGAGGAAACCAGCACTACATTACTGGTTTCAAATTTGCGAAACCAACATCTTTCATGTCCTGCTGGTGCTGGTTCATCCTTTTTTTTATTTTTAACAGACAAGTCTCCTTCCTGAATACTCTCCAACGATTAATTTCATGTATTTATGTTTCAGGATTTGATTTAGTTCTTTACTTTCGGATGGTTCAACAGACAAAAGATTCGACATTTACTGAATACGGGCTTGCTCATGTTCAATCTGGCTTGTCGAACTCTGATAAGCAGCTTTCAGAATTTGTACCTGCAAAGACATCGGAATTGCAGTCTTCCTGTAATGAAAATCCAATGACGGTGTCAAAATCTATTGGAAGCCCTCTCCTTATGGAGGATAGTGAATGTGCTGGTGAAGTTGTTAAGATGTCTGGAACCAAAAGGCCCATATCTGAGTGCCAGCATAGCCCTCCAAGAAGTAATGTTGGGAGCGGGCACATAGTCTATGTTCGCAGAAAACCGGAAACAGATTTAGCCAAGAGCAACGTTTCTCATGTTCGAGTTGATGCTGTTGATTGTCCTCCAGCCAAGAGCAATGCTTGTCATATTCGAGTTGATGCTGTTGTTTGTCCTCCTTCAGTGAAATCCTCGGACCAGGGTGAAGCAACTCAACAACTTAAGGAGATGAACGAACATGTGATTTCTGTATCAGATATTGCACCACTTCAGAGGGCTTCTTCCCCAAGTTTCTCATCTACAGGACGCTCAGTTTCTCCATCTCTTGGAATGTCTAATAACATCTCATCACCAGAAAATATGAAGCATGTTCATGTTGATTGTGCAAATCCTTCATCAGAAGATCCAATAATGGTGAATGTTGCGCTTTGGGAAAAACGATATTGCCGTTTGCAGAGTTTGTTGAAAATGTTGGATCAATCAGATCAATATGAATATGTTCAGAGTATGCCCTTTCATTTTATAATATCTCTATATTGTTATTTTACAATATTTTGGGTAACGACTTTCTCATTCTGAATGTTCAGTGCTTCGATCTCTTTCCTCTGTTGAGCTTAGTAGGCATGCTGTCGAACTCGAGAGACAATCAATTAAGCTTTCATTAGAGGAAGGTAATCTCTATGATTCTATGTTATCTTTATTTTGTTTTTGTAATATAACTTAATTGCATTATGTTTCATCTGCATTTTTGCATGTTTTCTTTTTCCCTTTACTAGTTTAAATGTGGATATTAATTATTTGCTTACTAAGCACCATGCTTCTTACTTGTTAGTAAAATCTCATATTGTGCAATGATATTTGTTCGGCCTTCCTTGTTAGATGCAGACTATATTGCTCTTATGAACAATTGAAATACAATTTACTTGTAGAAAGGATTTTGTTTTCTCCTGGAAAGCTCAACGGAGAAGAAAAAGGATCTTGGCACAATTTGACAGTTTCTACAAGCAGTTGTTTTCAGTAGAATCTACAAATTGGTCATTCTTCTTACTTCTTTGCCTACCAAACTTGGGCTATGTTTTGCATCCTTCCTCGTTGGTTGAACTTGACATATCGGTTCACTTAACAAGAGTGTCAGATAGTAATCTGCTTACAAGGAAAGTTAGGCATGACATTGCCAACCCTCAAAATCGTGTAAAGCAGATGGATTGACTGTGGATATTCTCAATGCAAACTAGTCGTCATCTAAGAAATTTCTTTAATATTTTTGACCATTGGAATTATGTTGACACGCACGCATATTCATTATCATAAGAACATAATGATTTTGTATCCCTCCCATTTTAGGATTCTTAAATCTTAAGATGTTGTGTCATACTCTCTTCAAGTATATTGAAGGTCATTGGTTATAATTAAGCTGAGATAGATAGACCTGCTTTGGCATCTACATCGTGTCTTTAAACTGTATTGCATGTCCTGTGATCTTGTACATGTAAATTCATGATTGATTGCTTGTAAGGTGGAGTGAGTTATGGTTCCGTGGAACATTGGAGAGAAGAAAAGGGAATGAAATAGATCCCAGGAAGGAGCAACATCTTCTGTTTTGACATGTTTTTGTAGCATCATCATTTCAAATTCAATTGAGTGAATGTAATCTTCTGGAATGTTGTCACTTGATTGGATTTAAATAGAAAATGTGAGTGTAACTAATATTTTGTTGTCTTGTGTTGGTGGGTTCAGCAAAAGAGATGCAACGAGTTGGGTTGTTTGATGTGTTGGGTAAATACGGCAAGAAGGTATGCACACCCTCGACACAACAAGAGCAGCAGCAGCAGGTACACAAGTGAGGAAATATTAGACAGATAAACAAAAACAAATTGATTGTTGTATGTATATGTTGTGATATGTTGTATATTGGGGATTGGAGGCGCCATTCAATTATAGAACTAGAGATTTGTTGTATACACTGTACAACAGTGACTGCTTTATGGGATTAATAATGTTCACTTACCATGTTTTCTTTTCTTTAATGGATTAAGTACTAGCAATGCATGTCATTAACAAAATTTTATCTAATTTTTTTTATAGTTTATTCAAAATGTATAAGTTATAATCGTATCTTGTATTTTTTCTATCCATACGTTAATGAGTCCCAAGCAGCGTTAATTTGATCGTATATACCGTAGCATAATACATACACGAATATATCATTGTTAGCCTAATAAAATGCAGTTTTACCATGGAAATATATATACATATATATATATATATATGTATATATATATGTATATATA